TGTTTTGTCAATATTTCCCTGTATGGATCTCACTTTTTAGCATCTCTTTATCCTCTTTTTTTTATATTGATTTTCTATTTGTTTTCTTGTGGGTTCTACAGCCACTTTCCTTAATCTTCTCCCTTCTCTCTCTCTCTAGTCGAACTTCGTTCTCTCTCAAGAGGCAAAGAAATGGAGAATCTTCACGTCCTTGTGCTCGCACATCCTAGCAGGGCCACATAAACCCACCACCAAGTCATCGACGGGGCCCTCCTCCTTGACCACCTTCGTCTCCGTGGCTACCGATCTGACTCGCTCAACCTCAATGTAATTCATGCTCTTTGCAAGGAAATTTAGCAAATTGATCGGTGGCTATTTTCGACAGTTTGATGGGGAGAAGGCGAAGAATTTGATTGTCAGGCTCTGGGAGGTAATGAAATGCCAAAAGGATTTGATTGTGAGCAACGCTGCTTTTATGAATTTCATTTATTCCTCGTGTAAAGATGGGTTTTTCGATGAAGTGTTTTAGAATGCGGAGAGTATGCCTCAAAGCCGCCGCCTTCAGCCTCTCCATCACCCTTCTTAGCTCCTCTTTATCAACGCAAACTACTCCATCGTCACCAGGCTCATCAAATGCAGAATGCACAACCTGCTCATGCCTCGCCAGCATGCGCCACTCTCCACGAACACCATCCCCTTGCTACCGTCAGTAGGGGTGTCAAACGGGTGGATCGGATCGAAAATGGTTCAACCTATATTGACCTATTTAACCCGTTTTGACCCATATTCTTATAGTGTAAATCTAACGACCCATACCCGACCCGTATTCTAGAAGACTTTAATATAAAATCTAATTTAGAAAAAAACTTGTTTCTTAATATTTTTATATTGCTAAAATGCTTCAATGCAATATAAAATAAGTGAAATTTTTCATAATTTAAAAAAACATTTATTTTTATATATCTTTATTATTTTTTAAATGAAAATTTTAATTCTTTTTATTTTTCTTTTTCTTTTTTTTTAAAATTTTTCCTTCTTCTTTGGCTGGCTGCCGACGACGGCCGATGACCAGCCTCAAGGGAGCTCGGCCAGATTGGCGAGCTTCGAGCTCGAAGCTCGCCTATCTGGCTGACCTCAAGCTCGTCGGAATTCGGCGAGCTTTGAGCTAGCTCACCATTCTGGCCGAGCTCGAGCTCGAAGCTCGCCGATTTGGCCGACCTCAAGCTGGCCAGAATTTGGCGAGCTTCAATCTAGCTTGCCGATCTGGTAAAGCTCGAGCTCGAAACTCGCCGATCTGGCTGAGCTCGAAGCTCGCCTATGGCCGGTCGCTGGACGTTGTCGTGGCGAGCAACTGGCCGAAGAAGAAGGAAACAGAAAAAAAAAAAAAAGGAAAAAAATGAAATAGAAAAAAATGAAAAGAAAAGAAAAAATAAAAATAATTAAAATTTTGATTTAAAAAAATCAATTTTTAATTAAATTTTTTTTTAATGACACTTAAGCTATTTACCCTACAAGGCTACAAGTTAAAAACTTAAATGGGTCGAATATGGGTTGAATATGGGTTTTCATGGGTTTGTTGAAAACCCATATTCGACCCATATAAACTTAGGCTTTAATGTTGGAAACCCATTTTGACCAGTTTTCAAAATTTCAAGTGACCCATATTTAACCTGGACCCACTAAAAATAAGTTAATAAATGGATTACTGACCCATATTATCACCTCTAGCTGTAAGACATGTGGCCAAGCCTTCACTCAGGCAGCTCGAGAAGGCGTTGTCATGGGTCATGAGGGCCAGTTAAGTTGCATCCATCTACACAAGCGTGGAAGTTTCCATTTCTCTACCTCTCTATTACTGTAAGTGGAACACTTTCTTAAAACATTGGCAGAAGAGGAATGTTTAAAAAGTGGGACCCACAAAGGGCAATATAGTCAGATTATTATATTGATGAGTGCTTTAGCCAAAAATGAGTGGAAAAAGTGCGATCCTAAACTAGGAATATATTTCATTAGTGGCTGCTCACAAAACCTTATGAGGAATATGGCGTAAGAGTGTTGAGAGTACCACTTATCAAGAAGATGGAGAAGTACCTTAGCATACCTTCAGATTGGGGTCAGTCAAAGAAATAGATGTTTGCCTGAATTCTAGCAAGGGTTAATATGAAGCTAGAGGGTTGGAAGGAAGCCGATAAGTATATCCGATTAAAACAGTTGCACAAGCCCTGCCTCAATACGCAATATCTATATTCAAGATCCCCATCTTTGTTTGTAAAGCTATTGAGCAGAAAACAACCTCCTTTTGGTGAAAACAGAATGAATCTAAATCTAGTGTTCATTCGAAGAAATGGGAAGTCCTAAGGACTAGAAAAGATTATGGAGGACTTGGCTTCAGAGAATCATCACCTCCAATAAAGCTATTTTGGGTAAGTAGGCATAGAGACTTTCACAATCCTTATAAGCTCTATAGAGTCAGTTATCAAGACGTATCTCCGTTGGGGTCCCGTCCTTGTGTGAGATAGGCAAAGCTTGATAATGAGTAGAGATGTGCTTTATCCCGAAGTTAGGTGGTCAGTGGGTGATGGAAAAACTATCAACATTCGGGAGGATAAATGGTTATCAGCTGGTTTGATAGGCGGACTAGCAAATCAATGATTCAGATAGTGGCAGACTTGATTAATCAGGAAGTAAGAGGGTGAAATGAATAGAGGCTGAATGACCTATTCAAAGAGCAAATAGTGAAGGAAATCTTAACGGTTCCACTCAGCTTTAATCCAAGGGAAGATAAACTAATGTGGACCAAGAATAAATCAGGATCCTACTCAGTGAAAAGCGAGTATAATAGGTTGTATGTTATCTAACATTAACTGAATTCGAACCAAGCATTCTCATCTTATGAAATACGTAGGACTCTATGGGAAATGGAAGCTGCACATCTATCCAAAGATATGACTATTTATGTCGAGTATATGTCAAAATTGACTACCCACAAGAGAGAATCTGTTCTGACAAAACAAAACAAAAACACGAGAGAGTCTGTATAATAGGAAGGTCTTACCTGATCCTATTTACCTTACGTGCTTGGTCAGAAACTATAGAACACCTTTCCCTCCTTTGTCACCGGAGGAGAAATCTGGTTAGATTCGAGAATCAAGATTTCGCCCCATATATCGCTAGAATGGACAAGTGGGTGCTTGAATGCTTTGATTCAACTATGGACTTTCCTTCAAGGGAAAAGCTTGCTGGAGTTATTTGGTTTATTTGGAAAGCACGAAACACTTTTATCTTTCAATCTCGCAAACTAGATTCGAGCTCAATTGTTGATGCCGCTCTCGCAACGAACAAGAACTTTGTTAGATGGAACTTAGGAACGGTGAAGCAAGTTAAAGGTCGAGGTAACCCACCCGGACAGTGGACTCCGCCGGAAAGGGGGTCTCTGGAGCTCAACATCGATGAGCGAAAAAAAAAAAATGAGGACATTTCCATGTCGGGTTCATGTTAATGGGTCGACTTCGTGTAGACGGATTGATTTCGTGCCGTGTCAGGTCATGCAATCTTGTCGACCCATCGGACTATTATCGAATCGCATGCTACCCGGATTCGAATCTACTTGAACTTCGATTTCTCAAAACCTCTTAAAACTCCAAATAGTGAATTCCTCTTGAATTGAGTGGAACGTGAGTCAAGATTTATTAGCTTTTTTACGGTTGCACTTGTATGTATGGGCTTTGCTGGTCTCGAACTCTTCACAAGACAAGAAGGCCAAGAAGGCCCACAGTTGTCCAATCCCAATCCACATCGGGGAGTCCCAGTTTTTATTTTCGAAAAAAAAAGGGACCAATTTCCTACCGCTCTTTTCTCCAACCAATTGACACCATTTTGAAAACAACTTGAAATCTATCCTGTCAGAGTTAGAATCAGCTGTTTTGAAGCCGATTTCAGAATCGAAACCAATCTTTAATATCTACGGTTCCAATCGGTTCTACCCAAGAATTGATGGTATGAAATCGAGAGAAAAAATTTGGTAAAGGCCGCTTTTCAACTTTTTGTATCTAGGGCTCCGTCGTTTCGCGAAAAACGAATACTTTTAAAAAATATCACCTGTATTGCTTACAAAGTTATACGAACGAAAAATATTTTTATCATCCATGAAAATATATAGATATAAATTATTGTCAATAATGAAAATATTTTTTATTTACTAATTACTTCAAATGATGCAATCGGTCATTTTTAGAAAAATATATTCCAATTCATTCATATTTTACAAGACAAACGGTGCCTAGAATTCGATTCCGGATGGAACCGGTCCCCCAATTCCTCATCCGACAAGAAAAATACGACAGAACATAAAATGATCTTGGAGTACAATAGATGACACGGTTAGGTCGTTCATACGAAATCACAATTCGAATTAGGAAAATGATACGAATGGTGCATGAATTTTGATCCAATGTGCAATGTGGTCCCTAAACTTTTGATACATGTTCAGTTTAGTCGTTGGACTATATAAAAATATTCAATGTTGTCCCTGAACTTGAATTAATGGAAGGATAATATTAAACATTTTTATGTAGTTCAGGAACCAAACTGAACATGTACAAAAAGTTTAAGGATCACATTGAACGAATTAAAAGTTTAGGGACCACATTGCACGTTGGGCCAAAGTTCAGGGACTACGTTCGGACAAATTAAAAGTTCAGGGATCATATTGTATATTTGACCAAAGTTTAGGGCTAGTTATGTCATTATCCCGTTCGAATTCGATGTATAATTTCGTAAAAGTGTACATGTATGTTTTGGGTATAGGTGTCAAAATGGGTCTTAAACTCATATATGACCCATTTAAAAATAAATGGGTCATATATGAGTCACTTTAATTTTAAAGAGTCAACCTTAAATGGGTTTAATGTATGTTTTGGGCTTGGAAGAATTAACCGAGGGCAAAAAAAAAAAAACTCAAAAAAGAGCAAAGAAAAGAAAAGAAAAGAAAAGAAAATAATTAGCGAGACCGATCCTTCCTAATACCCTTCCCTTCCTCTCGCTTCGTTTCTTCCTTGCATCTTTTTCCTCGTAGCCTTGCCTGCAGCTTTTCACGAACCAGCAGTAGCGGCGACAGAGCCGAAGCCTCTTCGCCAAATCTCAAAGCTCGGATTCGCGAAGGTGATCGATCGTGCGCTGTCGCTCCCGTCGTCTGTCGATTTCATTCCTCCGATTTTGTGTGCAGCGCCAGTTTGCTTAATCTGCATCCGTTCTCTCTCTCTATCTCTCTTGCTAGATCTGGCATCGTCCGACCGATCTATCTCGTCGATGTTCGCTGTAGTCCGCTTGCATTTCTTGTCGGTAGTCGGTTCCCGTGGTTTTTCGAAATGCTGGGAAGGAGCCCTTTTTCGCTGCTTAGGGTTTTAGTCCCTTTGAATTGTTGTTGACTGAGGTCGTGTTACTTGGTCGGTGTTGCGTGTTGGGATTTCTCTTTATTTGGGCTGAGAGAGAGAGAGAGAGAGAGAGAGAGATGAGAATGAGTGGGCAATAATTATGGATTGATTGCTGGAGGTTGTCTCTGTTTCGTGCATTTCTGGGTTCTTTGGGAGTGAATCGCGAGGGAATTGAGTATGGAAATGGTTCCTGTCTTGATAGAAATTGGGCTCTTTTGTCGAATATAGCGTCTCCAGATTCGACCCATTTCGCCGGTGTCTGGTTTCTACTTAGACCGTTCTGCATTCCGAGGATGCGCTCTGTAATGCTTGGACCCCCGCCTTTGCTGATGCTGATATATGTCTCAGCTGCGTGTGTACATGCCGCGAAAGTGGATCGAGGAAAGCTTCTCCTCCTCCGAAATCTGCATTCGCTTTATCGGCGGCGGCAACGAACTGGGCCTTACTCCTGATACCATCTCATCACTGGAGCAGCTGAATGCCTTTGTTTCATGTGTCCAAACCTGCTCGAACGAGATTCTCTCGTCTTATCTTTGATTGGGCCTACACTTACTTTTCTTCAAATAGTGTCATCCTGACTTTTCTACAATACCCACACATCGGATGAATTATATTAATCTCTGCTGTTTGAATCGTTGTCGTCTCTGTTATACTCATTATGCGCATGGGTTGGTGTTTGATCGCCCAAATTCCATGTCATACTGTAAAGAATCGCTCGCCTTTTTCTATCATATGGAATTTTCCCTTAAGATTTGGTGGTCTCGGGCTTATTTCATTAGTGTTCACTATAGATGGTTTTTATTTTTTGCTGCTAATTTTGCGACGTATTTCCCTCGGAACAATGTCATTGTCTGTTTTTTGTCAAATTTGCTAGTCAGCTTGGCTTTGGGGTTCATAAGGTTAATGACGTTTTCTGCTGCTGTCCACTGTTATATGAGCTTGTTAGAGACAAAACCACAAGAGATTGGATTAACAAATAATTATCTTCATGCTTTCTCATCCTTGATTTGCTCATTGGATGATAGGCCTACTTTGGGGAGGTTATGGCGTCGAAGTTGAACCAGTTGACATCAAAGGCCTGTCAAGCATCACAGTTTGTTTCGAAGCACGGAACTGTCTACTACAAGCAGTTGTTGGAACAGAACAAGCAATATATTCAGGAGCCGCCGACTATTGAGAAATGCAATTTACTGTCAAAGCAATTATTCTACACTCGCCTAGCGAGGTGAGATTTTGTGCTTTCTTCCTATGGGCGCACTTAGCGTGGCACTTCATTTTATTTTATATTGCTCTCATCTTTTTTTTTCACTGTCAGCTTTTGAAGTTCTTCTGTGTGGATATGAAAATATAATCATTCTTAACAGAGAACGTATTGAAAGCTTGATACATGATTTGGTCAAAAAGAAGACAAAGGGCGGAAAAGTTTGTTTTCAATGAGGGCTAAATGGATAGTTTCATGTGCAATATCGAAGGTTCTTTTTGAAGGGTGTTTTGCAACCATTATTTCCAGAAGATACGAACATCCAAATTCCTTCTTTAGATTTCTATCCAGTTGTCCATTAAACCTTCATCTGAACCATCAAATTACCAGTTAAATTTGCTTCAGTATGAATTATAAGCTTAACCACGGAAAAAGAAGGCGAGATACTTGTTTGATTATTGATTATAATTTAAGTCGTGGAAGTTCATATGGCTTATAGGATAGAGAGATTTCATCTCTTTAAGTCTTTTTGTGCTTACTATGCTGTTGAGTTCCAGCAAGTATGGTGGAACTGTGGAAGGGTTGTCTTGTTAGTGTGGGAACTCATATATTAGGATTAGGAAAAAAAATTAACCACCATCACCAAGCTCTTCCCCATCAAGTGGCTCAACTATCTAATATGCATCGTAGTACTCTATCATCAACACATCCTCTATAACATCCTTATGCTTGAGATCTTTCATCAAAGTCTACACTCATGTCTTTTAGGCCTTCCTTACCTAGCATCTCTGTCATAACACCACGTCTTCTCGTTGGAACATTGAAAGAATGTTGTTTCATGTATTCAAACCATCTTAAATTTGTTTTTCTTATCATCTATCGAAAGTCGACTTTCATTTAATATTAATCATTTTGGATTAGTTCAGCTGGTGTAACTTGCTTTTTACTTTTTCCAGATCTTGCTGCAATCACTACAAGTAGATAAATACTTAGGGTTCATTTGTTTGGAAGAAAACTGTTTCCGGGAAATTGTTTTCCAATTTTCTGGTGTTTGGATGATGAAAAACTAATCATCTCCGGAAAATATTTTCCATGGACGGAAAACAACAAACTTAAATTGGGGGAAAACGACTTTCCCTTCTAGGAAGGAGGAGCTCACTTTTCCTAAACCACTAAACAAATGAAAGCTAACTATTTTTCTTGAAAATGATCTTCATGGAAAAAATTTTCCTTTATTATGAAATTTTTGGTGAAACAAACGCACCCTTACACTAAAAATACGCAACTTGAATCTTTCAGTTGTTCCTAGGGAGCGCAAGGTTGTGGTTGGTTGCTTATTGAGCGGAAACTGTGCTATGGTTCCTATCAAAGACTGCTTAAGTTTTGCGCTTCAATTTTATAGGTTATGAATTCGTAATTGCACAGTATTATTCTAGGCCTCTTTTGGGTGGAATTTCATATGCTCGAGTTATAACTACTTGGAAAAGTCACTCGTTTGCATTGCCTGGTACTTTGTTGGTTGCACTGATTGGATATTTATCTGTTGTTGCACATAAAATTAAAAGAACCCCAACCACAACACCCCCCCCCCCCCGCCCCGCCGCTATGCTTAGTCTTTTCTGGACAGTTGGCCTTGGTTTGAGCCTCAATAACCATCTTCCTTTCCCCTATGTAGTTGTCTTAATACCATTGATTTTTGTCGATTTCATCTCTCTGAAGTGTTATCTTTTGCTTCTTGCCTTGGTTTCCGACTTCTGCGCTGGTGTGCAGTATTCCTGGCCGCTACGAGGCATTCTGGAAGGAACTCGACTACGTCAAACATTTGTGGAAGAACAGGCAGGAACTAAAGGTCGAGGATGCTGGAATTGCTGCTTTGTTCGGTCTTGAATGCTTTGCATGGTACTGTGCCGGTGAAATTGTGGGAAGGGGATTCACTTTCACTGGCTATTATGTCTGAGAAGCAGCACTTGATGTGTGTTCCGGAGGGTGGAGTTTATATAAGCTTTGTCCTGATTGGCTTGGCTCGGATGTTTGGCACTCTCCCTGCAATTTTTGCTCTTTTTCTGCAAGATTTTTGTAGCTGAGATATCAGTGTTACCTGTGATAACCACAATAATTCATGTATTTGAAGAGGCCTACATGATGTGCTGTGCCATTCTTTTGTTAGACGCCCGGATACTCCCTTGAAAGATGGTGCAATAACTTTCTGCATTTTTGCTTACTGCTCTCTTGCTGATGTTGCTTGGTATTTGCATCTGAAAGGCAGATGGATACTTCGGTTCAGGATATTAATTCTACTCGCAGTTTGCAGTTTTCGGGTTAGCCTGACGAAGGCTGCAAACCCTGCGGCGTCTTGGCATTTCGAGTGACGAAAAAGGAAAAAAGCTTTGCAGTCTCACCAATTGTCGAGCTGGAACATATGTCTATGGTTCTGTATTGAACACAATTACAATTGCAGGTGCATGTAGATGATGAAGCTCGCACCACTCTGTTTGAGGTGTTATATGCTGCTGGTTCAGTTGCCTCTTATGTTTGCTTGTCCATAGTAGCTTTTCATGAGGCTTCCCATCTTTTCTTGATTGATGTCTTTTCGACAATCCATTCCGATCCACACGTTTGTTAGCTCAAGGAAGGAAAAGACATACCGTCATATCTGGGAGGAATGAAAATTTGAATGGAAAAGTTTTGAGAAGTTATATTTTTTGTGGCAAGAAAGATAAGAAATCTTAAAGTTTTGGGCATTTTCTTCTCTCCTTCTTCCCCTCCCTCTCTTCCAAGAATAAATTAAGGTTGCATTTGTTTCGCGGAAAACAAGTATTTTGAAAATTATCTTCCTAAAAATGGTTAGTTGTATTATTTACAAAAATGAATAGACAAAATGTTTTCATTATTTACAAAAATATTTAGTCATATATTATTGTCGATAATAAAATGTTTTTCATTAATTGATTATTTCAAGATATATAAGCAATAATTTTTAGAAAAATATGTGTTAAATCATTTATTTTTCATTTAATAATCGGAGCCAAATTTTCGTGGAATACCCTCGCACCAATTATTTCTGTCTCTTCTAGATTGCTACGTAGATTGGTCAATGTTTCTTCTCTTTCTTCTTCTTTTCTTATCTTTTCTATACTCTTGTCACGGGTACTTCTACAGTCCCATCAGGAAAAAAACAGAATCATCCTGTTTTTAATCGTAATTTTCTTGAACTTATCATAATTTACCTGGAGCTATCGTAAGGTCAATCACACTCGTAGGCAGTCATTAAACTTTATAAATCACATTTTATCTGTAATATCATAACTTATTTATACTAGTAATTTATCTTTAGACAATAATTGGACTAGAGAGTGTACATGACATAAAAATGCTTACATTTAGGGCGCGAATAATAACCTTTTTATTTCTCTATTTTTTATTTTTCTGTTCTTAGGAATGGTTTGGAACATAAACCGTTTGGTAACGATTTCGTTTTTCTATTTGGAACAAATTTTTACTCCATAAATAAGTTTAGAACAAAAATTATAAGTAAAAAATATACTTTTCTATTTCCTCGAACAAAATGAGAAATAAAAACTCTTCTCATCGCCGCCACTATTAGGTTGCCCACCCACCCACCGCCGTCGCCGCCGATCACTTCCCACTGTTGTTGGCCACCTCCCACCACCATCGTCCATTGTCGTTCGCCACCGTCCTCCGCCGTTGGCCGCCTCCCACCGCCTTCCAATGCTGTTTGCCACCACTCGCTGGCGGCCATCCACCGCCGCCTGCCATCTGTCGTCCTCCGCCGTCCTCCGCCATCACCCGACACTGTCCGCCTCCCATCATTGGCCACTGTTGTCCACCGCTGTTCACCACCGCCGGCCGGCCACCTTTTGCCGTCCTTCGCCGGTCGCCTTCTCCAGTCCTCCGCCACCTCCCGACACCGGCTGCCATCATCCATTGCCAATCGCCTCCCGTTGTCAGCTGCTACCCATTGGCCAACTCCCACCACCATCCTCTACCGTCAGCTGCCGTTTGTAGCCTTCCGCTGTTGCGCGACGCCGGCCACCTCCCATCATTAGTTGCTGCCCGTTGGCTACGTCCCGCCATCGTCCTCCGCCGGCCACCTCCTGCCACCGTCCTCTGCCGCCACCCATCGTCATCCGCCACCACCCGACACTGACCCACTCCCGCCACCATCCTCCGCCACCGACCGCCGTATGTAGTCCTCCGCCGTCACGCGAGGCTGGCCACCTCCCACCATCGGCTGTCGCCCTCCCACCACCGTTCTCCACCACTGCCCACCATCGTCCGTCCCACCCAACACCGGCCACCTTCCGCAACTGCCGACCACCTTCGGCCACGCTGCTAGGAAGGAAGAAATTTTGTATCGTTATCAAACGAATTTCTATTTCAAGAATAAAAATTTTGTGTTATTATCAAACTGGTATTTTGGCAAAAAAAACTCGTCCATGGAATAGAAATAAAAAAAATTAATTTTTGACCAGAAATTGATTTCCTGAACAAAATGATTATCATTCGCGCCATTAGTAACTAATTAATAGCACGGTAAAAGTATCTCAAATTGTCGTAAGCGATTGTACCTATACTTAGTAATTCTCCTCACTAGACCCAACTTTCGCACCTCTCCGTGAAAAACCTGATTTTGTCATAAATCATTTTATCTTATTTTTTGTAACATAACTTCATGATCGCGACAGACCTTCACTATTCGCAAACTAAAAATCCACGTCAGCATATACTATGCCCCGATTTTTCTTAATCAATAGTAACATTGGCAATTCTATAATCAATAGTTTTCCTAAAATGCTCATGAATTACTGTCTTTTCAAATAATCTGACGGTCGAATTCTTTGATCCAACGATCTAAATTACATATAAGACCGATCATTTTTGCCAGTAATTCTAACATAATTCAAATGACCGGCTAAGAAATGGGGTGATCTGTTAATAAAACTACATCTTGATTAGCTTCTCTCTTTTTTTTCCCAAAAAATGGGAAAAAAAATTGCAGAAGCGAACCTGCCAGCTGGCAGCTGCCACGTCCTCCGCTGTCCTAAGAGGCCAATCAGAGAGCAGGGACTCTTGAGCTCTCCTCTGATTGGCCCCGCACCAGGAGATCAGGCCCCACAGCGAGGACATATTCGTAATTTCACCTCTTCCTCCTCTTCTCCTCGGGGACGAAGGCTCGCTGCTCAGGCGGGCGAAAGGGACGAAGAAGCGGAGGAGAAGAAGAGAGGAAGAGAGAGAATGCCGCGTCCGGTCGCGGCGTTTGCCGTCATCGTCGCCGCCTCCATCGCCGCCCTCGCCGATTGCTCCGGCGACGGCTCACAGGTCAGAAGCAGAACACACGCTCTCCGTTTCCATTAAGCCGAGCGCGCGACGACGCCGTCTAATCACCACGCTTCCCTCTTCCGTCGTTTTGATGCGTTGCAGGTCAGGTGCAGCCGGAGTTGCGCCACCGAGAACTGCGATTGTAAGCCCTACGGCCGCGCGCTTGCTTCATCCGTGTCCGATGATCTTTTAGTTCTAGAGCATCGTTTTCCGTGCTTCGCCCCCTTCGTTCATCTGTGGTCTGATCGATTTGAATTTGATTTGATTCTGTCCGAAAACTTGCAGCTATCGGGATCAGGTACGGCAAGTACTGCGGCGTGGGATGGACAGGTTGTGCGGGGGAGAAGCCGTGCGACGACCTCGACGCCTGTTGCAAGGTTCACGACGAATGCGTCGGAAAGAAAGGTTCTCTTTGCTTTTCGCACATTCATATGTTATATGAGTAGATTCAGATGGATTGTCAAAATTTGGTCTGTTACTGTTCATGCATTTGATATAGGGAGAAGCACAGTGCTTTTTTTTTTTTTGTGTTTTTCTTTTGAAACTCTGTTAACTGGATGAAGCTTCTAACTTGGCTTGAGGGAAGAGAAATCTAGGTGATGAGGATACTGCTATAATCTAGTTCTGTTGAGTTTAGGTGCAAAGTATTTAGCGTTTTTGGGGGGTTAAAAAACAAAATTATCATTCTCAGAGGTATGCACCGGTAAATAATTATCTGGATACAAAACAATTGTGAGTAACCGATCTCAGCTTCGCATCTATATGCTAAAAGTTCACATTTTTTTGTAGTTAGACTAAAAATGTACATTATTTTAACAGTTTACAATGTGTAGGAGATATTGCACGCCTTTTCGTATGAAAACATCTGCGGCGAGGTTTTGATCTTTCGATACCTTTATCATCTGCACTAAGGCAAGAGAAATTTTCTAGCAAAATGGCTTGCAAATGTGATTTTTTTTTTCGTATGGATTTAAGGCTGAAGTAGGCTGCTAGCAACATCTTTAAGTGAGAGAATGTGGAAATTGGCTCTTAGTTGCAAGAAGCTAATTTTGTTATTTATAGTTATTTTTCTATGAGCTGTCACAACTGTACTTGTCTAGCTAGTTTGAGTTGGTATATGCACATGCAAGTAAGGTATTTCTCCCCAAGGCATAGCGATAGACCGTTGCATCGCGTGGAACCTCATTTGACTGATCTTTCTTGTATAAGGACTAGTACTGGCTGTCATTGCTCTCCCCTGGTTGCACATGCAGTGCAAAATAGAGCCACCGACTATCCTACATTGAAATTTCCTTTCTCAATTGCTTCAAAATCGAATCTATCCTGGAAATACACGTGAAAGCAGCAAAATCAATCTGAGGATTGATTGGAGGAAGAATTGAAGGATATGTTGTGCAGCAACAACCTGGTTTCCCGTATTCTGTAAATGTCAACATATGCTTAGAGACTGATTAGTTTAGGCCATAGCATCTCAATTAAATAAAATGGTTCTAGTCGTGATCATATCTTCTAGGCCATGAAAATCAGGAAAGGGGGTAGTTGACTGTAATGCGACTGTTTGTTGAGTGCCAATCTATAACAGGTGAAGTTATAAATGGCTTGAATTGAATGTTCATAATACCACATGATAACTTTGCTGGGTGGATATGGTTTTTCCTTTTTATGTTGCTTTCTGTGTTTTATTTTCGATGAGATCAATGAATTGTGAAACAACTGACCTTCCAGGTATGACTGACGTAAAATGCCATGAGAAGTTCAAGAGCTGCATAAAGAAAGTGCAGAAGTCTGGAAAGATGGGTTTTTCTCGGGATTGTCCTTATGAGACTGCTGTACCGACTATGGTTCAGGGCATGGATATGGCCATCTTGTTCAGCCAGATAGGTAATTCAAAGCTTGAGCTCTGATTTGCTCAAGTTAAGAGATTGGTAGAGTAAAAGAATCCCATTCTTTTTTTAGCATCATGTAAACATACTTAAATATTAATTGCTTTGACGGATAAAAATATCGAATCGACCATCACATGACCCATTTTTTCTTGATTAGTGTTACTTTTCATGAATGTATCACTTGACGGATCCTTTTTGATCAAGTCACTCTTTGGTACTTTCCCCTCATGATGGAGAGTTGGTTTAATGATCATGTATTTACTCAAAACTGTGTCACAATGATAATACCTTGTTTGCGAGGTCCTCTTAGTGCAATCTGTTAAGAGTCAGATGCAGTGTAATACTACACTTCAGTTCACTTAGAGAGTTGAAGCAGTAATCTTCCAGGAACAGCAGATCAGCTGTCTGCTTTATTCTTAATTTTGGGTAGATTCCTTCTCTTGGATCAAACACTCATTTGATATGTTTGCCACAATCAGTCCAGAGAAGCCACAAATTTTTTTTGGTATAAGTTTCTCTAGCAATGTTTGCCTTTGTTGATGAGCATCCATAACCTTTTTACTTGCATTTTGGGTTTTCATTCTGATCGTTGAGTAAAGAAATGGAAGCCCATGTAAATGTCCGTTTGTAACATTTCACTGATCTGGAATGACACGGGGATGTCTATCTGGTCGTCCGGTGCTTCTATGTATGGTAATTTCTCTGCAGAGTTTGTAACGTGAAATGTTAACGCTTAGTAATTGATCAATAGCATACTAAAATGGCTGAAATCGTCGTAAGTGACGGTAGTTTCGCTTAGTAATTGTCCTCAATAAGTGTAATTTTTCTACAAGTCCTCATAAATGATGCAGTAGTAACCATTCTTCACGTATAGAAATCCCCAAAAAATTTTGGCGAAAGACTGAACGACCTGAATTTGTCGTGAACCTTTATATTCCATATCCTTGGTAACTTACCTCCTTGAACGCAACATTCCTTCATAGTTTGTACACTTAAAGACCCAGTCAGTGAGTAATTGTCTGCCGTCATATGTTGTAATTTTCTTCAGTTGTTTGTAAGTTAATGTTCCGCTGGCTGAACTTTTTTTTCCAGTTGATCCAACCGTCCAGATTACATACGGGACCAGTCCCGTAAATTGCTAGACCGGACCATAGAACTTGCCTCAGTCGTCCAGATCGCCCCTTTTATTAGCTTTTGCAGATATATATTTTTCCTTGAAAGGAGAATCAGAGTTCACTAACCATTATGAACATAAGCCAACTTATGGAAATCGTATGAGAGAGCCTCCGAAGACAGTAAACTTTCTTTGACCTCTCTCCACCTTTTCTGTTCGAGGTAGCGTATGCAAAGATCAATGCAAGATGATGGCTTCAAGCCTACAACTACGTTGATCATGCAGTCACATGCAAAGCATTTGATATATTACCAAGCTTCATCTAGGTTTTATGTTTGAGCAATGATTTGATATCACTGTTCCTACATATCGATTCATATCATGTCTTGTCGAGCAATATACTATTTTTCTATAAATTGTCTTGGTACACATACTTATCATTTTTTGTTATGTTTAACTTTTCGTCTGTTTTACAAAAATGAATGATTTGAAAAATATTTTCTTGAAAAAGATCGCTTGTAGCGCTTAGATGTTATCTAATACATCTCTCGACTTGTACGAAAATCCATCTTAAGGAATTGTATGTTGGCGCTGGGCAGGCTTTCGTCTTCTTTTCTGCAGAAGACAACATTACATTATGGTTTGACCCTAATTAAGATAAAACCTCAACATCAATTTTGCGAATGTTATTGGGTTCAAGACAATTCGTTTTTGCGGTTTTCCCTTTTGTGTATAACTTTCTCTGGAGAGGGACCTCGATTATTTTTTGATTAAGGAAACAAACAAGATCAATATCAATGACAAAATGCCAAACGTAAGTTAACAGATCTTTATTCTACAAACACTGTTTTGATTAACGTGCGAAAAATAAACGGATTATTATGGTACATGATAATACAGTGTAGAGAACCTTGGTCTTTTCAGTTATTTCCGTTGCTGGACAAGATCCTACTTACTGCAGTTCCCAGAAAGTTCAAAAACCGATACGAATGCCACTTCTTTCTTTTGAGCATAAGACAAGACTGTGAAGTCCCTCGTATTGATCACGAGTAAAATGAACAGGAACAGAAAGCAGTTCTATACAACAGTTTCAGTCTACTAATTTGCCAAAGCAAGCACACCAAAGCATCCTAGCTTTCCCTTTTCAAATTGTTAAGCTTCAAGAAAGAATGTTAAAGGTGAATTTTCTTCGTAGGAGCTTCAAACCTGCAAAGTGGTAATGATCTTATCTCTCTCTCTGTCTCTGGGTAAAGAATATTTCTATTGAAGATTCTTCGCTCTTTTGCCTTTTGCGCGAGGAAGTTTTGTGGGTAATCAAATACTTCGGGAAAGGATTGTGCTTCGCACACAGATTAAGAGGAGTCTAAGTGAGTGTTTGGAGTATATATGTTTGATGTTTCCTATTGCACCAAGCCGTTGTTAAAGCTTGTGGTTTCAGAGATAAAGCTGTTGAAGAACAAGAAAGAAATCCACACGACGCAGCTTAGGAGAGGTGGTGCTGTTGCTCAAGAACCTTCAGGACCAAACTGCTGGGATACAGGAGCATGTGATGTCTGGATAATTTCCCGGATGTTTGAGTGTTTGCAGACGCTTGATGCTGAAGTTGCAATAGTTGACCGTAGATGATCTCTGCATCTTAAACTAGGTAGACTTATCGTAAATCCGGGTTAAGGTGCATATTGACTATAGTTTCTGATGTTTCGCTTTCACAAGTTCAACATTACATTGTTGCTTTGACAATATAACAAGCGCTTTGACTATGGTTCATCAATTGTTTACTCTTCCTCTGTCAGGTTGAACATATGATGAGGTAAGAGAGACATTGCAGGTGTATGATCTCATCGTATAGCACTGCCAAATTACCGAAGTGCACGTGCCAACCATTGAGTCGCGAAAGGAGGCTATCTATTTTACTTAGCAACTGCTTTTAACTTGCGTTGTGCGTCCAAGATTTCATTTGGCAAAACTGACATCTCATACATCTTCCAGGATATGCCTTTTGACTTTGCTAAGTTGTGTTCCAATTTGAGACGTCAAAGAAATCCGATCCAAGTAGGAATTCCAAATGTCGATAGGACTAATCGTTTGCGATCCGAACAAGCAAGACATTATTGAGATACTTTCCATGTTGGAGTTGGATTCCTAGTCTTAATTGGTTTCCTACTTTGAGTCGGCAAGTCAAATTAGAACACATAAATGCATATTTTTCTTGGTTGCAACACAGAGCAAACAAGAGGATGTTAGGGTTTTCTCTTTGTGACTAAGTGAATTCTCTGAGAGAAATTGTGATGTTTTGGGTATAATTTAGGGCAGGAAAACACTTGAGCGATTGTAAAGTTCGTATTCTTTATATTCATTATGATTATTTGGTGGGTGGCTGGTACCGATATTTTGTTCTTCTCACGTTGGCCTTAAATAGACTTCCACATTATTTCACAATAATATTCTTTTTTCCCAATACATAGGTTGACTTTACTACAAGTAAAGTCATAATGATCAGCTGGATCTGGATTTATGTGTTTCTTGGACAGAAAATATACCTGTCTCTCGTGCATTGTAACTGAGAATTCACACTTCATATAAAATGTCAACTCTCCCATCTCTTTATTTTATTCAGAAAGATTAAACTTGTCTACTGAAATCTGAAGCCAACAGTTAAGATGAAGAAGTGTTTAAACCACAGAAACCAGAGAAATAGATTGCTGATATCTACTTGTGGCCACACAATGTCCCAGGGTGCGCATGCCTGCGTGTTCCGTGTCTCCTATAACTTTAAGAACCAGGGAATCATATCTATTTGTGAATTCTGATGACTGAAATCTTACTAATCTGTTCCTTTTCTTTTTCCAGTTCATCTAGACCATTTGCAGTACTTTCACATAACGAATTTTACTTTGCCAGGGCCAACAACAAATGCAAATGCTTGGGAAGCTAGGATTTAGCACATTCATGCTGGAAAAGCCCGGTTTTGCATGGTTATTATTGCTTGAAAGCTTGATAAGATCATTTTAGAATAATTCAATACTATATCATATGGAAAAAATTCTAGGATTTGTTAGGTGAATGGGTTCCTGTAAAGGGTTATCCAAAGGGTCCCCTCTGCTCGTTATCTCCAGGTTGAAGCACTAAGTTACTTTCATTTGGGTCTGCAGTGCAGTTGTGTTGCTTTATTTCTCGTCTCTGAAGTTCTGAACTTAGATTACAGAGCAATCGTACCATTAAAGATATTATGGTCTACACAGCCCTGAAAAATTTCTTCATTGGAACTAATTAGCCAACCAAATGTTCTCCAACAAGTTTATCCCAATTTTCTGATGAGCAACTATGTCTTGCTCTAATACATTGTTTTCATTTAGGATTTAACAAGAACTTAATCTGCATGATAGTTGAAAAGGCAACAGTACACTCAAACACAACCACTAATTGGTTTGATATCTGTCTAAATCTCAAAAGTTGTTGGCCAATGAACTCTCTCACAATGTATTAATGCATTTAAGTTTCTTTGTAAAACTGAAAAGTGAATTGAATCGAATAATTTATCTTCAGAATGCAGTTCAAGAATTGTCTTCACCTGATAAAGATAAGATTGATTCTGTCGTGCTCTAATTTATCATTATAACTGTGTTCTATGACTATTGTTCACGGATAATTTCCTAAAACATCAGAAAAGAAAATAATTGAAATATTATTGTGATGCTTCCAGTAAAATGAATGTTGTTAGAAGGGGGAAAAGAAGTTTTTGAAATCAACCAGAGTATGTGTGAACTCTAGAACGAGGTTAACAGATAATTACTTCTCAAAGCACACGGCGCCTGCATTTAAATATGTAGGAAAGCGATAGTCTTTGCATTCTTTTCCATTGATTGAACGAACTGGTGCAGTTACAAAACAGTACCAAGGAAATTACATTGTGTAGTATGCCAAAGTCAACTGCCAGGAAGATGAATCAGACACTCCACGAAACCGTATGGTCTATATTGTTTTAAAGTGAAGGAACAATCCTTGTCTATAAAACACCAAATTTGTCAGCGTCCATAGAATCTATGACAACTTGACAGTTCCACCAACTCCAGAAGGGCATTTTGCCATCAATACGCAGAGCTAGTTCTCAAAGGTTCAGTAAGGCAAGTTCCAACCTCTAATTTACAGCTTTTACAGATGAGGCATTTTACTCAGTAGAGGAGACTCCTTGCAGCGATTCACGGTCATATTTCATTACAAATATCTTTCAAATCTATGCGCACGGTCTGTAGTCTTGTTGATTATGTGCTATAGCAATCACAAATGTGTTTGTAAACCATGAACACGTGGTCATTTGGAGTCATTAGCTTGATGGGATTAGGCAGTTTGATAAGGTAAGAAATTTTTACTTTCCTAGGGAAAGAGTGAAAATGGAAGAGAAAAAGAAAGCAGCATCAAATTATGATAAGGCATTGTTGCAGAGTAAGGAGCTGTATCAGGTACTTCATTTTTTGTCATTCACATCCTCTATTTCTTTCCCCCTTTTCAGTTAAATGTTAAGTTAGCTTCATCCTTCCACACGCCAGAAAAAGTCCAACCCTTCGATCCTGTCAAAAGCAGGCCATTCAGGGGTTTCTTGAGTGCTTCCTCTTGGCCGATCCTAATAGGTTAAGCTGAATATGAATCGAATACAATTTGGCTAATCTGTAGGATTCTTTACCTTCTGTTAGACTGCCATTGTGTCTTAAAGTTTTGCTTCCCTGCACATGTTTAATTTCGCAGTACATTTTGGACACAAGTGTGTACCCAAATGAACCAGAGCCACTTAAGGAACTGAGAGAAGTTTCTGCAAGCCATCCAAGGTCTCTCTCTGAGTTGAAACATCTTGTAATTAACACTGTTTCCCGGAGGATATTTCCCCCTAACAGTAAACAAGGGACATAATTTTTTCTTCTTTCATTTGCTGATATTCAGGTATTGGATGGGCACTGCACCAGATGCAGGTCAATTGATGGCAATACTACTGAAGCTTATCAATGCTAAAAAGACCATTGAAATCGGAGTCTTCACCGGATACTCTCTTTTACTCACTGCCCTAACAATTCCTGAAGATGGCAAGGTCTTCAAGCACTCATCATGCTTTACAATAAAAGAATCCGATTGGTTTGCTCATGCAATCATAATTGCTGCAGATAATAGCCATAGATGTCGATCGCGAGGCTTATGAAATGGGATTTCCCGTTATCGAGAAGGCCGGCGTAGAGTACAAAGTCGACTTCATTAAGTCCGAGGCTCTCCGAGCTCTAGATGATTTAATGGAAAATGTGGGTCATTTACCAGCCTTTCCTAGTTTATGCAGTTCACTCTTGCGGCATCAAATTTTCTAGAAGAAATGCTATATGCACATACTTTGATAGAGCGAGCTAATTTTACTTCAGAATACAGTATACCTGTAATACACAACATAAAAATTTTGTCTTGTACATTTTGATGGACTATCTACTTGTGTCGCCTTCTGGGTAACATTTAACTCTTATGCTTTCCTTTGTTGTATTGAGTCTGATTGTGATTTGGCATAATGAAACAAAATGCAGCCTGATAACGAGGGGAGCTTCGATTTTGCCTTTGTCGACGCGGACAAAGTCAACTACTTGAATTATCATGAGAGGTTGATGAAACTGGTCAAAGTGGGTGGACTAGCCATCTACGACAACACCCTCTGGAGAGGAACAGTTGCGATGCCTGAATCTGCAGTTGGGGAGAAATATAAGGAGGGTCGAAATCTGCTGCTTGGATTCAACAAATTACTGGCCAACGATCCTCACGTCCAAATTTGTCATGCTTCGATAGGTGATGGGATGACAATCTGCCGGAGACTTCACTAAGCTTTTATGCTTGACACCCACATAATTGTTTCTTTCAGTAAGGAGATTGCGTTCGCCATAACTTCTTATATCTTTGGCCTGTTGTTGTCTTGTATATTGTACAAACCACAACATTTATGGATAGGCCAAAATTGATGTGGTCATCAGAAAGTTCTATGAACAATTAATAAATATTGTTACTGCAGAAACATTCATAAATAATAAATGTACTAGTTCATTTTGTTGTGGTGTCGGAAAATTTCATTGGAATCCTTCTTCAAGTTTTCAATTTGAACTTGTCACATGTTGGTTTCAAGTCATCTACAGATTCATTTTCTTCAAACTGATTGCATCCATCCAAAATAAATGTGATGACTCCCTACAAGGTTCTGCCAAGCAACAGAATGACAGAGAAACTATCACAAAGCAACCTTACCTTGGGTTGGAACTTCGGAAATTTGCATGGTGATAAGGCATGCCAATAAATGTTCGAGAGTTGATTCACGCCACATGATATGGTCATGGCCAAGACAGGCTTGGAAGAAGCATGCTCTTGAAAACTTTGCCCAAGGAATGATCAGTACTACTGTATTCTGACTGAGTTGCTAAATCACGACCATTCCTCAAAACAGCTCTGCAAGTAATCCCACAGAGAGAGAGAGAGAGAGAGAGAGAGAGAGAGAGAGAGAGAGAGAGAGAGAGAGAGAGAGAGAGAAGTGCAGAGACGTTCTTGTTACCAGGGCAAGCAAAACCATAATTTACTCACATTTAGTGCATAAGACGAGAACAAAAAATAACTAGGCAGAACACCACAGCAGAGTCCTGTCTCACTTGCACACAATGCAGGGTAAAAGAATAGATTAAGAAGAACGCAATCCAATTAGCCAACTGAATCTATAACAAAATCATTGCCATATTCTTGTTTTCCTTATAATTACATACTTCTGTGGCTATCTGCAAGCAAATTATGTCTAGCAACCTTCAATTTGTATGATCGAAGGTCCACATATGAACAAATGTCCGCAGATGAACAGTCTCCCAACCTATCAATACTTTTCAAGTTGTTTTCTTTTAACAAAACAAGTTTCGTATAACTTCAAGGACAGAGTTCCCAGTGCAGATTGCGGTTCAGGAATTGTTTTCACCGGATAACACTAAGCTTACTTCCACCTGTTTCTTATGTAGCACTATCATGATGTCAACCGTTCTTCATGGATAATTTCCTCGAAACACAGAAAATAAAAGAAAGATGATAATCGAAAACATCATTGCAATTCTATCAGAAACACGCTCATCGTGAAAGGGAGAAAAAGAAATTCTTGAAATCATCCTAATTAGTGTGCCCTCTAGAACGACACTGACAAATTATTACTTCTCAAAGCACACGGTGCCTATGTTGAAATACGTGGCTTATGTCCTCGCACTTTGGTTTTTTTTAGTGACCATGTCTAGTTACAATCAAGGATATTTTGTAGTTGGTGACAATTGCTACAAGTCAACTACCAAGATCTCAGTTGGACACGCCACCAAACAAATTATAATGTCAGTACTAACCTTTCTTTAAAACGCCAGATTAGTCGGCATTGACAGTATCAAAATAACTTGACAGTTTTCTAAATTTCTGGGGGATAATCTGCCTCTGGCACGACACTGACAAATAGTTACTTTTCAAAGCACACGGTGCCTATGTTGAAATATGTGGCTTATGTCCTCACATTTTGTTTTTTCTATTGACTAAGTCTAGTTACAATAACAAGGATATTTCGTAATTGTACAATTGCTAAAAGTCAAGTACTAGGATCTCAGTTAGACACTCCACCAGACAAATTATATTGTAGCGTAGAACTAAAATTTCTTTAAAACGCTAGATTAGTCAGCAATGATAGTATCGGAATAACTTGACAATTTTCTCAATTCGGGGATAATCTGCCTCTAGAACGACACTGACAGATAATTACTTCTCAAAGCACACGGTGCCTATGTTGAATGTGGCTGATGTCCTCGCATTTTGTTTTTTTTTCTATCGACCGAGTCTAGTTACAATAACAAGGATATTTCGTATTTGTACAATGGCTCCTGGTCAACTACCAGGATCTCAGTTAGACACTCCACCAAACAAATTATTTTATAGTGCAGAACTAACCCTTCTTTAAAAAGCCAGATTAGTCAGCATTGATAGTATCATAATAAATTGATGTTTTCTCAATTTCTGAGGGATGATCTGCCATTAACACGCAGCTAGTTCTCAAAGCTTCTATAAGTTAGGCAAGTTTCTGACATCTAAGTTACAACTTTTTGTAAATGGGGCATTTTGATTAGTTGAGTAAACTCTTTATAGCGCAGTGAAGGTCACTTTCCGTGATAAATATCTGTAACTCTCATAAAAATAACAAACATCGAAGTTTGTCGACCTTGAACCTGTGGTCACTCGGGGTCATTTCTGGATATTGCAGGAAGTTTGACTCAGTAAGAGTTTGCATTTTGCTAAGGAGAGAACACAGAAATGGAAGAGGATGAATAGCTATAATGCTTTGACATTCAATCGACTGTGTATAGTTACAATAAGAAGCATATTTCATAGTTGTCCAATTGCTACCGGTCAAATACCAGGAGTCTCAGTTCAAAAAATCCGCCAAACCATATTATTTTGAAGTGCAGGACTAACGCTTTCTGTCTTTATTCTTGCATTATTTTCCTCGAACTCCGATAATACAAAAAGCATCTTTATGATGCTCGCAGAAGACGCATTTGAGGGGGAACAGGGGCTCTTTTGAGTTCTACTCGATGACCGGTGACCTCGAAAACGATACTGCATTGGATGATGTAAACATTAAATGAGTGAGCCTATTAACCAGGGAGATTTGATGGTTGTGGTATCATAACAATCAACAAACCACTCCACCAAACTGTAATATCTTAGGAATTTTGGTTGAGTGCAAGGCTGGCCCTATGGCATTAATGGACCGAACTGCATTCCAGGTCATACTTCATCATATATATGTCTCTGTCATATACCAGGTCATTTCCCAGTGTCGAGGCAGTTTGATTCGACAGATATGCATTTCAGTAAGGAGAGCAAAAATGGAAGAGAAAACGAAAGTGTACTCAAGTTCCCACTTCCCACAAAGGGTTATTGCAAAGTAAAGAGTTGAATCACGTACACTGCTAATTGTCTTCACATCCTGTTTCTTTCTTCTTTCAGTCTTGATGTTGCCGGGGTTGAATGGTACAGTAAGTGCGCTCAGCTTCAACATGCCTGACTGACTAAGTGCAGCTCTCCAATCCTGTCAAAAGCATCCATCCTGGGATTTGACAAGTACGTCATCTTGGGCCGAACCTTTATTAAATCGAACTCATTCTGCATGATACCTAGGATTGTTTACCTTCTCTTTTATTGCCAATGCTTCCTCAATTTTTTGCTTTCATCCATATGCTCAAATTTGGCAGTACATTTTGGACACAAGCATGTACCCGCAGGAACTAGAACCGCTTAAGACCTAAGAGAAGTCAGCGCTATCCATCCGAGGTGTCTCCCTCTCTCTTCTCGGCAAGACTAGACTTAATTCTAAACGGTGCAAAAAACATGAGTTTTCTCAAATGTCATGTAAGATGCGTTTGTTAACCATTCTGTTCCTGAAAACAATTTCTACTCAGAAATGATTTTTTTGTTATTCCATTCCCGAAATCAATTTCTAATCATTTGAAGGCGTATGGTAATTGTCCAAAATTTATATTCCTGGAATAGAAAAAGAACAGAAATGCGTTTAGTAACTACACAAAGTTCTTTTTATTAATAATATTTTGAATTTTTTAATATTTTTTTCTCTTTTTTTTTCCTTTTTTTCTTTTCTTTTTTCTGCTTCTTCTTCCTTGGCCCATGGCCCGGTTGCCGGCGAGGGCGCCGGTGACTAGCCCTCGCCGCCGCCCTTGCAGCCTGGGCAAGGGTCTCCCTTGCGGCCTGGGCGAGGGTCGCCCTCACCAGATCCGATGAGGCGGCCCTCGCCGCTCGCGGCCTAGGTGAGGGTCACCCTCGCCAGATAGGCCGTGAGGGTCCAGCCCTCGCCAACCACATGCCAGGAAAGAAGAAGAAGAAGATAAAAAGAAAAAAAATTCTTTTCCATTTCTAATTCTTGTTCCCAGAATCAAGAATCAACTTTTTTTTTTATTTTTTATTCTATTCCAAAACTGATTCTGGGAACAAATTTGTGCTCGAAAACAAAAAATTTACCAAACGGATTTTTGTTCTTTTTTTGTTCCAAGGAACAAAAGAATAGAATCAAGCATTGTTTGGCCGGTTACCAAACAGGCCCTTATTCATCTCTCCACTTATACGAAAATCCATCTTAAGGGATTGTATGTAGACACTGGGCATGGTTTCGTCTTCTTTTTTGCAGAAGACAACATTATATTGTAAATTGACCCTAATTAAGATCAAACCTCAACATTCTACTTACGAATGTTGTTGGGTTTAAGAGAATTCCTTTTTGCGATTTTCCCTGTCGTTACCAGCTCTATGTAAATGCCTCAACGCATAGCAAAATTATAAATTCAGATTGAACGTACTCTTCTCTCATGTGGAACTTTCACTGAAAAGAGACCTCAATTGTTCTTTGATCAAGGAAACAAACAAGATTGATATCAATTACAAAATGCCAAACGTAAGTTAACAGAACTTTATTCTATAAACACTGTTTCGATTAATGTGCGAAAAAATAGACAGCTTAGTATGGTACATGATAATACTGTTTAGAGAACCTTGATCTTTTCAATCATTTCGTTTGACAATTTTTTGAATTTTTCTACGATTTTCTTTTCTTTTTTTTTTCATTGTCCTAACCTTCATTGTGCATTTAGTAAACCTTGGTGCCAATTGTCTAAACCATTTAATTGTGTCATTCAGTTCTAAACATTTTATTTTGTGCCAATTATTATCCCGGTCAATTTTGCTGATTCCGACGTGACGCCCTCGGCCGCGAGCCGTCACCGCAGCGCGACGTGGAAAATTTATATATTTAATATTTTTTGAATTTTATTTTTACCTTTTTTTTTTTCCACTTTTTTGTCCCCCGCCCGGCGCGGCGGACCGCCGAGCGAGGCCGGCGAGCTCGACCTCGCCGACGGCGAGGGCGGCGGCCTCGCCCGGCGAGGGCTAGCCTCGCCTTGGTCCGGCGAGGCTCAACCTTGCGATCCGGCGAGGGTCGGGCCTCGCCCGACCATGGCGAGGCTCGCCGCGGCCTCCGATGAGGGCTCGAGCCTCGCCTTGGTTGGGCAAGCTCGACCTCGCCAAACCGGCGAGGTCGGGCCTCGCCCGGCCATGGCGAGGCTCGCCCTCGCCGGAGGCCGCGGCGAGGCCCGACCTCGCCGGATCTGGCGAGGTCGAGCCTCGCCCGACCAAGGCGAGGCTCACCCTCGTTGGGCGAGGGCCGCCTCGGCCTCGGCCTGCCGTCGCCGGACGGCGCGGCCGCAGGAAGGAGGGGATAAAAAAAAAAAAAAAGGAAAAAAATAAAAATAAAAAAAATAAAAAAATATTAAAATTTTATGGTAAAATTGTCACACGTACGGCTGGGTGGTAAGTCGTAAAATTGTCACCCACGGTTTTGATGGTCAAAAATAGTTCGGTCAAAATTGACCGAAGTGACTAAATTGGTTTTATGGTCAAAAAAATAGTTTGGGGTAAATGTGTCACAAGTGTACCAGTTTAGGGTTTTTCGTGGTATTAACCCAATTATAAATACAGATTGAACGTACTCTTCTCTCATGTGGAACTTTCACTGAAAAGAGACCTCAATTGTTCTTTGATCAAGGAAACAAACGAGATTGATATCAATTACAAAATGCCAAACGTAAGTTAACAGAACTTTATTCTATAAACACTGTTTCGATTAATGTGCGAAAAATAGACAGCTTAGTATGGTACATGATAATACTGTGTAGAGAACCTTGATCTTTTCAGTTATTTCCGTTACTGGACAAGAGCCTATTACCTACTACAGTTCCTAGAAAGTTCAACAATTAATCATGATAGATATTCTGGATTGGTTTTGTTAATTATTGGGGACGATGGATTGATGTTCATGATCGCGGTGAACCCAATGAAGAGTGAGTATGTATATTGTATAAGGGCTAAATGCTACACATGGATACGAGTCACATGGGAGCCACGTCTAGAGCCTCATACTACTCAAGGGCTAAGTTCTACATGATGACGTGAGTCTCGTGGGACCCAGCTTTGGGGCCTCGGTTAGTGTTGAGCCGGCTAAGTGATGTTATATGACATTTAACAATCATAAACTATCAATGTGTGATATGAAATTGATTAATGAAATAGACCATTGGTGTCTGATTCGATGTTGTTGATTTAAAATGAGTTTTTTTATACGTATAAAGTTTTGTTGATAATGTATAACTCATTTTTGGTGTTTTACATATATTATATATTGGATTTGGGATTGAGTTTTTTATATTACATGGTAAATACGCAAAGTGACTGCTCGATCTGCTTAGAATAGATATTTACTACTCACTGAGCGATGATTGCTCGAACCATTCTTCTTATCAGGTTTTTCAGGTCCCTCGGTTAGTGTCGAGTAGGATGAGAGCACTAATAGCGGGAAATTTTTTGTAGTTGAATTTTGGGTATGCGTCGGAGATGTATACATATGTTTTATTGGATTATAGAAACTCTGATATGTTGATTTGAGTTTGAGATTGCATCTTTTAGGTAGAATGAATGATGACCGTGTCATTACCCCTAATCCTGTAAGATTCGGGGTGCGACAATCTTTGCATCTTAAACTAGGCAGACTCTTCATAAATCTGGGTTAAGGCACGTATTGACTATACTTGCTGATGTATCGCTTTCACAAGCCCGACATTACATTGTTGCTTGGACAATATACTACTCTCTTTGGCACTCTCCCTTGATGTCTGATGAGTATAAATCATGGTTGAGATGCATGTCATGGAGTAGTTCATCAATTGTTCACTCTTCCTCTCTCTCGTTGAACACGTGATCAGTAAGAAAAGACATTTCAGGCACATGATCTCATCGTGGTACAGCCAAATTATCGCAGCGCACATGCCAACCATCGAGCCTTAAAAGTAGGCGATCGATTTTACTTAGATAATCATCTCTTCTTAACACGTTGTGCGAGAATGATTTCTTTTGACAAAACTGACATCTCATCCATCTTCCAAGATATGCCCCGTTGACTTTGCGAAGTTGTGTTCCAGCTTGAGACGGCAAAGGGATTCCAAATGCAAATAGGACCGGATGGTTTGCCATCCGAGCAAGCAAGAAATTATTAAAATACCTTTTTCACGTTGGAGTTAGATTCCTAGTTTTAATCAGCTTCTTAATTTGAGTTGGCAAGTAACATTAGAACGTGTAAACGCGGAATTTTCTTTTGTTGTAACACATAGAGCAGACAAGAGGTTGTTAGGGTTTTCTCTTCGTGGGTATTCCAAGTGAGTTCTTTGTGAGAAATTCTTATGTTTTTTGTTGTAGTTTAGGGCAGGAAAACACTTGAGCGATTATAGATTCCATATTCTTTGAATTCATAGTGAGTACTTGGCGGGTGGCTCTCCTATGGAATAAAGACTGCGACTGACTGAACTAAGTAAATCGTTATTTTTTGTTCCTCATTAAATTCTCTTATTCTTTTCACGTTAGACTTAAATTGCAAAATCCATCGACTTCCGCGTTATTTCACAACAAATATTCTTGTATTTCCAATACAAATATTGACTTTACTACAGGATGACGTGCACGTTGTTTGCTCAGGAAGCAGTGGAAAATTGTTGACAGGAAATATCTCTGTCTCTCGTGCATTGTAATTGAGAGTTTACACTTGATTCAAAAGTCAACTCTCCCATCTCACACCTGATTTAAAATCAACTCTCCCCTCTCTTTATTTTACTCAGAAAGATTAGACTTTTTTTTACTGAAATCCGAAGCCAACAGTTAAAGATAGAGGAGTGTGTAATACTAAATGTTGAACAAAAAGAGAATGAACCAGAGAAATGGATAACTGATATCTACTTGTTGCAACACAGTGTCACAGGGTGCGCGCGCATGCGCGGGTGTGTCTCCAATAACTTAAAGAACCAGAAAATCATATAGCTAGTTGCGAATTCTGATGAATGCAATTTCACTTAATTTTCATTTTGCTTTTCTAGTTCATCTAGACCATGGGCAGTACTTTCACAAAACAAATTTTACTTTTCCGGGGCCAACAACAGATGCAAGTGCTTGGAAAGCTAGAATTTAGTATATTCATGCTGGAAAAACCCGGTTTTGCATGGTTATTATTGCTTGAAAGCTTGATAAAATCTTTTTCAAATAATCCAAAACTATATCATATGGAAAAATTGTAGGATGTGTAAGGTAATCGTGTTTTTGTAAAGGGTCATCCAAAGGGTACCCTTTGCTCGTTATCTTCTGGTCGATACATTGAGTTTCTATTATTTGGATCTGCAGTACAGTTGTCCTAATTCGTTTCTTGTCTCTAAAGTTCTGAACTTAGATTTCAGATCAATCGTATCATCGAAGACATTATCGTCTATACGACCCTGAATAATTTTTTCATTACTCATTCGCCTACCCAACTTTCTGCATCAAGTTCATCTCAATATTCTGATGAGCAACTGTATCTTGGTATCTGCTCAAATACATAGTTTTCACATAGGATTCAACAAAAACTTATTCCGCATGATAGTTGAAAAGCCAATAGTACACTTGAACACAACCATGAATTTGTTTGATGATCTGCGCAAATTTAAAAAGTTCTGGGCCGATGAACTCTTTCACAATCTATTTATGCATTTCAAGTTGCTTCTGAAAAACCAAAAGAAGTTCTTGAAATCGACCAAAGTGTGTGTGAACTCTAGAACGAGGTTAACAGATACTTTCTTCTCAAAGCACACGGCACCTACTTTGAAATATGTAGGAAGGCAATAGTCCTTGCATTCTTTTCAACTGATTGAACGAATTGGTGCAATTACAATACAATACCAACAGGATTACATAGTATAATATCCTAAAGTCAACTCCCAGGCACATGAATCAGACACCCCACGAAACCATATAGTCTATATTATTTTAAAGTTACGGAATAATCCTTGTCTTGCACCAAATTAGTCAGCCTCCATCTATTATAAAGAGAACTGGACATTTGGCCATTACTACGTAGAGCTAGTTCTCTAAGCTTCAATAAGTAAGGCAAGTTCCAACCTCTGATATACAGCCTTTCATAGGTAAGGCGTTTCAATCAGTGAAGGAGAGACCCCTTGCAGTGAATCATGGTCATATTTTATGATAAATATCGCTAAAATCTATGCATGGCACAGTCTGTAGTCTTGTTAATTATGTGCTATCGTAATCACAAACATGTTTGTAAACTGTGAACATTAGGTCATTTGGGTTCCTTGATGTGAAGGCAGTATTCTAAGGAAAGAGCAAGAATGGAAGAGAAAATGAAAGCAGCATTAAATTATGACAAGGCGTTGTTGCAGAGTAAGGAGCTGTATCAGGTACTCCATTTATTGTCATTCACATCCTCTATCTCTTTCCCTCTTTTCGGTCAAATGGTAAGTTAGCTTGGCTTTCATTTTTCCACATGCCAGAAAAAATCCAACCCTTCGATACTGTCAAAAGTAGACCATTCGGGGATTTGTCGAGCTTTCTCTAGGTCGATCCTAATAGGTTAAGCTGAATATGAATCGAATCCAATACGGCTAATGTGTAGGGTTCTTTACCTTCTCTTACACTGTATTTGCTTTTTAAAATATTGCTTCCATGCATATGTTCAATCTCGCAGTACATCTTGGACACAAGTGTGTACCCAAATGAACCAGAGCCTCTTAAGGAGCTGAGAGAAGTTTCAGCAAGCCATCCAAGGTCTCTCTCTCTCTCTCTCTCTCTCTCTCTCTCTCTCTCTCTCTCTCTCTCTCTCTCTCTCTCTCTCTCTCTCTAGCTAAGTGTCCATAACATCATGATGCAGTCACTGACTGTGACTTATAATGCTTTCATTCAATTTAAGGAGTCATATAATTGAAACATCTTGGTGTTGACACTTTCCAGGAGGATATTTCCCCCGAAAGTAAACAAGGGATTCAACTTTTCTTCTTTTATTTGTTCATATTCAGTTATTGGATGGGCACTGCACCAGATGCAGGCCAATTGATGGGAATACTGCTGAAGCTTATCAATGCTAAAAGGACCATTGAAATCGGAGTCTTCACCGGATACTCTCTTTTACTCACTGCCCTAACAATTCCTGAGGATGGAAAGGTCTCCAAGCACTCATCGTGTGTTATAATAAAAGAATTTGATTGGATTGCTCATGTAATCACAATTGCTGCAGATAATAGCCATAGATGTCGATTGCGAGGCATACGAAATGGGATTTCCCGTTATCAAGAAGGCCGGCGTAGAGCACAAAGTTGACTTTATCAAATCCGAGGCTCTCCGAGCACTAGATGATTTGATGGCAAATGTGGGTCATTTACCAGCCTTTCCTAGTTTATGCAGTTGCCTCCTACTGCATCATATGTTCTATGAGGAACGTTATATGGATTTACTATGATAGAGCGAGCTGATTTAGCTTCAAAATACAGTGTACATTGTGACGGCCTCTATCTACTACTTGTGCCGTGTTCTGTGCTACGTTTGTTTCTAATGCTTTCCTTTGTTGTATCAAGTCTGATGGGGATTTGGCATAATAAAACTAATTGCAGCTTGATGACGAGGGGAGCTTCGACTTTGCCTTTGTTGACGCGGACAAAATCAACTACTTGAATTATCATGAGAGGCTGATGAAGCTGGTCAAAGTGGGTGGGCTAGTCATATACGACAACACCCTCTGGAGAGGATCTGTTGCGATGCCTGAAGATGCGGTTGGAGAGAAATATAAGGAGGGTCGAAAGCTGCTGATTGAGTTCAACAATTTACTCGCCAACGATGCTCGCGTCCAAATTTGTCATGCTTCAATAGGTGATGGGATGACAATCTGCAGGCGACTTCACTAAGTTTTTGTCCGTTGACCCCCCCATAATTCTTTCTTTCAGAAAGGAAATCGCACTTGTCGTAACTTCTTATATCTTTGGCATGTTGTCTAGTATATTGTAATAACCACAACATTTATAAATAGGCAAAAATTGATGGGGTCCTCAGAGAGTGCTACGCTGGATGATATAAAGGGATAATGACACAAACAATCTCTGAACTTTGATCAAATGTGCAATTTGGTCCTTGAACTTTTAATTTATTCAATGTAGTCCCTGAACTTTTGCCTAATGTTCAATATGGTCCTTGAACTTTTATTTTGTTCAATGTCATCCCTAAACTTTTGGTACATGTTCAATTCAGTCCCTGAACTATATGAAAATGTTCAATGCAGTCCTTTCCATTTGAATTAATTTCAAAGATTACATTCAACAAATTAAAAATTCGAGGACCACATTGCACATTGGGTTAAAGTTCATGGACTACATTGAATAAATTAAAAGTTCATGGACCAAATTGCACATTGAGCCAAAGTTCAGGGACTGTTTGTGTCATTTTGCCATCAATATATAATGTCAGTACAGAAACATCCAAACATAATAAATGTGCTGGTTCATTTTGTCGTGGCACCCTCAGATTTCATTTGTATGCTTTTTCATGTTTCCAATTCGAGTCTGTCACATGTTGTACTGAAGTCATCTACAGATTCATTTCTTTCGAACCGAGAGCATCCATCCAAAATAATGTAATCATTCTCTACAAGGCTCTGTCAAGCAACAGAACAATGGAGAAACTATCACAAAGCAACCTTACCTCGGGTTGGAACTTCAGAAACTAAATGGTGCTGTAGGCATACCAATATTGCCAATGGTGAAGAGTTAATTCATGCCACATGATTTTGTCACGGCCAAGACAGAGGCTTGGATATAGTGTGGTCTTAAAGACTTTACTCAAGGAATGATCAATGGTACATATTCTGACCGAGTTGCTAAATCATGACCATTCCTCAGAACAGCTCCGTCAGTAATCCCAGAGAGAGAGAGAGAGAGAGAGATGTAAATGATCACACCACAAGTTAGCATCATATACTGTCCCGTTCTTGTTTCCAGGGCAAGCAAAACCATAACTTACTCACAGTAAGTGCATCAGACCAGAACCAATAATAACTGGGCAGAACACCACAGCAGAGTCCTGTCTCACTTGTACACAATGCAGGGTAAAAAAATAGAATAAGAAGAACGCAATCCGAGAATCTATAACAAAATCATTGCTATATTCTTGTTTTTCTTATAATTACGTACTTTGTGGCTATCTGCAAGCAAATTATGTCTAACAAAGACAACCTTCAATTTGTTTGATTTAAGGTCCAAATATGAACAAATGTCGGCAGATGAACAGTCTCCCAACCTGCCAATACGTTTCAAGTTGTTTTATTTTAACAAAACGAGTTTCGTATAACTTCAAGGACAGAGTTCCTAGAGCAGATTGCGGTTCAAGAATTGTTTTCACCTGATAACACTAAGCTTACTTCCACCAGTTTCTTATGTTGCACTATCACGACGTCCTATAACTGTAGGCGTGGTTAAATTTCCTCGATGCTCATAAAATGAAAGAAAGATGATAATCGAAAACATTATTGCGATTCTATGAGAAAAATGCTCATTGTGAAAGGGAGAAAAAAAGGTTATCGAAATTATCCTGAGTTTGTGTGCCATCCAGAACTGACACCGACAGATAATTATTCTCAAAGCACACGGTGCCTATGTTGAGATATGTAGCTTATGTCCTCGCATTTTGTTTTTCTATTGACTGAGTCTAGTTGCAATAACAAGGATATTTCATAGTTGTACAATTGCTACCGGTCAACTACCGGGATCTCAGTTACACTCCACCAAACCATATTATTTTAAGGTGCAGAACTGCTCTTCTTTAAAACACCAGATTAGTTAGCATCAAGAGTATCTCAGAGTAACTTCACAGTTTTCTCAAATCTTTTGAAGTGCACTCGATGACCTGTGGCCTCTAACACAATACTGCATCGGATGATGTAGAAAATTAAATGAGCGATGGTTCTATTTCTCAATCTTTCTGACTTGCTCCTACGGAACCAAGGTCGAAGAGATTGAAAAAAAAATCAGTCATTCACAACCACTGATGAAGGATTCCTCGAAAAGTTAAGGATTAGTAATCCTTTTTAGAAATGGACTCGGTCTTGTCCTATTTACAATATATAATCAGGGAGATTTGATGATTGTGATATCATAACAATCAACATACCACTCCACCAAACTGTAATGTTGGTTGAGTGCAAGGCTGTCCCTATGGCATTAACGGACCTAACTGCATTCCAGGTCCTATATTTCATCATATATATCTGTCATATACCAGGTCATTTCCCTGTGTTGAGGCAGTTTGATTCGACAAATCTGCATTTCGGTAAGGAGAGCAAAAATGGAAGAGAAAACGAAAGTTTTCCAAAGTTCCGACAAGGGGTTATTGCAAAGTAAGGAGTTGTATCAGGTACACTGCTAATAGTCTTCACATCCTCTTCTTTCGTCTTTCAGTCTTGATGTTGCTGCGCTTAAATGGTATTTAGTAAGTGTGCTCAGCTTCAGAAGTCCTGACTAAGTGCAGCTCTCCATTCCGGGAGAATTATCAAAAAAATTCTAAACCTATTACAATTGTGCAAATTAAGTCCTGAACTTTTTTTTTTGGCCAATTGAGTCGTAAACCTTTTGCACTTGTGCCAATTTGGTCCATCCAATTAGAGTTTTTCATGTGATTAATGCCGCTTCCGGTAGAGTTTTTTCCACTTCCATCGAATGATGGATGTGATCTCCCAGTTGTGCTTATCGAACGCTAGCAGTTGCTTGGTGTTCATCATATGAGATCAAACCAAGAAGTGATTAATTTGCTGATGTTTAGGGCCATGATGGGCACTGCACCAGATGCAGGTCAGTTGATGGCAGTTCTACTGAAACTTCTGAATGCTAAACGGACCATTGAGGTTGGAGTCTTCACTGGGTACTCTCTCCTACTCTCTGCCCTAACGATTCCTGAGGATGGCAAGGTCTGTCAATCATTCACTATTCACTTCGTTGAATCCTTCCCGTTGATATGAGAATGTGATTGGAGTGCTCACGTAATAATCATATGGCTGCACATGACTGCCAGAGATGAGGACCGTGCGGCATATGAAATGGGTTTACCCGTTATCAAGAAAGCCGGCGTAGAGCACAAGATCGACTTCATTGAATCCAAGGCTCTCCATGCCCCAGATAAAATAGTGCAAAATGTAGACAACTTAGCAGCTTTTCCTTGTTTACGAAGTTTCCTACCTACTCCGAAATACCATGGTTTTTCCAAGTCAACGAAGAAAGCTCATCGCTACTTATCTATCCTGCGTATGACGGTGATTTATTGAACCAATCGCAGCGTGATAGAGAAGAGAAGCTTTGACTTCGCCTCCGTCAACGCCGACAACGTCAACTATTGGAATTATCACAAGAGGCTGTTGAAATTGGTGAAAGTGGGTGGACTGGCTGTATACAACAACACGTTGTGGGGAGGATCGGTCGCCACGCCTGAGGATGCGGTTGGACAGATGCTAAAGTAAGGTCGAAAGTTGACGATCGAGTTCAATAACTTGCTGGCCAAGGATGCTTGTCCAAATTTGTCACGCTTCCATGGGCGATGGAATGACAATCTGCTGGCGAATTTCCTAAAGCTATACCGTTGACGAACCTGCATACTTCTTGCTTCATCTGTGGGGATCCCCCCTTTCACCATATCTTATTTTGTAAAATGCAATCTTTTGCATGTTCCATCCAAAATAAACGAATAAATGCAATGAGAAACAGAATTGCTAACCTTGGCCATTCATCGAGATAAGATTTGTGGGCATAAAAAATATACACATGTATGGTCATGTAATTACGGATGTTTTGTGCGTGTGTAGAAAGAGAGAGACAGAGAGAGAATCAATGATCAAACCAAGAGTTAGCATCACCATGCTTCCTAAGTTTCTTTTTCCAAGGACAAGTGAAACGATTGTTTCTTTCCACTAATGCAACAAACGAGTATACTGAAAATAGCTATTCAGTGTGATCCACAGTGTCCTGTCCCACTTACAGTCAGTGCAAGGTAAAATAACAGAAAAATGAGCGCCATCTGTTTACATTTCTACAAAATCTATCACACAAATCCTCACCAATTGGTAGCCCTTTCCCAACAAATCAAGTTAGCTTGCCGCAGGGATTTCCCGTAACACCCGTCAGCAGACTAGCCTCAAGAAATGATAAATTTTTGGGAGCTAGTCCTCCAAAAATGATTAAAGCATATAATATTGCAACCGATTAACAACTGTAATCAATCGCCGATACCTGATGGCCATATCAAGAATTAGCAATGAAAGATAAATGGGCGAGAGTCTTCACTCTCCTAAAATTTGGATCAGATCCTCAGTCTTGTTGAATTATTTCTTTCCTTGCAGCAAATGTTTCAGCAACCAGTATAGGGAAAGCGATGGTAGCATCACAGTGTACCTGGTTCAATCCAAATAAAGTACCATTTTAAAACTCCTCCTTCGTGTTATAGAGATTCTGGGAAGTTTCAGTCTCGGGCTTGGCATATAAAGCGATTACCTTAACAGTTTTGGCAGACCCACGTATTTTTCCCCAAGAAACAGCCTCATCTGGACGAGCTCCAGAATCACTTCCATCAAATTCTTGGGCTGTATTGATAAAGACAGCAAAGTCCGCCCCATTGCGCATCATATTAGCATTGCTTATGTGATGTTTAGGCATCCCTCCTCCCAGGATTATCATTCCAGTTTTTCTAGGGCCAGCATGGACTGCTTCGCCATTCATGGCCCTAATATCTGCACAGAAGTTGGAGTAGAAATTGCTCATCAAGCTTCTTCTTGCTTCAAGTGCAATGAGTGCATGAACCAAAGTGCCTAACCTTGGATTACGTCAATGATTAGACCAGGACTACGGAAGGAGTGGAAGTATAACATGTCTCCCAGTGAGCCATCCGTTAACCCAGGACAGAAGACCGGAATATTATTCTGCAAAATGTCCACTTTATCTTTGAACATAAGTGAGATACTGACAACTTTATTGCACATGTAAGGCAAACCTATGGGTTTACATCGAAAATGCTACTCATGTGCTAAAATTGCAGTTCTTAGGTCTAAACACTGAATGTGTAGAAAAGCCCAGTGACAAATAGACTTGAACCTTCCCTAAAATACTCCTAACAGGGAAACTGTGTTAAGAAAGACGAAATTTTCCTTTTCGTACTTCACATACCCATCCCAGAAGAGGTGTATAGCAGATAATTGTAACCTTGTGCAATAGGATTACCTTGATCGACTCACCTTGTGTGCCCAATAAAGGTATGACCTTTCATCATTAATCTCTTTCCCCAAGCGAGCAATCACCCTAGAAGGTGTCCATAATACGTTCTGCATAAGCCAAAAGGAAGAAATTAAAAGTTGCACTTCTGACCATTCACACAAGGGTGTGGTTCACTGAGAGGAGAGCAGAACTTAGAATTTTGTATAATGGTTTTCACGTGGGACGCTATTATTAAAACAACCCAATGAAATGCCAATTAGATTACTTAGGGTGTGCTATGGAATTAGTGCTTCCCAGGAGAAATGTCTCCATATTCAAACAATGATCCAAAACCAATAATCTAATACATTTTCTACTATGGGGACTCTAGAGATCTGATTCGAGGGGAAAAGAGTTGAAGAAAATAACGAATGCATCCTAACATATCCCACAGAAGCACAATGGGCAATGGCCAACACATCAAAGAAGAGAAAGTACCTCTTCTTTCTGCTCCCTCAGCATCTGGTCAAATATTGGAATTATCCAGTCCTCAAATTTACAGTAGTTGTCATTAGGAACCAACAGGTTACCAATGCGGTTCAATCCTTTCGAGCGCAAGAGAGCTCCAGGCAGGGAAAAATCACCTTTGAATGTAGGCGCAAGGCATTTTATAAGATCTTCCTCTATGCCACCAGCTGTTGTCACTACTACATCGACCTGCACAAACGTAAGAAGCACACCTCCGCATGAATTGGTGAAACACAAGGTAAGCGCACATAAAGAGAATAAACAGAACCCGGTTTCCAAAAGACCCTTCATTTGGAGTAAATTAGGAGATGCAAGATATTTAATGTCAGAACTCTTCCAATGCATTTTTATAGCGAAATAATATATGTACTTTGGTACTTGCAACTTCGACCAAGTACCTGGAAGACTCAAGCATTTAGCAAAAGGATAGTCATGGTTAAAGAACTTCCTTCTATCGTTTGAGTAAACTTTGAGGATTCCAAGCAAAAAAAAAAAAGAATAAACTCTGCGGATAAAGAACAAGACAGCCCACAAAATGATTCAATCACATGCCATAAACAATAGAACACATTTCTTCTCAGCTCAGCAAATGTCACTTAAATTCCACACAGCATATATGCAAAAAATACAAAAAATGCTCCTCAGAATAATTACCATGTGATGCTGAACAAGATAACGAACTGTATCTCTGACACCAGACGAGATAAGGTTGGAAGTGAAACCGAGGAACACCTTGCATCTGACAGACTCTCTATATGCTTGGTCTCTCTCCTCCTCGCTGCAATTTTCAGTTATAGTCTCATCAGAGAGCCTCCAGTCTAGCTTCAAACAATTCCAAAAGCACATCACTGGAATCACGATTCTACGGAAATACAAATAAAGCCTCAACCTTTGCAACTTAAAAAACGGAAAACCGCAGCAACAACAGCAAAAGGCAGGCGAATCCCCCCACTTAAACAAAAGCTCGCTCGAAATAGTTACCATCTGATTAACCACCTCGATCGCCTCCCCGAGGTTGGAGGCTTGAAATCCGGTGGAGACCATGGACCTCAGAAGCTGACGGTAATCGACTCCACGATTGAAGTCGTAACCCTCAATCTTTATGCAGTTCCCTTCAAGGGTCTCTGATTCTTTGAACACAGTGGAGTGAACAGAAGCCAGAAGGCTCTCTTTCATTGCCGCGTCCATTCTTACAGACTCCTACGGAGTTTGCAAAAGCAGGAGCTAACGTCAATGACCCAGAAACAAAATCCCAGTTGTTTGTTACCACTTTGACAGGTTAAACAAGCGTTTCGTTTTGGACAGCACATCCGGACACGAATTTACATCGACGGCCAAAAAAGGAACCAACTTGCAGGAATTAAGCAACAACCCACGATGGAACTGGAGCTTAGGAAGAGGAAAAGAGTGGAAATTAAGGAGGAACAAGAAAGAACAAACCTGGGAAATTCAATGCTGCAGAGCAAACCCGTTGCTAGAGAGAAACCTTGTTGCTGCTTTCCAGAGAATTGGGGTTTTAGAAGCGATGACAAATTTTCAATTTTTCTTCTTTTTTTTTGTCTATCGAATTTCATGTCTTTCTTTCCTTTTTCTTTTTCTTTTTTGGTTGTCACTGCTTCGTTTGGTGGTTTGGGCTTTCATTCGTGACGTGACTTATGGGCTTCGCAAAGGCAAAGGAAGGTATTCTGCCCCGATTCAAAATCCACTTTCTTGATTCAGCAAGGGTACCTGAGGTCCGACAGCGGCCGCAGTGGCTGCGAGGGGCCGGGGTCGGGGTTGGGGTCGGGGTGTGGCCTCACTATGAGCGAAGACGGCTAAGCCACGGCGAGCAACGGGGCGAGCCTCAAGTGATGGGGCAAGCAACGGGGCAAGCGACGGAGCCAGCACCGGAGCAAGTCTCTGAGAGAGCATTGGTTTGGTTTTGGATAGGGTGAGTAGCCGGACTACTTAACCCAAGATGATGTGGGAGCATCGGATTCTATCGATCAACTTGCAAGCTCAACTCAAACCTCGTCGATTTATCCTTATTCCTACAAATAAAGATCAATTTAAGCTATACTTTGACTCAATGAGTTTAAATTGAAGATGTTGATTCAGCAAGACTTGTCGATTCAGTGGACAAGTTGTCGATTTCATGATTGTCGACTCACAAGCTTGTTGTCAATTCCAAGACTAATACCTAGCAATGAAGGTTGTTCCAAAAGATTTCCTTATCTTTCAAGATGTCTATTGGGCTGTCCAAGTCGGTGACTGGATTTAGAGTTAGTTTAATTACTTTGCATCATCAAACTGGTTTCATGAGTCTAGTTTCCATGTGTTTTAATGCCTTTTCTAGTTCCTAAGACTTTTTTATGTTTTCTAGCTTCTATGTCTTTAATGTTTGGATAATTCCCTTTAATGCTTAGTCAATTTCCTATGCATTAATTTTTGTATAAATAGAGGAGAGTTCTCAAATGTAAGAGAAAACTTTAATATTGTGAATTGCGAATATCTATCATGATTTCTTTATCCTCGAAGGGTGGATTCTTCCTCGGTAGTGAGCCAAAAAGCCTTTTATCCTCGACTAGTGATTCGTCCTTTAATTTTCAGCCAATAAGTGAGGCAAGTTCCAACCTCTAATTTTCAGTCTTTTAAAGACGAGGCATTTTAATCAGTAGAGGAGACTCCTTGCAGCGAATCAATGCCGTGTTTCCTGACAACTATCTGCGAACTTTATGCATGGCACAGTCTGTGGTCTTGGTGATTACGTTCTATAGCAATCACAAAACAGGTTTGTCAGCCAAAAACATGTGGTCATTTGGGGTCATTTCCTTGATGTGAAGGCAGTTTGATGCAGCAAGAAATTTTTACTTTCCTAGGGAAAGAGCGAAAATGGAAGAGACGGCAAAAGCAGCATCAAAAAATGACGAGGCGTTATTGCACAGTAAGGAGATATATCAGGTACCACGTATGGCTGCCCAAGAAACAGCCTCATCTGGACGAGCTCCAGAATCACTTCTATCAAATTCTTGGGCTGTATTGATGAAGACAGCACAGTCCGCCGCATTTCGCATCATATTAGCATTGCATATGTGATGTTTGGGCATCCCTCTTCCAGGATTATCGGTCCAGTTTTTCTAGGGCCAGCATGGACTGCTTCGACATTCATGGCCCTAATATCTGCACAGAAGTTAGAGTACAAATTGCTCATCAAGCTTCTTCATGCTTCGAGTGCAATTAGTATTTGAACCAAAGTGCCTAACCTTGGACTGCGTCAATGATTAGACCGGGACTACGGAAGGAGTGGAAGTATGGCATGTCTCCCAGTGAGCCATCTGTTAACCCAGGACAGAAGACTGGAATATTATTCTACAAAATGTCCACAGTTGCTGGACTAAATTTAGACATAATGTGAGATACAGACAACTTTCTTGCACATGTAAGGCAAATCTACAGGTTTATACCAAAAAATGCTACTCGAGTGCTAACATTGTAGTTGTTAGGTAGGGAGCCCAAGTCCGAGCCTATTGATATATTCAGTTGGATCCACCTTCACTTCATCAATTCTCCAATGTAGGATTTCTCTAAGACAACTTAAACGTGCATCCTAACAGTTATGACCTTTCATCATTAAGCTCTTTTCCCAAGCGAGAAATCACCCTAGAAGGTTTCCATATTACATTCTGCATAAGCCAAAAGGAAGAAATTAAAAGTTGCACCTCTGGCCCTTCACACGAGGGTGTGGTTCACTGAGAGGAGAGCAGAACTTAGAGTCATATAAATAGTTTTCACCATGGGATGTTATTATTAAAACGACCCAATGGAATGCTGATTAGATTATTTCGGGTGTGGTATGGAATAAGTGCTTCCCAGGAGCGATGTCTTCATATTCAAACAATGATCAGTAGATCCAAAACCAATAATCTCATATATTTTCTACTATGGGTACTCAACATGTCTGATTTCAGGGGACAAGAGTAGAAGAAAATTATGCATGCATACTAAGGTATCCCAAGGAAGCCCAATGGGCATTGCCCAATACATCAAAGAAGAGAAAGTACCTCTTCTTTCTGCTCCTTCAGCATCTGGTCATATATTGGAATTACCAGTCCTCAAATTTACAGTAGTTATCATTAGGAACCAACAGGTTACCGAAGCGGTTCAATCCTTTCGAGAGCAAGAGAGCTCCAGGCAGGGAAAATCACATAACATAACATGAAAACGTAAGATAAAAATTGAGAAATTTCTGTATAATTCAATGTCTATAAAAGAAAAATACGTGAGCCTATTTATAGGCTTTATTAAATGACTATCTAAGATAAAATATCAATTAAGATATATGCGCAATGTTGAGAGATACAGAGAATCAACAGAATTATCAAATATTTCTAACATAGAAAATTATCCTAGAGAAACCCTTAATTATTTCTAACATAGACTGTTGCAGTACCTTCACAAGACGAATTTTACTTTTCCAAGGGCAACAACAAATGCAATTGCTTGGAAAGCTATGATTTAGTACATTCATGCTCTGGAAAGCCCGGTTCTGCATGGTCATTATTGCTTGAAAGCTTGATAACATCATTTTAGAATAATCCAGAACTATATCCTATGGAAAAAGTCAAGGATTTGTTAGTTAAATGTGTTACTGTTACGGGGTATCCATGGTCCTCTCTGATCGTTATCTTCTGGTTGGTACATTGAATTACCATAATTTGGGTCTTTAGTACAATGGTCCTGCTTTATTTCTAGACTCTACCCCGGAAAATTTTCTTCAACGGTATTAATTCACCTGCCAAACTCTCGGCACCAAGTTCGTCCAATAATCTGATGAGCAACTGTATCTTGGTATCTGCTCTAGACATAGTTTTCACTTAGGATTCAACAAAAAAACTCATTCGGCAGTATAGTCGAAAAAGCCAACAGTACACACGAAGTACAACAGTTAATTTGTTTGATGATCTGTCTAAATATGAAGAATTATCGGCTGATGAACTCTCTCGCAATCTATTTATGCATTTCAAGTTGCTTCTGCAGAACCGATAAGAAAATCGAATCGAATATTTCCAGAGAGCAGTTCAAGAATTGTCCTCACCTTTTAAAATAAGCTTGATTCTATCATGCTCTAATGCAGCATATCCTATAACTACAGTTCAGGGATAATTTCCACGAATATCAGAAGATAGAGGAAAGAAGGTTATTGAAAAAACTACGACGATGCTTTCAGAAAAATGAACGTTGTTAAAAGGGGGAAAAGAAGTTCTTGAAATCAACCGGAGTGTGTATGAACTCTACAACGATGTTGACAGATAATTACTTCCAAAAGAAAACGGTGCCTACTTTGAAATATGTAGGAAAGCGATAGCCCTCACATTCTTTTCCGTTGATTGGACAAACTGGTGCAGTTACAACACAACAGAAGGAGATCACACAGTACAGTATCCCAAAGTCAACTACCAGGAACATTAATCAGCCACTCCACAATACCAAATGGTCCATGTTATTTAAAGTGAAGGAATAATCCTTGCCTATAAAATGCCAGATTAGTCAGCGTCAATAGAATCTAAGAGAACTTGACATTTCCATCAACTCCAGGAGGGCCTTTCCCCATTAATATGCAGAGCTAGTTCTCAAAGCTTCAGTAAGTAAGGCAAGTTCCAACCTCTAATTTACAGTCTTTTTATTGATGAGGTATTTTAATCACTAGAGGAGACTCCTTGCAGTGAATCACGGTCGTATCTCATGACAAATATCTGTGAAATCTATGCATGGCACAGTCTGCAGTCTTGTTGATTATGTGCTATAGCAATCACAAACATGTTTGTTAATGTGAACATTGGTCATTTGGGGTCATTTCCTTGATGTGAAGGCGGTTTGATACGGTAAGAACTTTTACTTTCCCAGGGAAAGAGCAAAAATGGAAGAGAAAATGAAAGCAGCGTCAAATTATGACAAGGCATTATTGCAGAGTAAGGAGCTGTATCAGGTACTCCATTCATTGTCATTCACATCCTGTATTCTTTTCCCCGCTTTTGGATAAATGGCAAGTTAGCTTGGCTTTCATCCTTCCACACGCCAGAAAAGTCCAACCTTCAATCCTGTCAAAAGCAGGCCATTCCGGGTTTGTCGAGCCTTTCCTCTAGGCTGATCCTAATAGGTTAAGCTGAATTTGAATCAAATCCAATACGGCTAATCCGTAGGATTCTTTTCCTTCCCTTATACTGCCATTGCTTCTCAAAGTTTTGCTTCCATGCATATGTTCAATTTCGCAGTACATTTTGGACACAAGTGTGTACCCAAATGAAACAGAGCCTCTTAAGGAGCTGAGAGAAGTTTCTGCAATCCATCCAAGGTCTCTCTCTCTCTCTCTCTCTCTCTCTCTCTCTCCCTAGCTAAGTGTCCATAACATTATGATACGGTCACTGACTCTGACTTATAATGCTTTCATTCAATTAAAGGAATCATATAATTGAAACATCTTGTAATTAACACTGTTTCCAGGAGGATAATTCCCCCTAACAGTAAAGAAGGGATATATATTTTTCTTCTTTCATTTGTTGATATTCAGGTATTGGATGGGCACTGCACCAGATGCGGGTCAATTGATGGCAATACTACTGAAGCTTATCAATGCTAAAAGGACCATTGAAATTGGAGTCTTCACTGGATACTCTCTTTTACTCACAGCCCTAACAATTCCTGAGGATGGAAAGGTCTCCAATCAATCATCATGCTTTATAATAAAAGAATCCTATTCGATTGCTCATGTAATCACTATTGTTGCAGATAATAGCCATAGACGTTGATCGCGAGGCATACGAAATGGGATTTCCCGTTATCAAGAAGGCCGGTGTAGAGTACAAAGTCAACTTCATCAAATCCGAGGCTCTCCGAGCTCTAGATGATTTAATGGAAAATGTGGGTCTTGTCCCAGCCTTTCCTAGTTTATGCAGTTTCCTCCTACTGCATCCCATGTTCTAAAAGAAACATTATGTGGACATACTTTGATAGATCGAGCTTATCTCGTTTCAAAATACAGTATGCCTACACAGTGTAACAATTTTATTTTGTACATCGTAACGGACTCTATTTACTAATTGCAGCTTGATAATGAGGGGAGCTTTGACTTTGCCTTTGTTGATGCGGACAAAATCAACTACTTGAATTATCATGAGAGGTTAATGAAACTGGTCAAAGTGGGTGGACTAGTCATCTACGACAACACCCTCTGGAGAGGAACTGTTGCGATGCCTGAAGATGCAGTTGGAGAGAAATATAAGGAGGGTCGAAAGCTGCTGATGGAGTTCAACAAGTTGCTCGCCAATGATGCTCGCATCCAAATTTGTCATGCTTCGATAGGTGACGGGATGATGATCTGCAGGCGAGTTCCCTAAGTTATTATCTGTTGACCCGCACGCTATTCCTTTTTCAAAAAGGAGATCGCATTTGCCATAACTTCTTATATCTTCGCAATGTTGTTGTCTTGTATATTATAATAACCAACATTTGTGAATATGCTAAAATTGATGTGCTCATCAGAAAGTGATATGAATGATTGATAAATAAATATTGTTACTACAGAAACATTCGTAATAAATGTACATTTTGTCGTGGCATCGGGAAATTTCATTCGAATGCTTGTTCAAGTTTACAGAAACATTCATATTAAATGTACATTTTGTGGTGGCATTGGGAAATTTCATTTGAATGCTTGTTCAAGTTTTTAAATTGAGTTTGTCACATGTTGTATTGAAGTCATCTACAGATTCATTTTCTTCAAACCGAGAGCGTCCATCCTAAAAAAATTTGATGACTCTCTCCTGTCAAGCAACAGAATGAAGGAGAAATCATCACAAAGCAACTTTGCCTCGGGTTGGATCTTTAGAAACTGCATGGTGCTTAAGGCACACCCACATTGCCAATGGTTGAGAGTTAATTCACGCTACATGATTTGGTCATGGCCAAGACAGAGGCTTGGATATAGTGCGCTCTTGAAAACATTGCTCGAAAATGATCAGTACTGCTGTATTCTGACCAAGTTGCTAAATCATGACCATTCCTCAGAACAGCTCTGCAAGTAATCCCAGAGAGAGAGAGAGAGAGGTAAATGATCACACCACAAGTTAGCATCATATCCTGCCCCAATCTTATTTCCAGATCTAGTGAAACCATAACTTACTCACATTAAGTGCATCAAACAAGAGAGCTAATAATAGCTGGGCAGAACATCACAGCAGAGTCCTTTCTCACTAACACACAATGCAGGGTAGAAGAATAGATTAAGATGAACGCAATCTGATTACAGCTCAACTGAATCTGTAACCAAAAAAAATTGCCATATTATTGCTTTTTTTTTTGTCAATTACATATTCTGTGGCTATCTGCAAACAGATTTTGTCTGCCAAAGACAACCTTCAATTTGTTTGATCAATGGTCCAAATATAAACAAATGTCGGCAGATGAATTGTCTCCCAAGGACAGAGTTCCTAGAGCGGATTGAGGTTTAAGTGTTGTTTTCACCTGATAACACTAAGCTTACTACCACCAGTTTCTTATGTAGTACTATCATGATGTCCTATAACTGTGTTCATGGATAATTTCCTCTAAGCTCAGGAAATAAAAGAAAGATGATAATCGAAAACATCCCGAGTCTAGTTACAATAGCCGATAGTACCATGTTACTGCCTTTTCAAAAGACATAAGCAAGGGCTAACATGACAGGAACACCTCATCGTCAGAAATAAAGTTGCATTTCGATCAACGGTCAACAGATTCTACATATGCAATAATTATTTTTATAATCTATGTAATAAGGATACATAATTACTGTATAAAATGTCATCTCGTACGCACTCTTTTGTTTGTTTGTCATCTACAAAAACAGATAATCTAACCTAATTCTTTTACAAGTTCCGTGAATGTGCATGTGAGTTGGTCTCTCAAGCAACGAAGCACCTTCCACGAGGTTGCCACATCACCATCAAAAACAGCTTCTTTCTTATTGTATGTAGCTTTCCTGACTCCATGCAGAAGCTCACTACTGTTATTAATTCTTTTAATATTTAACACCAATCTTTCCAAGCTAGTGATCAAGACGACCTTCTTTATATTCTCAGACTGGGAATGAGTATTAGCAACAAACCACCAAATTTTCCTGGTTAACCCAAGACCAGGAAAGAGTTTATGTGCCCTCCAGAATGACGCTGACAGATAATTACTTCTCAAAGCATATGGTGCCTATGTTGAAATATGTAGCTTTTGTCATCGCATATTGTTTTTGAACCACTGAGTCTAGTTACAATAACGAGGACATGTCATAGTTATACAATTGCTACTGGTCAACTACCAGGAACCTTAGTTACACACTCCACCAAACCATATTATTTTAAAGTGCAGGACTAACCCTTTTGTCTTTAAAACACCAGATTAGTCAGCATTGACAGTATCTCAGAATAAATTGACAGTTCCCTCAAGTCCTGGGGGATAATTGGCCATTGCCACGCAGCTAGTTCTCAAAGCTTCAATAAGTTAGGCAAACTTCTAGCCTCTAAGTCACAGCTTTTAATAGATGGGGCATTTTAATTAGTCGAGTAGACACCTATAGCGCAGTGAAGGTCACATTCCATGATAAATATCTGTACGTCTCATAGAAATCACCAACATCGAAGTTTGTCGACCGTGAACTTGTGATCACTCGGGGTCATTTCTGGATACTGAAGGAAGTTTGACTCAGTAAGACTTTGTACTCTGCCATGGAGAGAGAACAGAAATGGAAGAGAATGACAGCAGCATCGAATTATAACAAGGTGCTTTTGCAGAGTGAAGAAGTCTTGTTGCACCATGCTGGAAGATGCCATGGTTCCCATGATTATCATTGCTTGAAAGATTTCAAACATCTATTTAAAAATTTTCTTGGAAATTAACGTCGCGTTTACAGGTTCCAACCACGGATAATAAACTATCTCATAATCTATAAACATGTTTTCGACAACTTTAAGGACAAAGTACATCTGGCAGATCGTGGTATATACAAAATCAAACAAGTAAGCTATATACAATATATAATCAGAGAGATTTGATAGCTGTGATATTCCAACAACTCCACCAAACAGTAATATCTTAAGGATTTCGATGGAGTGCAAGACTGGCCCTGTGGTATTATTAGACCAAATCGGCGGGCATTGAAATGGTCTAAGCAAAACAGACAGTTCCATCAAACCTGGAAAGAGCTTCTTCGTTAATGCACTGACCTAGTTCAGCATGTGAGGCAAGTTCTGATCTTAACTTCGCAGCTTTTATAACTAAAGCTTTTGGTAGAGTGGACTCCTTAGTCCTTTTACTGCATTCGTTGTCATCTTTCATCGTGAATATCTGTATGTGTCAGAAGGTCATTTCTTTGACGTGAAGTCGGTTTGACTCAACAAATTTGCATTTCGGTAAGGAGAGCAAAAATGGAAGAGAAAATGAAAGTAGTATCAAGTTCGGACAAGGGGTTATTGCAAACTGAGGAGCTGTATCAGGTTCACTACTAATTGTCTTCGCATCCTCTTTCTAATGCCAATGCTTCCTTAAAATTTTGGTTTCATGCATAAGCTTCAACTTGGCAGTACGTTTTGGACACGAGCGTGTACCCACGTGAACTAGAGCCCCTTAAGGAGCTAAGAGAAGTCTGTGCCATCCATCCGAGGTCTCTCTCTCTCTCTCTCTCTCTCTCTCTCTCTCTCTCTCTCTCTCTCTCTCTTGGCGCAAGATAAAGTTACTTCTAAACAGTGCAAAAAAGACATAAGTTTTTCATGCAATCAATGCCGCTTCCCGTAAGAGTTTCTTCCACTTCCGTCGAACAATGGATGTGATCTCCCGGTTGTGTTTATCGAACGCTAGCGGTAGCTGGTGTTTATTATATGAGATCAAACCCACAAATGAATAAATTTGCTGATATTCAGGGCCGGGATGGGCACTGCACCAGATGCAGGTCAGTTGATGGCAATTCTACTGAAACTTCTGAATGCTAAACGGACCATTGAAATCGGAGTCTTCACTGGGTACTCTCTTCTACTCACTGCCCTAAATATTCCTGAGGATGGCAAGGTATGTCAAGCATTCATTATGCGGTTCGTTGAATCCTTCCCACTGATATGAGAATCTGATGGGATTGCTCACGTAATAATTATATGGCTGCAGATAGTAGCCATAGATGTGGATCGTGCAGCATATGAAATGGGATTACCCATTATCAAGAAAGCTGGCGTAGAACACAAGATCGACTTCATTGAATCCAAGGCTCTCCAAGCTCTTGATGAAATAGTGCAAAATGTAGGGAACTCTGTAGATTTTCCTTGTTTATGAAGTTTCCTACCAGCTGCAAAGTAACATGTTTTTTCATGTCAACGAAGCAAGCTCATCGCACATCAAAATACAACATAATATTTATCTATTTTGAGACTGACGGGGATGTGGCACGATGAAACTAATTGCAGCCTGATGCCGAGGGGAGCTTCGACTTCGCCTTTGTTGACGCTGACAAGGTCAACCTTTGGAATTATCATGAGAAGTTGATGAAACTGGTGAAAGTGGGGGGACTGGCCATATACGACAACACACTATGGAGAGGAACGGTCGCCATGCCCGAAGATGTGGTTCGACAGAAACTAAAGGAGGGTCGAAAGTTAACGATCGAGTTCAATGACTTGCTGGCCAAGGACGCTCGCGTCCAAATCTGTCATGCTTCCATCGGCGATGGAATGACAATCTGCAGGCGAATTTCCTAAAGAGATTATCCCCCGCTTCACCCATATCTCAATTTGTAATGTATAATCTCTGGTCATGTTCCATCCAATAATAAGGGAATAAGGGGAATGACTCCTCGACTGAAGTCATGACCCTCAATCTTTATGCACTTCCCTTTAAGAGTTTCTGTTTCTTTGAACACAGTGGAGTGAACAGAAGCCGGAAGGCTCTCTTTCATTGCCTCACGCATTGTTACAGACTCTGACTCCTACAGAGTTTGCAGAAACAAAACAAATCCCAGTTGTTTGTTACCACTAAACAGGTTGAACAAGCGTTTCATTTGGACAGCGCATTCGAACACGAATTTACATCGCTGGCCAAAAATGATCCAACTTGAAAAAAATTTAGCAAAAACCCACAATGGAACTGGAGCGTAACTGAGAAAAGAGTGGAGAATTAGGGGCATAAAGAAAGAACAAACCTGGGAAATTGGTGCTGCAAAGCAAACCCGTTGCTGGAGAAAGGGCTGTTGCTGCTTTCCAAAGACTTGGGGTTTTAGAAGCGTTAATATCATCCTATTTTTGTCTATCAAATCTAATGTCTTTTTTTTATTGAGATAAGTGCATTGAAAGTACTAATGAAAGCGCAATACAATTTTAAAATTTTCAAAAAGTGCAATTAAATCCTAAAAGTTGTCAAATTTGTGCAATCATCTAACTTGGCTAACAAAAAATGCTAACATGACTTTTTTTCATTATTTTCTCTCTTCTAAAAAAGAAAAAAAAAATATTTCTAGGGGCATTATTGGAAATGTACACTATTCTAAAATACATTGTTCTAATCAACGCCGTTAGTTAGTAGATGAAGAGATAGATAGAATATCTACCGTTAGATATACCGTTATAATTTAGAGGAAAACTTATATATATATATATGGTCATCTCCCCTCATTTATATGATATCAATGGGCAATAAGAAACGCTAGAACAACCGGCCTATACATTATAATATTATGTCTCCATAAGGAAACATGTGACTGCACCTTAGGAAAAATAGGAACAACTTGAATAATATGTATCGCAAGATCACAAGTATTTCTATTCCATCCGAGACCTCTTCAATAATTCTCGATCTAGTTATCACAAATTTGAGTGGATGGAGACATTGATCGGGCCAAAAAAGGTTGAGTCACAAACGATTCTTGATTTATTGGTTGGATGGGTAAGAAAAATGTGGAACGTTAAAAATAGCAAAACTGTCAGTAGGATCGAGATGCCATGGCGATGTCAGCATCAGAGTGGAGGCTCGGTGATCGGCTTGTGTGTGAGAAGAGAGGGGTTATTTTTTCCTTTAAATAAGAGTAAATCGAAAATACTCTTGCGCTATCAAAATTCAATTTTAATTAAATTAGATGATCGAACTTATAATAAGGAAATCTTCCATTTTTGGTAATTAATCATCATTAGGAAAAAAATTTATCCAATTCCGCAATGACGTGTCATTCCAAGTTCCTTCCGCTCGCAAACAATCGAAGAACAAAACCCACCTTCTCCTCCCCTGTTTCCTCCTCCTCTGTTTCCTCCCCCGTCTCTCCTCCTCCTCTCTGTGCGTGTTGTGATGGAGGATCTTCCCCAACACCTGATGCTCGACATCCTGCGACGCCTCGGCGACTCGGCCGACGTCGCCCGCTGCCGGACCGTCTCCAAGGCCCTGAACTCCGCCGCCCGCGACGTCAGGTCCGTCGCCCTCCTCTGCTCCCTCTCCCGCTACCTCAAGTCCCGGTCGCCGGACACCGAGCCCCTCCTGCCCCCCTTCAAGTCCCTCGTCGCCAGCGCCATCCTCAGCTGGAGGAGCGTGGATTCCATCTCGATCGGGATTGACAAGTCGCTCGCCGCCTCCGTCGAGGAAATGGAGGAGGACGAGTCCGCGGACGACATGTACCTGATGGACGCGGGCTTCGTCGCGGGGTGGCTGCCGAGGGTCTGCGAGGGGTTGATGGCGCTGTCGATCTCGGACTTCTGGGTCCAGTCTTGCTGGAGGAGATCGGACCTTTTGGCTCTCCTCTCGTCTTTTTGTGAGTGCTCTGTTTTCCCTTTTGAAAATGAGTGTGTTTTGCACGAATTAGTTGCTGTTTCTATGTTTCTTTATGCTTCTTTCTGAGCGATTCATGGTGCTGGGAGAAATTTAGGAAGAGGGGTGAGGTTAAGCCAAGAATTCTAGGTAGATTGCTGGTGAAAAAACAGCCAATCTTGTTTATTTTTCTTTTCTTGGTTGAGGGAGAACCCTGCATATCGAATTAGCCAATAATTCTGCTGGAATCTGTAGCATTCATAGATTAGCTGCGACCGTTCTAATCACTTTTGTTCTGTTTTCAGGATTGAGTAGATTCGTATGCTAGTTAACTGGCACTAGGACACTCGAAAAGCCCGAGAGTCTTTTGTATGTCATTTTGTTGTACATCAGCTTCAAAAAGAAAAGCTGTGTTTCTGTAGATGGTTGATGGAATCAAACCGGCTCGGTGGCTAGCCTGCGTCGTAATGACCGCACCTTCCAATCCAACCATCAGCGTTAATGATGGACACTGAAACTTAGTTTAGAGGGCGAGATAAAAAGTTTAGCAAAATCTTAGCTCGAGAGGTGGGCTGGTGGGGTGTGGTGGGCGAACGTAAACAATCATACAAGAGATTTTACGTACGATAGTATCAAATTAGACTGTGCGCCTAGCAGATAGGGGGGACGGCAACCCACCGGCGCACCTTAGGTCCATAAATGATTACTGGCTTCCCTTGAAATATCAAATAACTAAGCAATTTTTTCTCTTTATGGATTGCAGGTCGTAGTCTTCGTGAGCTGGAGCTGAAGAATGCTTGGCTGTCGGTGGATGGCTTGAATCCACTTCCCACACTCACCAGTTTGACACTCGAATATATAAGACTCGATGATGAGGACCTGAGCAAGATATGTACTTGCTTTCCTCTTCTGCAAGTTCTCAACTTATGCGGCGTTGGTGGACTTAAAGAACCGAAAATACGTCTTCCGGATCTCAGGTCGTGCCAATGGACTGTGTCAAACGTTCCACTTACCCTGGCCATTTCTGCTCCCAGGCTCGTCAAACTGACGCTTAAGTGCATCAAACCCAGATCTGTCATCCTTGAAACTCCAGCATTATCCGATTTTAACCTCTCCATTGTGCAAGCAGATGATCTCCAAGTAAAGGACCTTATTAGTTTGAAAAGCCTTAAGCTTGACTCCCCATTTCTTTACAATCTGCTTACTGCCTTCCCATCTGGGGAAACAGTGGAGAAGCTTACTTTGAATACAGAAATCAGTAGTGATGCGGAGGAAATGATTAGCCCAGAGTTGTTGTTTAAGACATTTCCGAATGTGAGTTCTCTCACGCTTGGCCCTGGCGCTTGGTCAAGATTGTGGCCATCCCCAGGAGGCTGGGAGGGTAGTGTCGAAATGAAGAGCCTGAAAGGAATTGTCGCATGCATGGTGGTCTCTCGTATTGATGTTGCGCAATCATTTATTGCCTCTATTCTGGATAAGTGCACCAACTTGTCAGAGTTCACGATTCTTGTGCACCAGCAGCATGCTGACTCCAACTTGCTGAGCAACTTGACAAATAGGTGCACTGCTGGTTGGCCAAGACTAAAATGGAAATTTGGAGTCTTTAAGGAAGCTACCGAAGGGTACGGATTTACCGGGGGCTGGGATATAGTGTGGCAAAGACAAGCTTTTAAAGGAGCAAGATAAGACGGCGTGCTTCTCTTGCTGGATAATTTTTTGCTTGGCCTTCACGGGGAAGGGTTTGCCTTAATATGAAGGAAATGATCCTGATCCCGAGCCGAGACCCCGCTTGATTTAATAGATCTTCCCTTATCGAGATTAGCACTGGCACAAGGACAGGACTGAGGAGACAAGCTTGTTTGTGAGAAACTGAGGAGGGCCAAATGTAATTATGGTGATGGAGATGGTACTACCTGCTCGTGCACGCACTTTGATCTATCAGTTGCAGGTGATGCTGCGTCTCTCTCTCGGTAGCATCAGTTCTCTATCAATATTAATTCTTCCTCATCTGTGAGGAGAACATTCATACAGAAGAGAAGGAAAATATAAGGATGGGAAAGTGATTCGGGAACCGGATGATTTGGATTGTCTGCAATTTGCACATGCTTGTTTGTTATCACTGTGCCTGTACTGCTGGAATACTTACTAAGTGTAACGCTTGTATACTTTGGAACTCATTTGAGTGCATCATTGGGAATTCACTATCACCGTCGTTTTTACTTTAACAAGTCCGAGCATGCATGGATATGTTTCATCACTTACCCTTTTACTTTTTGGCGTTGCTTTGTCATCCCTGGTTATGTGATCTGTGCTAAAGAGTTTGAGCATCCATGGACGTGTTTCATCGCTTACCCTTTTCGGAGGGGGCAACGAAAAATTTGGCTCACTGCCTAATTGCACGCAGAGCTATAGCCTTCCATTGCATGCTGTGTGTAGTGAGAGTTGATCTGGGCTAAAAAGGAGAGGAAAAAGCTCATTGCAAATGTAATTGGGGCCGTTCCGAGAATCGCACTCGGGACCTCTCGCACCCAAAGCGAGAATCATACCACTAGACCAAACGCCCACTTCTACGTTTGGTCTAAATAATTTGGAATGTTTTTGCTAGTAGTCTGATTAATTTATTGCAAGTATCTATTATGTTAATTGGCCCTCACAAATCTCACCCACTTCTCAAACTCTAAAAGGCTATCTAGCTCTTTCTTTTCGCCCCCTGTGCTCCCCACTAGCCCATCGACGAGGTATACCCCGAATCCAGATGTGGCTTTTCAACCTCCCACGTCCCAAGACATGTTTAACAACTGAGACATGGCTAAGCAGGCCCTGTACATCATGCATATCAACTAAGAAGAAGAGACGCTATATATCCGAAAACAATAGTTCATGAAAAAGGCCAGACCAAAGCTAACCAAGCATGTGCCTTAGCATTCCGCATCCAAAACCAAATAGCTTTATCTATTCACTTTCCTTAAGACACCTAGTACCATTGTTATGGACAGAGCACTAATGCCGATGTTTTGGATACTAGTGCCGATGTTGTTTTCATCTCCTTCACAAGTACCAGAGAGAGGCATGATACCAGTCAGCAGAAGATGCTTTCAATCAAGGTTAACAACATACTACCTCTATGCAGTGCGAGGGAATCACATATCAATAAGCGAAAACACTGTGAGAGAATATATGATGATGTCTTTCATTTGCCCGCTGGCGTTGTCAATAAAGTACCCGCCACTCTACTAAAAAATAAGATGCAAGACTCTATACATTCCTGAGCCCCAAGTCACGTGTCGATCCAAGCGTCAATCCAAGCTGTCGGAGATCCTGCTGTTTTACCTGCACTTCTTAACCTTGATTTTTGTTGCGATTGCAAACTAAAGAGACCCTCTTCTTCACCGCAACAAACCCATCTTTAGAAAGAAAGGGAGAGCCTGGTCTACCAATTTAAGATAATTTCCCTGATAATACAGTGAGTCGGCTAAATTTTGTGAACACTATAACCCATGTCCTCTGAAGTCAGATTCTCCTTCCAACTCTCGAATTCTGATCCACCGAACACCAGTTGCTTGATCCCAACATAACTGCAAAGAAAATAGTCAATTAGGGGGAATTATCCCATACTTGCTTTGCAGGAAAAAAAAAAACCTTGGACAGGTTTCTGGGTCATCCAAGCACCAGAGAAAAGTCAGAAACTTCAAAAAAGATTCATGTTCCAGAAAAAGGATAGACTCGATTAATCCATGTCCTCAAGCACAACGAAAGAAAATTGGCTACCCATGTCTTCCAAGTACTAATGGATATATCACACTGCACCTTATTGCTTAAAAAAGTGACATTTAGAGACACCACAAGAAACTATTTACAACCACCCCACTTATGCAAGACTGAGCCCTTCTTTTCCCCACATAGTAGCATGCTTATAGTTTGTGCAAGGTCAGCAAAATTAAAAAGGAGCTAATCAAGATTGTTATGAGCTCACTGCTCCAGCCCCAAGATACCTCATAAAAGACTCTATTTATATGAAAAGGAAAAAAAAAAAAAGAGGCATGGAATGCATACTCGGAGCTTATTTGTGTCAGTGCATTTATCAAGACATCCAGAAGCAATGGTTCACTCGTGCCAATATCGACCCTGCATAATTTTGAGCAAGTTCAGACCATGAAGAAGATGGGACAGGAAACAAGGGAACTTTAGAACGAATACCATATACGGGCCAAGTTGTCTTGAATCTCAAGGTCCCCGATGTTATAAAATGTGGTTGGTGTCGCATTGGCCCCTTGAATGGTATCATAGTTCGGTCTTTTATCCAGGGGAGATTGTGATAGCTGCAAAAGTGTATATTGAGATGAATAGTACAAATGAAGCAATGTGTATTATTGAAGCCTAAAATGAACACGTGATTCATTACATAGATATTGGGCATCACAACACAAACCACTCAACTAGCTCAAAAGGTTACACTTCAATCCAACATCCAAAGTAATGCCACTTACACTTACGTAGCAGCAATGATGCTGGAGGAAGTTGCCACTTAAAATGCTTATGCGAACTTTATAAGAAAAGCAGTACTTACTTGCATATTCATGGAATTGCAACCACCCAGACGTCCGACAATGTGCCATGATCGAATTGTCTGCAGCAGTATTCATAACAAACAGATCATCAGCTATTATCATAGCAGAAAAAGAAGGGGTTCTATTAACTTCCAAATGGTGTAACTTACATCACATATTAAGGAGACATCTTTTGGCAACAGAGCATTGTAGAATTCAAACCAAATGTACGAATTTGAAAAATCAAATCTGCAATTTTCAGATAAAGGAAGTAAATTAACAAGAAGAGTTCCCTACACTCGAAGAAGGCTCCAAAACTACAATGCACTTCACTGCAATTATATGTAGCTATAAAATTCCATTGATGATTCCGACAAAAAAAAAATTCAATCGATGGACTTCAGACTCCGAACAACCTTTGAGCAAGTTCTCTGAAAAGTTTACAAATGCAGCAAACCACAGTTATTGATAATCTCTCATTTCTACCACAATCATTGACACCCCACAGGCAACAAAAAAAAAACTTAACAGGATACGCTTGGGAGGATCACAGGTCCAGAAAGCATTCAAGACATTCTACTGTAATCTGTCTGAGTATTTACTACATAATTCTCAAAAGGATGGAGTCACCAAAATGGTAAATAATCAAACCCAGTATGTCCCCCAAGTCCCAGGTAATTTGAAGAGAAGAAACATAGAATCCGTAATGAGAGTAAAATGTTGCTTCTTTAGTGACACCCTTAGAACATAAGATTCACGAACACAAGACGTAAGTGGTGATATTGCCAGAATGACCAATAACCATGATCGGTAGAAACAACCATCATTTTCAGCAAAAATTTTAATGCCAAATCACCAGTATTTTGAAAGGAAAAGTATACACTTCGTTTTGTGGGTTGAGTTGTCACAAGGTAGCAGGAAATCAGCTTTGTCTCGTGTCCCTAGAGAATACTTTCTAGAAACTGTATCGCGTTCATTTACTTAACAATGATGCAGTCTCACGAGCATTTGATTCATAACACACTTATAGAAAGAGCCATGGTTCCCCAAAGAATCATCAGTACAGAATTTCGCAGCCCGACTAAACTCACTTGTTGAATTTCACTTTCATCGGTTCAGCTGAACCAGTCTTGGCATGCAATATCTTGTTCCTTTTCTTCCTCAGTCTCTCCTCCATCTACACGACAAAAACAAACCTCATGAGGACATTTATCAGAATTCATGCATCAAAAAAGAAGCCCCCCACCCCAGCTATCAAACTGCCATTTTCCGAACCTTTCCAAAAAAACCATGATCAACCCCATTAGTTAGAGAAAACACTTAGCATAAACATGGAGACCAGACATCGTAAAAACGCAAACTTTTTAATCACTCCAAGTAGCAACAACACCAAATTACTCAAGAACCAGCGTGAAGACCTTAAATTTAGCGGGAAAATACTTCAGGGATAAAATCATGAGCTTACTTTAGAACGAGCCTTCTGGGGATCGTCGAGACAGCTCCCGAGGATTTCAGCGAACTCGGGGTCTCGATCATACTTCTTCTCTTCCTCTTCCCTCCCTCGAAACCCACCACCGCTCGACGAGAACCCATTCGTTTCTTCGCCCTTCTCTTCGCCAAAATCAATTACCATTCCTCCCCCTTCTTCCTCCTCTGTCTGCAAATTCCGGGCACCGGGCTTCGACCCTCTGCTTGCCTTAGCGACATGGGTCGTCGACCTCGGATTCGCGCGAACCCGGGTCGGGAAATGGACTGTCGGACATGGGGACACGGAGGCGGGAGCGTCGGCGAACGCGAAGTTGGGCCGCGGTCGAGCGGTGGAGGAGGCGCAGGGGCTTAGGCTGAGAAGCATTGGTGGGTTATGTCAATTCAACAGACGAGAGAGGAAAGGAAGAGATGAAAATGGCGCGTCGTAGCTATGGAAGATGCGAGAGGGAGCACTGGGCAATCAGCAAAGACTGAGCTTTCGGCTCACTTCGAGAAGAAGAAGAAGAAGGAGAAGAAGATGATGAAGATGACGATGGAGGAGGAGGAGAAAAGCCATAAACCATAAACCCACCCTCCCTCCGTCTGCGAACCAAAAACAGAGGGCAGTCATCTACTTCTTGTCCATCTTCAAAAATTATAAAGAGTTATTTTGAGTTTTCGATAATTATGGGGAAAAAAATTGATCATTTATAAACTTTTTATTAGGATGGTCTTTTAAGAAAAATCGAGGCATTGAACATTGTATTAAGTTATAATAAAGTTTGATTTCGACTTTTAAATGTTAAAAAAGACGGCCACTTGTAATGCGAGCTAGAACCGGGCATCATCTTGCGAATCACAATTTCATCGCTATGTTAACATTATTTCATGATTAGTTATCCAATACTGAATTTTTAAAATGCCATTAGTAACGGGTGATCGTGTGAACACCATGCTTTATTGCTCCATATAGGTGATTCTACGTCTAGAATGAATATGGTATGTACTATAGCTACATACAAACAAAATCATGCTTAAATCAATGGGACAATCATGAGTTTGTTAAGGATCTATTTGATAAGCTTTGCCATGATTGTAAGGAATCGTGCGTTGGTGTATAAATTGCAAAAGTACTCTCTCTCTCTCTCTTTTTCACATTAAGAATTTAAAATGACAAAAATTTGATTTACATATCCAGGAATCATTTCATAAGCAATTATCGAAACACACGTGATGCACCCACGTGCTTATGTAGCTATATCATGGTAATCAAGATCTCAAAGTAGGAAAAGAAGCCAGCTTAAAATTAAAGAGGTAAAAAAGAGAGAGAAACGGATAGAAATTGTAAGAGAACACGACACAAATGGTCTATGAATTTTGGCACAATGTATAATGTAGTTCCTGAACTTTTGATTTGTTCAATGTGGTTCTCGAATTTTGGCCAACTTTCATATTGTTCAATGTGGTACCTAAACTTGTGATACATGTTCAAACTAATACCTTGATATTGAACATTTTCATATAATTTAGGGACTAGTCTGAACATATACAAAAATTTCGGAGATCATATTGAACAAATTACAAGTTCAAGAATCACATTGCACATTGAACCAAATTTTAGGGACCATATTGAATCACATTGTGTATTAGGTAAAAGTTTAGGAACCATTTGTGTTATTATCCCAAATTGCAAACCCCTATCAAGAAGAAGTTCCATACATTTGATGGGCTCAGCTTAGCCCATATAACCACAAAGTCCAGCCTACCATCTCTCTTGCACAGCTAGGGTTTTGCTGCGCCTTTATTTAGCTCCGAGCATCGCCTTCCTCCTCCGTTTTCTCTCTCACTCCCTGCCGCAAACCCTAGCAGGTAACGCTTCCGTCTCCGTCTCGCTCCCTCTCTCTTTCTCTCGCCTCTGTTTTTCATCTTACACGGCATTGGATCTGAACCTGCGGCGGCTGAAGAAGTTTGGTTTTGTGGATTGTTTTTTTGTTCCCTGGTCTTGTTCTTCTGTTTGATTGGTGGGTTTGACGAGAGGCAAGTTTGCTGCTGCGAACTTGCTCAAGAGCTACGTGGGTGTTATCTTTTTTGGGGGAATGAGAAGAATTTCCGGTCTGAATGCAGGTAAGGTCGAATTGGAAAGAGCCAAGGCGCGAGGATGGTGGAGAATACAAAAGGGAGGAAGGAAGAGGTGGTTACCAGGGAGTACACCATCAACCTCCACAAGCGTCTCCATGGATGGTGAGCCCTCGTTATTTTGTCTCATCTCTTGTTGGGCTGCAATTTTTTTGTTCTTGAAGTAAAAGGGTCTGTGGCTTTCTATACCGGTCGTGTAATGTGTTTGCCCAATAGTCTAGGCTGCTTCAAATGCTTCTTTTCTTGTTGTGTTTCATAGGTTCGGATATTTGTATGAATATAGACGTAGTCGACCGGTGTCTGAATTTCCCATGAGATGTTTAGATTGCTAGAGCGTTTTTTAGTTTGTGTCGACGATCTATCGTTAAGTTGATCGTCTTTGATGGGTTATATACTTGGGAGACTTTGATGGGTGTGCATTATCGACATGCTTTGCTCTAATTGTCGATGGGGTTAATAAGTCGGAATTGGCAGCGCGGGTGGCTGCTTAGTGTCATTTGAATATCGCTTCTCAGTTTAGTCCTCGTGCTTTCTCTAGGTTAAGCAGTAGCTTTAGGTTATGCAGTAGCTTTCACTATCAACAGGTCCAAACTTTCGCCCGTGAATTCTTTCGGTTAGCTTTCTCTAGCCACTCGCTACATATCCATAGACTTATCACTCCTTAATCTTTATTTGATCTGTCTATTGTTAATGTATTTACTAGTCAAGTTAAGGAAAGCGTAAATGCAATTAGATTTTTCCATGCCATCCAAGTATGTGCACTTGTGGTTTACCATACTAGACACCCTTATCAGTAGTCTTTAGATTCCATGGACTTTTAATTATTATAGTAAGATTATGTCTGTCTTCCTTGATTTTCATTTTAGTTGATTGAAAAGTATCAGCAACTATCTCAGCCCAGTTTTTAACCTAATTGCCTTTGTTGCTTGTCCCATTATTTCGTATATCATGTTGTGTCTGGCTCCACCGATAGATTGTGGTCACTGGTTATAGATTATTTTGTCAATGCTTTGTGAAGGAACGGCATTGAATCGTTCTTGTTGCCATGAAGCTCTATCATGGAAGTGGTTCTCTTTCTTGGTTTCTCTGCCGTTAAATTCTTATATTTGTGGGAGTGTTCGGAGTTCAGCAATGACATTAGGGGAACATGGATCTTTTAGCACTTAAGATTTATTTTGGTTGCATTGTCTTTCTGAAATATAGCACATTCAAGAAGAAAGCTCCAAAGGCCATAAAGGAGATCCGGAAGTTCGCCCAGAAAGCCATGGGAACCAATGATGTGAGAGTTGATGTGAAGCTCAACAAGCAAATATGGAGCAGGGGGATTCGAAGTGTGCCGAGGAGGATCAGGGTTCGCATTGCTCGCAAGAGGAATGAGGACGAGGATGCCAAGGAGGAGCTTTACTCTCTAGTCACCGTTGCTGAGATCCCACCGGAAGGGGTGAAGGGATTGGGCACCAAGATCATTGAAGACGATGATTGAGTTATCTTTGTTTCCTAGCTTAGTAAAATCTGCTTTAGTCTGGATTAAAAGACTTAATGAGAGTTTTGTTCAACATTTTTGGGCGTTGTTAGATTGGTTCGTGAATCGTGATCACAGTTGCAGAAAACCTTTCACCATATTGTTGTTGGTTTGTTGCTTCTCTCCGAGTGTTCTGAAACTTTAGTTCCGCCGTCCACATCTTCCTCATACTGTTCAGGACCCGAGGATCCATTGTTGTTTGCTTTCAAATTTATGTAGTTGGACGAATTACTATATCATCTTATGTGACAAACATGATCAGGAATTAGTGCCGGTTTCAATTAGTAAGCGCTGTGTTAGCTCTGCCTCACTCCTTTATCGTCTGCTTGCCGCGCATGGTGACCGTCACAAGTAACATTAATGTGTTTTTTTTTTTTTGCTAAAAGTAACATTAATGTGTTGTCGACAAGTTCTTGATACCATATCATCAGCCTCCTGCATTAGCTGCAAACTTCCGACCGATATTTTGGACATTTTTCTTAATGTTCACAAGTGAACATCCAGATGGATGGAGCAATCAATCGCATCTCCACACATTACCCTACAATTCTCATAAACTGAGTCACTATTTTTGAAGTATGTCCAGGACCAAACAACTGCTACACATCGCACGAAGATGAAGGCAGCCCTCTTTGCAATAAACTCTGCAGTGGGACGACTGGACTAAACTTCTTCGGTTAATACTGTGTAAATTCAAGAAAGATCGAAACGGCCTTGAGTAACTATCCATCTGCTTAATGACTCGGTCCAACGATCTTCAGTGATGAGTGATAAAAACATGAGCAGACTAGTAGTGATCTTCAACTCTTCAGCTAGCTTTATAAGCATACATATAGCCTCGAAGTTTTCTCACTTCTTCTGATGATTCGCGCAGTACGTGATCCACATATAGACAGATGCCAGCTCCGCTGCCATTTTTGTGTTCAAGAATGTTAATTTCTCGGAAAACCATAATAGCAGCCAGAACAGATGTTATTTTTTGGAACTCACCCAAGAGGTCCCAACGGGAGCCATAAAACATCCCAGCGAAATCTTGGAATTCTGGTGCAAAACCATTAGATTCATCTTCACAATCAGATAACTTACAATAGTATGTTAATGACCTAGATAAGCAATAACACATCAAGGCATAGAATATAATACCAGTCATAAGGTCCAACAGGTGAAATATCTAGGTACTAATTGTCATCTCAATGCACGTGTATCTAATATAAAGGATAGTGCTCTACTAGTTCGAGAAAACCACAGGCAGAAAAAGGAATAGATTCATTTTTCAAGTGATGAACTATATGAGTGAAGAAGCATCTCTGACTACAAAAGATGTCAGGCAATAAGGATGTAGCAATGCATTGAAACTAAAGGTGGGGCGGGATGGGATTTATAAAAATTTAAACCGTGCTGTTTTGGTAAAAGAGGAGTTCAAAACTTCAAAGTATGAACCACAGAGAAGAAATTTTGTACCTCAACAAGTAATACAGCCAAAACATTGCTGGTATAATGCTGGTGAAGCACGAATACCAAAGCCACTGTCTATATTGTCTTGTGTTTTGAATAAGCCCAACAATAGCCATAGAGCAAGCTAAAACAGCAATCCAGTCTGCGGGTAGTTTTGATTAGCATTGTTCATGCCAAATGCTCCACATTAACATAACTACTCAAACCATGCAACAAAATGAAAGAAAGGGCACATTCCTAAAATCAAAGCTGTGGAAGCTCAAATTGAACTTAAACAGATAAACCATCAGAGACAGGTATTCTTACTAAAGCTAAAGAAAATTATTGTGGGATAAAGAAAAAGATTTATGTTGGCAAGCACAGGTATAAGTAATGTTAATTAGGAGCACAGCCAAAGTGAAGTTGGTATTTGAGACTCTTCAGCCAACATCTCATAGGAATTGAGTGGGAAAGAACTATTTCTACACAATGTACACTTCTATTTTAATGCGACACGTCCGCTAAGCTATTGATATAAATAAAACCAAAAAATGAGAAGAATGGGGCAAGACATGACCAGCCGATTATAATCACGGCTCAAGAAGTGATTGAGAGAAACCCACCTGCAAATATAATCATCCAAGAAGGAGCCTCCTCCATGAAGTAAGCGTGATGTCGCTGATTAAAAGGGGAAACCATGTTAAGATGTTCTAATATACAGCATCTAGAAGAAAAATGATTTTTGAACTATAGACAAGTGGACAATTCAGAATTACTGTTTCGCTAACTTCACCAGCCATGCAACAATTAAAAGCAGTATCATGCTCCCAGCCTTTATAATGCATGCCCAAAATTGTCTCAAAATACCATGAATATATGGATCTATCCATACCAGAAAGATAAAATGTGCAAACAAAGGAAACCTGAACCACATAATCCTACTTAATTTAGTTGTATGATACTTCAGGTAGGACACTTAAAAGACTTACTCTAGGTATTTCAGCAACCACTAAACCCCAGTCATCTTAAAACAAGAGAAGAACAATAATCTAACTTTAATGGTGGATCATCACTAACATACCAATTCCCATGGAGATGTAGCCTGCCGGTATATGGAATAGACGAGGAAGGCAGCAAAGCAAAAGAGAAATGCCGCAAATACACTCTGCAATAATAAGAAGTTTGAGAAAAGATTGAGATGTCAATTAAATTTTAGAATGCATCAGCTTAAAAAAAAGCACTAACAAAAATACTAATATAGGTTATATGATCCGATCAGATTGAAGACATATAGCTCGTTTCGTCACCAATTTACCCTCCAACAGAGACTCTGTACCGCTTGACTCTTTTCGAGCGACCGAACCAACTCCTCTTGCTCTGCACAAGGAGGAAGAAAGAACCACACGAGTGTAACCCAATGCACAGCAAAATCGATCCTAAAGAGCAAATCTCAGTTGGCTTCACTGCTGCCATTCCAGTAAAAACAAAACCATCCTAGAGCCAAACACAACAAGTGCCATTCACAGTTACTGATCATGGTTCAAATTCCCAGACCCAACAAACAAACAAAAAAGAACCGGTACAATCCTACCCACATACAAACCAAATTGGAGTACAATAACTTTCCCTAGATGGGTTTCATTTCAAGACGCCCAAAAAGAACCGTACAAACGTAAACCAATGCAGAGCAAAATCGGTCCTAAAGAACAAATCTCAGTTGGCTTCACTGCTGCATTCCAGGAAAAACAAATCCATCCTAGAGCCAAATGCAACAAATGCCATTCACAATTACTGATCATGACTCAAACTCCCAGACCGAAAAAAACATAAAAAAAAGAACCGGTACAATCCCAACCCACAAACAAACCCAATCGGAGTAAAGTAACTTTCCCCAGATGGGTTTCATTCAAAGACGCCCAAAATGCGAAATTTTAGTTGCCCGAAGGGATCAAGCGACGAAACACGAACCGATGCTAAGCTTCTTTGATCTTCCCTCCTCTCTCGCGTTCATTTTGAGGTCCCCAAAACGAGAAAACGCGCGCAAAAAAAAGAATAAATTTGAGAAAAGGGGCAGAGAGACCTTGCGTGTCCATGGGACGAGAATCGTCGAGAGAGGGATCGTCACGGGTGGGGAGAGAGAAGTGGCCGCCGCGGCGAGGCTTCCTCCATTTCTTCGACAGCCGCTTCATCGCCATCATAGCTTTCGAGCTCCTCCTAATTCAAACTGGCGATCTTCGTTTCCACAGCAGAACGAACTGGACTTCTACTCCGGCGGAAACTCGGGTTCAGTCTGCCAAAACGCTGTCGTTGCAGATTCCAAAATTCTAAAATATTGGCCAAATCTTAAAATTAAGAGAAAATTGCATGTGAATTTACATGTGATGAAAATTTCATGTATTTAAAATACAAAAAGAAAAAGTTAAAAATTGTATGCGTCGTCGCAAAGATTTGCAAAAAGCAAAAAGTTATAATAAAGTCACTCTAAAGAAATTTTAAACTTCTGAAGCAATGAAACTTGTCATCTAAAGTTTTTTGTTTTTCATAATCTTTTAACAAATTAAAATTTTATTTTTTAGTTTCTATAATCCTAAAAAGAAATTTTCATTTTATTTCAAGTCGAAAATGACGGAAACAAATTTCTAGCTTTCCATTTTGATTTTCAGGCAAATAAAAGGAAGAAAGACAAAAAATGGGTCATTGAACCAGTTCAGTATCTGAAATTTTCTAAATATTCAAAAACCTTTTCATAAATCTCGGAGCCCATTTTCTTATATTTATGTAAACAGATTGGTTCTTAAAAGTGGAAAAACAAATTTTCACATGAAATCACCAGCTTGAACAGTTATAATAAAATTAGTTTTTTTCAAATATAAAAATCAATATTGTTCAATATTTTGGAAGTAGAAAGATTTGCTTTTCATGATTAGAATGGTGATTTTAGGTATCTCTAATTCTAGATTAATGAAAAAAGAAACTTTAGTGCCAAAAGAGTGAAGGATAAAATTGCAATTCAATTACATCCATGTCAACATATCGTTACCAATACATAACAATCCCTCGTGTATCGTGTTTTAAGAGTTATTAGCGCTTTTGAAGTTTTTATTCACCTTTAATAATTAGAATTTGATATGTCTAGGAAACAGAAACTGTATTGTTTTCGATTAATAAATAGATAAGTTTTTCTAATGTTATCGATGAATAAATTCGCTAGTTTTGTTAATTTAACGAGTTGATACTATTTTGACAATAAAGCCTATAAGTAAAAGCAATCAAAAAATGCACTTATACTAATGTTAAATAAATATTTGTTACATGATGTAACCAAACATTATTTTCATTAAGAAACGTTTAAAACCAAAATAAAAATAAGTTAAATGACTTTATTGTTTATTAATAAAAACAATAAATGAATCCAAACATCGCCTCTATCTAACAAGAAAGCACCAATCCAGTCAGGGATGTATTGATAACCACTCAACTCTAGTCAGAATCGCATTCTTCTTTTATAGAAAGTTATACTCACGTAGTGACATGACCCGGTTAAGATTGCTACTTTAGATAAAGTTATATTCTAAAGTGGATTAATTTCTGGTACACATATAAAGATCCATCTATAATATATATAGACATAGTAAATTTTTTCCTAAATTTCATGTTTTCTATCACCAATCCACCATAAATTTTCTCAATCAGTCCAAGCAAGAAGTGAAGTCACCTAACTTTTTTCAAACTTGTGAATGGGGCTAATGAGCTCATCTGATTAGCATTATTCCCCCAGCATCTTGCTCTTGACCTGATAAATCAGGTCCCAAAGCAGTCCAAACATTCGTGCCGAAGCGAACCTTTCAATCTAAACCCTAATGTTTGCAGCACAGTACTTTGATTTTCCATCGTTCTTTTTTCAGTATCGACTTTTTGCAGCGTAACTTTTCTGATCTCATTTCAATCACAATGACCGAACAAACCCGAAGAAATTGCTTTACCACGCGAAATCTGTCATGTGTCGAGGTACTAACCACTCCAAGAGAGCTGATTGCTCCAGGATCAGTTCTCTTCGGCATGAATAATGACCAGATTTTGATCGGGCATAAAGCATTCCAACATGAATAGCTCAATCTTGGACAATATCTACAGTCACTTTATCCGGTACAAACAAAACCATTCATGCCCTCAAACAAGAAGACTATTTCAGCAACAAGTATATACTAGTGTGAAAACACCAACTTATCAAAACATACCCAAGAGGAAATGTTTGCATAGCAGAGAACAACTCCACAGTAATTTCAGTGTGCAATGCCATCTAGAAAGAAACTCAGCCACTATTGGAAAAGTAGAAAAACGTAAGCTAAGGTTGCATTACTTTTTCTCAAATGAGAGAAGCAAATAATAAGTTTCAGTAATCAGAGTGTATCGGCTCATGGGTCTGCTACCCTGCGTGTGTCCTCATAGATCCGCTCTTCCCGGGTACCTTGGGAATGGGATGACATCCCTAATGTTGTCGATACCAGTAGCGAATAGAATCATCCGTTCAAAGCCCAAACCAAATCCGCAATGTTTGACAGTCCCATATCGCCGCAGGTCAAGATACCATTCGTAGGGATCCAGGGGCAGCCCCATCTCAAGTATCCTGATAAAAATGTAATTTGAGCAATTAGACCTGATTTTATTACCACTTTGCATCTAGGGTTGAAGAAACTATTACATAAATGGTAAAATGACGAGGAAATATACCTATCACGAATAACCTCATAGCGCTCTTCCCTTTGGCTTCCGCCAATTAACTCTCCTACCTGAAAGCGACAAGTGAATATATCAGACTTGGAAGAACAGTACACACAACGATAAAGCCTGCCAACCAGTTTTCTAACAGTTGCTTTTAATCCCTAGCGATTTTGCTAATTATGTCTTCCCTCATGGTCTGCAAAAGTTTCATTTGTGACTAGCAAGTAATTGTCCTACCTTTGGTACGAGAACATCCATGGCTGCGACTGTCTTTGAGTCATCATTGAGCCTCATATAGAATGCTTTAATTCCTTTCGGGTAATTGTACACAATAACGGGCTTCTGGAATTTCACCTCTGTCAAGTATCTGTGAAATTGGCCAAAACAAAGTTTAACAACCATCAGTTATCAGATAGTACACATGGAGTTTGTTTGGTACAGATGTGGCTGTGCTGTGCTGTTTCGAAGCACATGCGTCTGGCAATACATCTTTTAAAAGTGTTGCACCATGGCTACGGTTGACTATTGCATTTAGCAAAAGCTACTGCAAGATTACTGTGGTTATCAAAATGGCTAAAAAGATTTATAACATTATGTAGAGTTGCTACCAACTATTATGTCCATATTATTAGAATTTTTTCAATATACCATTTGCACCATACAGTAACAATAATAATTATTATAATAACACTACTGTTATTATGACTCTGTATTTTTTTGTTTTTTATTATTATTGCTATTACGAAATTAATATAGTAATGTTATTATATCAAATTTTAGAAAAGTTGCAAACTTTCCTTCTAGGGAAAAATATTAATGAAAATTCGAAATGAATAATACAATAATAGTAGAATTATTGATTATTATAAGTATCATCAATATGGTTATTATTAGTATTGTAGTTATAATTAATATTTATGTTTTTATTATTATGGAATTAGCATATTAATCTTTTTTTGTTTGGGTATTTTTGTGCTAATAAAATTATCTTTAAAAAAACTTAATAGTTGCGGCACCTCAAAGCTACTAGAGGCGGTTTTGTGAAAATTGTGGAAGTATTTCAGCTGCGAGGGTGTCACTGCTATGAGATTTTTATCAAAGACCTCGAAATGCCAAAGCACCTTCTTTCTCAACTTTTGCAGCTGGGGAAAAGCCGTACCAAACACACGCGTAGTCATGCAAGTACATACCTTTCATGCTCAGATGCTAAATCGATGCCCCATTCCACCTTATTCTCAAATTGTTTACCACCCTTCACGGCCTCCACTAATAGCTCCACAGCTTCAGTGTAAGAGATACGCTCAAAGGGGGTTGAAGCAACTGTTCTTAGACGATCAATGCAAGTTTTGTCAAAATTCTTGGCCATGAAGTCCATATCATCAAGGCAGTTGTCCAGTAACCAGTTACATAAAAACTTCACATATGCCTCTGCACAGTTCATGTCATCCTACACACGAACAGAATATAGAACCCTTTAATGTAACAAACGATTTTGCATAAAAATGGTAAAAGTAATGGGCACATCATCATCAAAGGAAACGGACCAGATTATTCCCTCCTAGACATTATTTAACTTAAAGTAAAAACTGAAAAGGCAATACTACATCCAACCACTTACATTTACGTACCTAGAGGACAAACTACTCATGTTATCAGCAAAAGAAATTCTATTTAACAAGTATGTACATTGGAGACTTGGTGTACTATCCTCTTAAATTTACCCATTACAAGAAGAAATCAACCAATAATAAAGAAACAATAAGAAGGAACTAAACAGGAATAGATATATAAATTCTCATGTAGATGCTGAAATTTGCTATATGTCAACCGTTTTCAATCAGACTGAAGGACTGAGATGACTTTACCTTCAGATCTGCAAAAGCTATTTCAGGCTCCACCATCCAAAATTCTGCCAAATGCCTCGATGTATGAGAGTTCTCAGCACGGAAAGTCGGACCAAATGTGTAAACGCTACTAACAGCACATGCATAAGTCTCCACTTGTAATTGTCCAGAAACAGTCAAGAATGCTTGACGGGCGAAAAAATCGTGGTCATAATCTATCTTTCCATCCTTTTGTGGGATACCAGGTTTTAGTTTGAATCTCTCTTCCAGCCTTGAGAGGTTCTCTTTGGCCTTTGTTAGCACAGCCACAGATGCTGTGATATCCGCCTTACTAGCTTTAGCAGATTTCAGCTGTGCAACTACCTCTCCCTTCTCTTTTACAAGAAGCTTAGCAGCTTCAATTTCCGCTTCAGATGGAGGAGGGTTCTTGATCAGCTCCTTCTCCACCCTCTCAGCCTCACTTATCAGAGTTGTTACTTGAAACATTTCACCTGCACCCTCGCAGTCACTAGTGGTGATAATTGGAGTGTGTATATAGAGAAAACCATGCTTTTGGAAGAATGTGTGAGTCGCATAAGCCAACGCATTACGGATCCGAGCCACGGCAGAAATCTGAAAGCATCAATCATTCAGAAAAAGATTGGCAATGACATGAGGGAAACATCACAGTTGAAATTTCTTTCCCATTTTTGTAGAATTTCTCACGGATTGTCAATGAGTTAATACAAGACTCCTTCATGAGCAGACAACAACCAATAGACTCAATTTGTTAACATCTTTTAAGTGGATGTCAACATGCATTTTGCCTATCAAATCCTAACAATCACTCAGATTCTGCAAAACCACTTTTTTTTTAATCAAGGAAACTACTCTGGTTACCAGATTTATACAAGATTTGGATGATTATAAAGCTTTTTCTCCCCATTCTTTCCAGATGGGTAAAGAAGTTACGAAACCAACCGGCAAAAAATCAACCTTTGACAGATATTCGCCTAAATGGGCATCAAAAACACAATCTTACTACATTAGAACAAAGAGCAAATTGAAGTCGTCGCATACGTAAGGCTTCACCTCGCTCCTGCTTTTCAATACACCACACCCCTTAAGCAGCAACCATGAACTCTTAACCAGAATTTTCACATCTTTTCACGAGCAGCGGCACAGAGCACATGAATTTAAGAAGCAAATTGAAGAACACACGCATGTCCACACACGTACCGTGTTGGTCTTCGGCCTCAGATGCACGACGTCCCTCAGGAACTCGAGCGTGAGCTTAGTCTTCGGCAGCGGGTACTTGGCCGGGTCGACGGGGCCGACGTGGACGACCTCCTCGACCCGGAGCTCAATCTTCTGCTTCGTCCCCTCGGGGGGGACCTTGAGCACGCCCTCGAGGGCCACGCACGTGCCGGTCGGCACGAGCAGGCCGAGATCGGCCACGGCCGAGTCGACGATGACCTGGAGGTTCATCGGGCACGAGCCGTCGTTCACCTCGAGGAACGCGAAGGAGCCGCTCCCCTGCTTCCGGCCGGTCTTGACCCAGCCGCCGACGCGGGCCCGCCGGCCGGCGAGACCGGAGCCGCCGTCGGGGCGGGCGAGGATGGAGCGGATCGGGACCCGGTCGGAGAAGTCGTGCTTGGGGACGGCGTCGGAGAGGGAGGCGGCGGCGAGCTGGTCGACCGGCGGCTGCGTCTGGTCCGACATTGCGCGGCCCTTGCTGCGCGCGTCGCTCTCTCTCTCTCTCTCTCTCTGCGTGGTCGAAGCTTTTGAGGATTTAGGACAGAGAGGAGAGAGAGAAATGATGAAAACCCTAACGTTTGGTTATGGTGAACAACCAAACGAGGAGGGGGTCTCGCTTGAGGTTTTATAGCACGAGAATGTTTTTCGCATTTGCGATTTTTTATTAGCCTGGAAAAAAAGAAAATTCAAGAAGCATTTTTTTTTATTTTTGTTAATGTATTTTGTTAAGGATTTTATTTCTAAGACTGGACATCACTTATTGGACGTCGTTTCAAATAAGGGCCTAAAATGTCATCGTTTTCTCAATTAGAGGTCTGAAATGGCTATAACAGTTTCAAATAAGGGCCTAATCCCGTCGACTCGCCGGTCAGCCAAATTTTCCGGCCGGTCAAAGGCGATTTCATCAAAAAACAATTTTAAACAAGTAGGAGGGCTGGCTAGCTCTCCCGCCTGTGGCCGCCGTCCCATTGTTAGTGGGGTGGTGATGATGGCCAATGACTCTCGTCGACCAGTGGCCCTCGCCATAACAGGGAGAGGGCGGCGATCCCGTGTGGTCCTTTTTTTTTTCTTTTTAACTTTGGCCTTTTTTTTCTATTTTAAGTTTGTCTTTTTTGTGGAAAGAAAAAAACAGAAAAGGAAAAAATGGAAAGACGAAAATACCCTTAAGTCGGGTGAGGTCAAGCCCTTCTTTGAAACTGATATGGCAATTTCATACCCTTATTTGAAACAAAATTCACTTCATGTCCATATTTGAGAAAATGAATGCACTTGAAGCTCTTGTTTAAAATAATATCCACTTCATGCCCTTATTTGAGAAAATGAAGGCACTGCAGGCTTTTATTTGGAATTTCCCTAATGTTTTTATGCAAATTTCATGTCCTTAGAAATTTATATATGTTGTGCTTTTTGTGATGATTGGATAATAAGAAAGAACTGAAAAAGTTAATTAAGAGATCGGCGGGTTTTTTACTAAAGCAATAAGCACGGATTTGTGGGGCTATATCGGAAAAGATTTCCAATGGAACTGTGATGATTAATGAGCTCTCAACTTTGACAAGATCGCTCGTCTGAATTTTTTAGTTAACGTGATTAAACTTATTTAATCTTTGCTCATGTTGAATACTTGGGTCTCAAGCACTTAATGACTCGATCAAACGAGCTCTTAATAAAATGGCAACTTGCATAGGAGTGACTGAGTTTTGTAAGTTGTGTGCGCTTTTCTTGTCAAACAAGCATTTTTTACTTTGGTGTGCCAAAAGTAAAATAAAAATAAAATGAAAAGGAGAAAGGAGTCCAAGCAAAAAAAAAATTCCACCAGATTTTGACTTTTGAGGACCAATTTCAAAGTCAGTGAATTGCGCGAGAAATTATAAAAAGTCCAAAGTCAAAAGTGAAAGCAAAAACTGTTTAGATTACCGCGAACGACCAATATTTGGCTGCATTAAAGAGCAATTGAACTTTTTGTTAATGGAAATTAAGGTACAAAATATGTTTTCTCGACACGGCAAAACTTGGATTTTGTTTCGACGATCAAGAAATCATAACATGACCATAGCAAAATTAAGACTGTACAGTGTACGTAAAAGTCATGCGCAGAAATTTTTTGAGTATCGGAAATTACAAATTCTGGATACCGAAATTGCCGGTAATATGTTTCGCGACGCGACGTGATCTTCGTTAGCAAAGCCATGAAATCATATGCGAAACATGGAAATTATAAATTTTTGGTGAATATATGCTTGATGAGATTTTTGTGTTTTTTTTGGATTAATATCACAAAAAACCCCAAAACTAATATACCGGTGACAAATTTGCCTCAAACTAATTTTTTAACCACCAAAAACCCCAGTAAAATAACAAATTTACCATAAATTAATTTTTTAACCACTAAGGCTCCGTTCGTTTGGCGGAAAATATTGTGTTTTTGGAAAATGTTTTCCCGGAAATCATTTTCCTAGAAAATATTACCTTTAAAAACCCCAAACTTATATATTTCCCGCGACAAATTTACTCTTTATTAGTTTCGAGTTAAATTGAATTAATACCACAAAAATCATAACGGGGGGGTGAGTGTAAAAGAAGCAATATGATTTTACGGAAACGAAACATTTTCCGCCCCCGAACACCGGAAAACCCGGAAAATATTTTCCGGAAGAATATTTTTCCGGAAACGAACACAGCCTAAAAATCTCGAATTAGTACACTTGTGACAAATTTACTCTTTATTAGTTTCCGTTAAATTGGATTAATATCACAAAAATCACAAACGGATGTAAAACCCAAACGATCCATTTGTCACTTGCCGCGTGCCATTTAATAAAGTAATTTGACACTAAAATTTGACTGAAATTAATGAAGGGTAAATTAGTCCAAAGTATGCCGATTTGGGTTTTTTTTTTTGTTTTTGCGCATCTCCCGCCGGTGAAAATACGGGAAATTAAAATTACGGAAATTTCGAGGGGGGGGGGGGGGGACTTTTTGTCTCTCTCTCCCCCGAGGAGTGTGGAATACGGTGGTGCAAGGCGTACGGTACGTCCAAGTCGAAGCGTGCTCCTCACGTGATTCGCGGGGGAACAACGCGTGCGCCCCAAGCCGATCCCTGATTGGTCGACGGATGACGTGGTGGGGGGCCCCACCCAAGATGCCCCCGTGGCAGGAACCCGACGCGGAGTATCTTGTGCGACGGATCTTCCTTTTCTCCATAGCAAATAAAGGCGGCTAAGATTGTGAGGTGAAACCTTATGCTAATTTTAAAACAAAAAGGTATATTATATATATCAAAAACCCAAATCATACCCATCGTGGCTCACGTGGCTTAAACATTCTTTTTCGCAACATGAAAAACTCTAAGTTTATACCTATACGATACTTTCACCCTCCATCAAGGTTTCGTTAGATGATTTATCAGAAAAAACGACGTTTTTTTTAATCGTTTCGCTTAAGCATGCAAGCAACGTTTGTTTTCTAGTGCCTATTTAAACTGTCTTTTAACAATTCTTATTGACAGAAATTTGACGAGTGGGTAAATGTGTCACGTTGTGTATTGGTCAAAAGTTCAGGGGATCACATCAAATAAATTAAAATTCCATGAGCCACATCGCACATTAGGCCAAAATTCAATAACCATCGGTGTCATTATCCCAAATAAAATTGGAATCGAAGTACATCCTTGTGTATGCTTGAAAATCTCTTAATTTCATTCAAAAGTCAACTTTTATTGCTATCCTTGGCAAGTGCAAAGCAATCCCTTGGTCCTGAGTAGGACCTTAAAAGGCTCAAGAAGAAAACATGGAGAAAGGATTCTCCGGTATGATGGAGGCTCGTCTCCATGTTCTCTTTGTATTCCCTCTCTCCATGAAAGAAAAAGATTTGGAGGGAATTTGTGGCCTCTTAGGTGGTGAAGGTAGACACCACGTTAACTACGATTGGCTATCTCTGAATTAGTAGGTATAATAGCCTCTCGTACCTGAGATGACGAGAGGGGAGGTTTCAGCTTCCTGCAGGTTTGCTTGTGCTTCGCACAAGTCTGTCAATCGACTGGCAGACTTGTACCTCGGTTGACAGACTTGTGTATACTCGAAAATCTCTTAATTTCATTCAAAAGCATAATTCGTGCAATTTAACTTTTATTGCTATCCTTGGCAAGTGCCAAGCAATCCTTGCATCATTCTATCGCGACATGCGTTGCTACATTTTCATTGGTTCTTTTTCTTATCAATGAATATATCTCTTTACTTGTATGACTTAGATGTTTCTTCTATTTCGCAAAAGTTACCGCGAGATATATTATCAGTTGCAAATCATTTGATTGGAGTGAGTGTCGGTTAGCCATGGCCGAACCCCCCTCTTTCTTTTCTCTTTTTCTCATTTTTGCTATTTTATTTTTCTTGTTAGTTTCCTTGCTTAGCATTTGATAACGTGCTTAGCGCTAACTACTTTTGACATGTCACTCTAGTGTTACATAATACATTCATAACGCATAACCGAGTGTGTTCGTATTAAGCCTAATTGGGCTTGTGCCACATGTACCCATTTCATGTGTGAACGATAAATCTACCACTTGCAAATTGATCGTTATATCACATTTATGCAAGCTCCGACTCATATAAATAGGAACTTATGCCGCTTGCGTCAACACAACACGTTTAGATTCATCTGACGCGCTAAAACACGACTTTTACGTGTTTATATCGTAGATTAGATCTTGAACATATTTCGCATATTGCGCTTTTAATCTACTAATAAACCTGTTTTAGGTTTTAAAGTTAGATCACGATTAATAAAAATAGGTAGCATTGCACTGATACCTAAAATTTGTCCATGTTCATTTTTGTGCCATACCTACAATTCGAGGATGCTATTAATAACATGATAGAGGGCTTCATTATATCAATTGAGAAAAGTCATTTAAAAATAAAGAAGAAGAAGAAGAAGAGATGAGCAACTTGCCCAAACATTAAGCCTTGATCCGATAATACAAACACATGCTATTATCTCAATGGTTTGTTGAGCATGCTCCTCCCGCAAGATCGCCTCGAGCTGGTCCTCTCATTGGACCGCCTCAAGCTGGTCATCTGAAGAACGCAACCACCGTGAAGTAACCGATCGCAATCGTCAGGCTCAAACGAGAAAGAGAGAGACAAGAGAGAGAGAGGGGTTGCACAAGGCAATGACAATCACCACCACATGCCAATTGCTGTTGGGCCGTCGGCGACGGCAGCAACTACTTTCCGGTGACTTGCCGCCAAGGAGACGGTGGTGGCTGCAACCATCAGATGAAGAGAGAAAACTTTTCAACATGCGGCCCAAAACACAATAACCAAGAAGAGAATTCAAGCAAAAAGCCCAAATCTTATTCTCCCAGAGATGGGCCGAGCCCGGCCCAGATGACCAACGAACCGGCCCAGCCCCAATCCATCTCCCACCACCATAAAACCCTAACCCTAGACACTCCGCCTCTTCATCCTCCCCCAACTCGCCGATCTCCACCGCCTGAATCGTGCTCCGAGATCGACCGCAGCACCGCCGCAAGCTCTCCGGCATTGATCAGCCATGGGTAAAATCCGCGAGCTCCTTCATCGCCGCCGCCGCCATTCGGCTCGCTCGTCGGTTCATTTTTTCGTTCCCTTTCGGTCGCTTAGAGATCTGATTGCTGCTGGGAACGCCCCATTCTTCTTTTTTCGCAGGTAAGGTTCACGGATCTCTGGCTCGCGCCGGCAAGGTGAGGGGGCAGACGCCGAAGGTCGCGAAGCAGGACAAAAAGAAGAAGCCGCGCGGCCGCGCCCACAAGCGGATGCAGTACAACCGCCGCTTCGTCACCGCCGGTAATCTCCGCCTTCTGTTAACTTTCCGTCGTGAATTTTTCGATCCGTTTAGGTTCAAATTCGCTGCCTTTATAGTGATTTCGACAGTTGCGAAGAGATGGGTGTGTTGATTGCGGTTTTCGGTTGCTTCTTTGTTTTTTTGGGGGCATTTTCTTGTAGTCGTGGGCTTCGGCAAGAAGAGAGGGCCTAACTCGTCCGAGAAGTGAGCTCGTCATTGAACGCCGAGGAAGATGATTAGGTGAAGGACGATGATGCTTTCAGTTTCAATGAGTTCTTGCTCCGTTGTTTTTTTATTGGGAAGCTTTAAATTTATTGTGTACGCGACTCGATTTCAGTGCTCGAACACGGGAATTTGCCGATGATCAGTAGAGATAATGCGATTTAGTTCTCTCATATGTTGCAGTTCCGTTTTATATTTATGCTATTCCTGTTTGCTCTTTCTTTGTTTATCGAGGATTGGTTTGCGCATTGGGAGTTTTAAATCAGTGAATCCGCGTTGGCCCTCTAAATCAAAAGTGAAAGGAGTTTCCGGGCTTAATGTGCTCGGCGTTACTTGCGTGGAAAATGAGACACTCTTTTGTGTTTGATCGAGGAATGGGGGATGCATTCTCGTATGGTGCGTGAAATCTACGTGGGAAAACCCCATTGAAGAGATTAGCACCCGTGCTAGGATTTTGTGGACTCACTTAGGCATCCGGTGGCACTTAGAACCTGCATATGTTATAGGGAGTGAAGCGGTTGGGATGCATACGATCCCCGCTCGATTGGCATGCTTTCCTCATCCAATTCTCATTCGGCATGCTTTCTTCATCCAACCATCATTTAGCAAGTATCAGTCTTTGGACTCGTGGCGATTGGAATGCTGATCTGTGTCCGTTTCTTATGCCTATACTAGTCTCTCACGGCTGCACAATGAACAACTCGTGTTGGTATTTTGATGCTCGGGATTTGTTCTGGTCTTTGTGCGGTGCCATCTTTAACGTCCTTAACTTTTTTCTTGATGAGCGCGGTTGTAGAAGAGGCCATAACATGCAAAACATGCATCTGGGAGCACCAGAGTTACTTGCCTTGAGTGACAATTGACACACACTCCTCTCCTTACTTATTCTCCCAGTTCTCATGCTGAAATATCATCTCTTGAAAGTTTGATCTGCAAGTATGATCTGTTCCAGTTTTGGGTTTTTCGAAAGTAATTAGAGACCCATATATGAGGAAAATGGTTAAAGGCTGGAATTGCTAAAGCTAGTTTTGCCAATTAGAAGCTTTGATACCTCTAAGTCGCGGGCGTTGTTGTTACCAAGAAGTATCGCCATTTTGGCATTGCTAATTTCATATCTAATACATCGCGGATGGCATGCATTTTAGTGCAGTTTGGCATAGCCATCGGTTTTGATGCTGTATTTTTGTGTTTATGATGTTCAATGGTTCTAGCGGACACTTGGTCTGGTCCTTCCACGGGCGAACGTGTCCAGTAACACCGGTCATGTTGGTGTTCGACTAAACTCTGAATCAAATAAGATTGCTCGTGCATTGATTTATGGGATCACTCTTCACGTAGTATGAGCTTTTCTTCTGAACAAAGGGATTGTAGTATAGGCGTGTCTTTTAGTAATGCTTTCCTGCAATTCCATTGAACTCACGAAAAGATGTGTGTGTATTTCAATTTCGTCTATTCGAAATGATGGGTGGCTTGGCCCTCATTATCACGCACGCGTCTTCACTGGATATCATCGAGTTTTTCGAGTCAACTCGTTGAATGCAAAATTTGTTCTTGTCAAAGCCATCCATCTTTTGTGAGTCGATCGAATGGTGATTAGTGCTTTGATTAGTGTATGTCTATTTTATTTGAAAATTTGCTTTACTAGGGGTTCGTAGGGAAAAGTGTCAAAAAAGTCTTAAATTTTTTGTATTTGTGTCAATTTAGTCCTAAACCCTTTTTTGATGCCAATTCAGTCTTAAATCTTTTGCATTAGTGCCAATTGAGTCCTAAACCTCTTTTGGTGTCAATTCAATTCTAAACCTTTTGCATTTGTGCCAATTCAGTCCTAAACCTTTTGTATTGGTGCCAATTCAGTCCTAAACCTTTTGTATTGGTGTCAATTCAGTCCTAAACTTTTTGCATTAATGCCAATTCAGTCCTTTCGGCTAATAGCTATTCACATGTTAAATGACTGAATTGGCACTAATGCAAAAAGTTTAGGACTGAATTGACACCAATGCAAAAGGTTTAAGACTTTTTTGACACTTTTCTTTAGGACTAAATTGGCACCATGAAAGTATTTTGTCATAGAAATCATTTTTCGAGAAAATTGTTAGTTTTGTTTGGTGATATAGAGAAAGTGATTTCCTTTTTGCTAAAAGGGAAAGTCGTTTTCCGCAAATTTTGGCTTCTTGTTTTCGGTTCACGAAAAACATAATTGATTAGTTTTTCGTTATTCAAATATCGTAAAGTCAAAAAATAATTTCTCTAAAAGAGTTTTTCATTAATCAAATGGACCTTAACTACTGAAAATATACGATCTTTGTGGTGTTGGATTTCCTTAGTATCCTTTTCGGTAGACTGGTTGCGATTTGTCAGGTTTCGAATGTTGTCACCGATTTTTGAGATTTCCCAATGGGGGGCAAGCTATCTGTAGTATTAATAGCCTTAATCAGTGATGAGGAGTTGCTTTCGAATTGAATCTGTTGCCAATTCTCGATCAACGTAAATTTATTCGTCGTAGATTAATTCCAAATTAAACTCGCGACGCGTTTTGCAAATTTGCGGGGCGGATGGAGACAAAATTTGGCATTTTCAGATTGGGTTGCGTTCTTTCTCCATCTTTGATTGGGGTAGGAGAGTAGGAAATCTCCTTCGATAGAACTCCTAATTGCTGGATTGCAAGTTTGAGTATTACCCGTATTTATCTCTCATTAAGTTTATCTATATTTGTAATTCATAAATCAGAAATTTGAATGGAGAAAATTCCACGAAAAAGATAGGATCCATGGAGATATGCTATCCATGTCAAGTAGGGGTGTCAAAACCAAACACAATACCCAAACCGAAACACGAACCGATCCGAACCGGCCCGAAATTTTAATGTATTTTCGGTTCGGGTCTTATTATGTTTAAGTATACATTTACAAAATGGGTATTGTGACTTGTTTCGGTTCGGTTCGGGGTCATAACACGAATCGAACCGAAACATGTTAGTTTACCAAAATTGAATTGAAACCCCTAAGTAGTAATTCGCGATACACTCTCTCTCTCACGGAACGATTCGTCTCCTTCCACAATCTCTCAATCGAGGCCATCTTGGTCTCCCCCTTGGTCGCCGGCGTTGATTCCGCCTCCATCTTGGTCGTCCTTTGATGATGAGGTTTCGTATGTTTTTCTATTAACTTCAATGAGGAGCTTCCGTAGTTCTCTACTCTGAATCTTTGTCTTTTAGTTCATCGCTTAATTCTGTGGGGGAAAAGGTATTTATTTGTTATGGCAATTGAGCTCCTTTTCTAGATTGTTGGATGTTGTTGCTGCTGCTTCCAGTGCAATTGGATTCTATACTTTTTCAGGCGTTAAAAGATGGTGAAGCTTACGGTTTAAGTTAAAAAGCTCTTGTACACAAGTTGATTTCACAAGCAATTTAGTTATATTCAAAGTGACGAGCGGCTTAATAAATACCCACTCTATAAAAAAAAAGTTCTTACTAGACTTGCTTCTAAACGCACTCTCCGAAAAACCCACGCAAAAACCCGAAACCCGACCCGGATTTTTAGTACGGGTCCTATGCGATTCGGGTCAAAGAAAGACGAACACTTATGATTCGGGTCGGGTAGTAGTGGAAGCCGACCCGACCCGATCCATTGATACCCCTGATCAAGGGAGAAGTAGCAAGATAAGGATCCTTTTGCATACCTTTGATTCCTCTTTAGTTCTTACTGGGACGGCCATGTACGGTCTAATCAATGTGGTTGTCGGTAGATGAGAAAAGATCTCCTAATGATAACGGTTCAAATGAAGCATGCCGATTTCCCCCCAAGAAAATAGGTATGGTCAGTCGATTACCACGATTTGGTCACCGATTCGAATTCATGTTTTCTCGCGAGATAGGATGCGAAGTTACCTAACCAATGCGGTTATCCAGGCCAGCAAGGCGGCTCAATCGGGTCAAGATAGTTATTTCGCCCCGTAATTTGGATTGCCGCGAGAGATGTCACGTGAGCGAGAGTTACTCCCATCCTAGAGGTTGTTCCATCGGCAAGGTTATGACCTAGATAAGTAATATTCTCGACTAAGATTGAAGATTGTTGCCCGGGTAATGTCTCTTTTATATTAAGGATTTGAATCTTGAATTTTGAGCAGATACTAAAGCGCTTCTTACTATAGTTATTTTTCCTTTGGGCCGAGAAGAGAGCATTGACATTGTTATGACTTTGAAGTTGTCTTATTTGGAGAAAATTTTTAGCTTAAGGGCAGTTTTATTTTGACGTTCTTGTCAAGATATAAAATACCATTCTACTTAAAAAGAACTATGAAAAAATTGCGCCATTACCTCATGAATTTAATTATACATACAGTGTTGTTATTTTGCGCCAAGGGAAAATCAAATTATAAGTGTTGGAAAACTTAAAATCAAGAAGAGCGACCAAATGGAAGGGAAAAGTACCAAAAAAGTCCTTAAACTTGTTGCACTTGTGTTAATTCAGTACTAATCCTTTCAATTATTCTAAACCTTTTGACAATTTACCAATATAGTCCATCCGGCCAATTTTGGCGGGCAATCATATCGCTGCTGACGTAGACAAATTTTATAATTTTATAATATTTTTTTTGCGCTTTTTATTTCCTTTTTCATTGTGGCCCGCGAAGGTCGCGGCCCTCACCCAAGCCATTGCTAGCTGTGGGCGAGGGCTGCTAAACCCTTGCTAGATGTCGCGAGGGCGACTCTCGCTAGATTCGATGAGAGCAACCCTCCCTAGATCCCCAGGTGAGGGCTTGACTCCTGCGACTGGGCGAGGGTCACCGGCCACAATGAAAAAGAAAGGCCAAGAAAGGAAAGGAAAAAGAAAATAAAAAGATTGTAAAATTTATTCACGTCAACACTGGTCTGCCATGTAGAACGGTCGGCAACCATGTCAACGATTTCCGGGCAAAATTGATCGGATGGACTACATTGATAAATTCTTAAAATATTCAGAATTTAATTGGTATAATTGAAATGTCGAGAATTGAATTGACACAAATACAGTAAGTTGAAGACCTTTTTTTTTTTTTTGGGGTGGTATTTTCCCTCCTAATAGAGCGAAACAACCGGGGGACCTCAAGCCCCGAGTCCGAAACCAACACGAAATAGGAGTGAAGTGGCGTCCACGTCGGCTTGCCGACGACTCCCGACGCGGGCTGCCCGAAACGACGTCGTATAAAAGAGAGAGAGAGAGAGAGAGAGAGAGAGAGAGAGAGAGGGAGCAGCTTCCTTGCTTCGTCGCCTTTCTTCTTCTTCTTCCTCTTCTCTCTCAATCAACACGCCTAAGCAAACCTCCGTCGTCCCCCAATTTCAGCCCTCTCTTCCACCCGTCTCCACCACCACTTCCTCTCCACCGAACCACCGCGTCGCCATCGCCGTATCCGCCTCCGTTCGATCCCTCCTCCGGCATCGAGTTCCGCCGTCAATTTTCCCCGAGGTCTGCCTGCGCTCTTCTCTCCCCCCTCCTCTGTTGACCCCGTCCCGTTTGTTCCTGCCGATCGATCGCGCTCGATACGGGCTTGATCTTGATTGATTGGTTGATTGGTTGATTGATCGATTCGTTCTGTTTTGGTGGTGTTGACAATGATGATCAGGGGCATCGAGAGGGTTTTGTAGGGGCGGGCGATCGACCATGTTTAACCGGCTCTTCGGGAAACCTAAGCAGGAGACCAACGCTCTCACCACGTTGGACAAGTTGAACGAGGTACCCCGCCAAGATCCCCTTGCTTTGTCCGCTTCCCCGTACACGTCTTTTGATTCGCAGTTCGTCGTGGTCGGTTGATCGTGCCGGGGATTCGATCCGTGCTTCCTTCGCTCGATTTCAAGTTTTTCAGCTTGGATGGATGGAGATGAATGCTACTTAGTAATCGAGCAATCAACGATCTCTCCCTTCTCCATGGGTTGAAGAACTGGTTCTTGATTTTGTTTTGTGGGAAAACTGGCGATTAGATATACCTCCTTGTGCTCCCTATGGGGACTCTGCTTGGGGCTCTTAATCTTAGACTTCTGACGATGGTTTCACTTTCAATAATTGAGTCTGTCAGTCTTCAGTATTAGCTAACTTGCCACTTCTATGTGATTGTGTCTGGGTCTGATGCACAACCGCGTGCCAATAATTGGCTGCATACTATAGTGTCATATAAGCTTTCTGACTTATTTTACTCCTGAAAGCGAAAGCTGCTTGTAAACTTTTTATCTTTTTACGTGGGGAAGTAATCTGCGGCTATGTGTGCTAGTTCAACCGAGGCACCGAGGCACACAATCACACATTTATTCAGTGCGTCGAATTTTTGATCTGATTATCCAACTGGTAGAAGGCTTATCTGTATCTGTAAAAATTTCCCGAGGAGTCCGTTCTTTTATGTGGAGAGAGTCTCTTTCATTTCGATTTCCCCTCGTGTTGTCAGTAATCAAGAAATACATACTTCAAGTACGTATAATAGTAAAACACGTGCTTCCGCATTTCTCTATAGTAAGATGTGGATTTATTTAGTTAGATTGTAGGCTTTCAAAATGATTGAACTTTAGTCTATACAAATTACGATAGGATATCATTTGTATATTTAACTGGTTCATTTGGACCCTTCTGTCCTCCTTTCTGTACAGACACTTGAAATGCTGGAGAAAAAGGAGAAAGTTCTCATAAAGAAGGCTTCTCAAGAGGTTGAGAAAGCGAAGGAGTTCACTAGAGCAAAAAATAAAAGGGGTATGGCCATGCAGCTCAACTTTTTCCTGGATAAAAAATGCCTTTTATGCCTTTGCTTTTGTTATGTTATTTCTCGGAGTTGCTTCATTTTCTCAATCTGTCCACTGGTTATTAGGAATGGAGTTGTGTACACAGAATGCAGCGCAAATCCGCAGAAACTTCTTCTTCAGTTTATTATTTCATTGTTTATGGCAGTCAAGCACTTCAATCTGTCGTTGCATTCTGATTTGGACTTTCCTTTGTATCATTGTGACCTTATTACTGGATAGAAATTTTAGCACAATCAATTCTTTTACCATTACATTTTGCTGTTTGTGGCTGCAACTTAAATTTTCTATCGTTTCACCTATATTGCTTGTTTTCTTTTCCCTAGTAACTATGACTTGCAACTATGCAAGAATTTTTTTCTTTTGTATGATACTTGAAGCTATATGATGGCAAGTCGGCAAGTTGTTATCTTATTGACATAAAGTTGTGCCGTTGGGAATGCAGCGGCAATTCAATGCTTGAAGAGGAAGAGGCTGTATGAACAGCAAGTTGAGCAGCTTGGAAATTTCCAACTTCGGATTCATGATCAGGTGAGCCATCAAGATTCAATGATTCAGAACTTCCTTGATATCTGCTTCTAGGATGAGATGTCTGATATGTGAATGGTCCAGATGATAATGTTGGAAGGAGCAAAAGCAACAACTGAGACTGTGGATGCTCTGAGAACTGGAGCAGCAGCCATGAAAGCAATGCAGAAGGCGACGTATGTCCTACTTTTGTTTTCCTTTCTGAATTCCGGAGTTTTGATTTTATTGATTTTTGTTTCTTTCTATGCAATGTGCATCACTTTTGTATTGCAGTTTCTTGAGCTTGAATTAGCTGGGTGCTCCATTATCATTTTGTAAAGTTTTCTATTGTCCATTTTTTCACAGAAATATTGATGATGTGGACAAGACCATGGATGAGATAAATGAACAAACGGAGAACATGAAACAAATTCAAGAGGCATTGTCAACTCCTATTGGTGCAGCCGCTGACTTTGATGAGGTTACCATCCTCACACTTTGTTTGATTTTAGATATGCTTTTGATCACTGATTGGGTGGATCTCAAGCTAGCTACCTTCTGGAACGTTCATGCTTGTCTCTAATCACTTTGTAATTCCAGGATGAGCTTGAGGCAGAGCTTGAAGAACTGGAAGGCGCTGAGTTGGAAGAACAGCTCCTTCAGCCTGCCACAACAGCTCCAGCTGCTCCAGTGCATGTCCCAGCTGGTCCGCGTCCATCCCGCCCAGTTCCTCAGAGGACAGCCGAGGAGGATGAACTTGCTGCTTTGCAGGCTGAGATGGCACTTTGAGCAGGTCAATCTTCTCTCATATTTTCAAAAGCTAGTATTAAGCATTTCGTTGTTGTTGGTCTATTACTAAGTTGGGTTACTCTTAAATTGGCGGAAATTTCTTTTTTCTTTTTAATTGGCTGCCGATGGTTTCTTTCTTTTGTATGATAAGTGGAATAGAAGAAGAAGACTTTTTCTTTGGCTATTTTGTTATACTGTCATTCTGATCGGATATATCAGTTGACATTCCACAGGTCTTGCTGCTCATAATTAGACTGAGGCTGTGTAAAGACCTGGCCAAACCTGTAATATGGACATTCCTGCTGCTGTGCTGCTGTGCATAGGCATGAATATTTTTCCGTGGATCCATACTGAAAAGACGTGTAGATAAAGGTGGCATGATTCAAAAGATGTCCCCCTTTGAGACCTGTATTCTGATTTCTGGTGCTTCTAGTGTGGTCTCTCTTTTTTAATTTCAACTTCATGTCGAACATCAAACTTCTCCTTATTGTTTGGAAGACAACTCTAGATATCTCAGGTTAGATTTTTATTTTCCCTTCGTGTGCCACTGTTAAAATTAATGCAATGTCGAATCGCTGAGGGGGGCTTGCTCATCATAAGCGATATGCTTTATTATACCTCTATTGGAAGATATGTTGGTTGTTGAGTTACTTGCTCCTGGCATCGGAATTGAGTAGATTTGTCAAAGTCCAGAGAGGGAGGAGAACCTGATTTAGCATTTCTCTTATCATGTTGCCAATGTCTCTACAATAATCATGTGCATTTTGATGCTTCTAGCATGATCCACGGATTGTGCACGATTTCTCCAGCAGCTTTTAGAAGAAGTGGGGGATTCATGTTCAAGATAGCACTCAGGAGCTTAGGTTTTATGTTCTTCAACACCGAAAGGTGGGGTGTCTTTTTATCATTTTATCCCATCCAGGGAGCCAGTACCACGAAAGTGTTTATATCGAACCGGGGATTCCGAGTACAATGGAAGGCTTTGCTTGATCTTCCGTTTGTACGGTATGTTTGGTGGGTCGATTACTGTTGTTCCATGTAAGCTTTTAACGCGGTATTGGAATGGCTCATTTGCAAAGGACAATTCCTCACCGTGTACCTGCTGCAATCAGCTGACCTTTTATTACTAAATAGTGGAATTTCATTTACTCGGAGACCAAATTCATCGGTAGCTTCTCAATTGTTAGTTCACCAACTTAAAAGTTAAAACTGTGCTGTTCATAATTTGTGCTTCGACCTCAACTGGGCTTCTTAATTTCGATCTAGACAGCATCGAGCTTCCTCTGGAAGTACTATTCCAGTGTGTCGATGGATATCTATAACCTAAGTCATATCCCAGAAGGGCAAATAAAAGGCCTGATTAAATTTGTTAGCAGGTTCCGACCCAAAAAAGAAAATTTGTGAGCACGTTTCAGAAGCTGCTCGGATCTTCTGACGCAGCAATGTCATTTCCCTACCTCTTTGGCTTCACGCATTTCACTAAATCGGCAATATAGATACCCTCTCACGGTCTGTCAAAAAATTAGCCGCCATAGCACACCGGCTGGAACCACAAGACACTTGTGGAAAATAGTGCAAGATTAAAAGAGAGAGAGAGAGAGAGAGAGAGAGAGAGAGAGGGGCATGCAGGCGGAGATACTACTGTCAAAGTATGTTTCCATTGAGTTGTATTAACTAATTACACATCATCCCTAATGTCATCAAGCATAAAAACCCATTCAGCTTGCACATTCAGAGAGGGTCAGCTAACCTTCGTGACCAGTCTAGAAAGCTTGAATCAGGCATCAGACCAAGGCAATCGCTCTGTCAGTTTCACAGATTTGCATCAGAACCCGAGAGAAACTGGATGCGACTTCTGATGTATATACCATTTGACTCTGTGGTATCTAATTTCCCGGTGTTGACATCTCCAAGTAATCCAAATCATCAGTAATCCCCACCTGCAGTTACATTTCTGCATTAGAACTTCAGTCAAAGAAACTAGGAAGATCAGATAAGCTAAATCATCTAATTCAATGGAGCAGCTCACACCTTGCTTTGTAACTATATTTTTTGCTGGACTAATTTATCAGGTGAGAAGAAAAGGTTGCTCAGAACAAAACCGTCACATTTGCTAATGTTTAGATGCTGCTATTTATAGTGTTGTTCGCCAAATAAACCGCAGATATCAGGATTTGGGTGTTGGTCGACCTACTACGATGCTTTTGGACGAGGCTATATCTGTGTTTATGGGAATTACCTCCTGGTACATATGTTCTAGCTGTTCTTTGGCTTCTGGAAAATTGTTTGAGCACCACTGTCTCAGTGTGAAAATATTGTCTGCAAAATCAAAATCCCAGAAAGAATTTAAAGGGCCAGAATAGAGAAACTCCACAATGTCGCGAAATTGCTCAAGTGCTCACTTGACAAAGCAGAATCTGTCAGAGGCCATACCTGTCCATCTATTGGCTGCTGCATGGGCAACTAATATTGCATTCTCTGTCCACATTAGTGAGGAAGAGTCAGCTAGTCAGATCGCCAAACAGAATACCATAAACAAAGAAACATGAAATCCAGGATTGGATCAGAGGGAAAACTAGAAACTTGAGTATCATAAGACCGGCTTTCTTAACTCATTGCTTCAAACGCAGCTGGATCATTGTCTGCATATTCCGCCATCTCATCCTAAAACATCAGACGATAGAATCATTAATATTCTACTTTTAGTTTTAGATAATCAATAAGAATGGGAGAGTAGTCAACCACAACCTTCAACTCATTGTATTTCTCCTCTACTTTTTTTAGGTTGCTTAAAGCCTCCTCTCGTTCATCCTGGTCAAACCACAGAGGAAGCACAAAACTTTTACTCTTCACTCTTAGGAGCATTTTGCCCATTGTTGAAAAGAGATCTACTCACAGATTCTTCCCTTCCCTTCTTTAATGCATTGCACTGATCAGTTAGCTCTGTGAGCCGCCTCTTGCTACTTTGGACATCAGATTCAAGTTTCCGGTACACATTTCGCAGCTGCGATTTGGTTACTCTGTTGTTATTGTTAAGAAAGTGCATAAAGAATGCAAACAAAGAGACAACTTTTATAGAATTCAGGTCAACAGTGGAGTATTGATCTTAACCTGGTTTCCGGCACAGCTAGGAAGACTCCAGAAATACACCTGAAATTTCAACCCGATTCCCACAATTAGGCATTTCAATCCTTTAGTAAGTCAAAAGCAGTACTCGAGTTTAGTATTAAAATGACATGGGGAGCAAACGAGACTGGAAGACATGAATATACGAGCAATCACATCAGTGTATTTGCTGTCGATATTGATTTGAGGGGGAAAAACTCAAGTCCGGAAGCTATGACTCACCGAAGTTCCAATCTTGTCCTTGGAGACGAGGTCATCATCAACCAAGCTCTGAACAACATCTTTGACAGACTGGGTGATAACACCTTTTCTGGGTCCCAATTTCTCAAGTTCCTTTAGCTGAAACGTAACAAGAAAAAGTACTTTCGATAAGTGCTATCGACGACTTGTATTCTCATGGATGAACTTAATTAACATCAGTGAAGGCCTTTTCCGTTTATGAATCTAGAACCCTGGGGACTAATCTCTCTCTCTCTTTCTCTCAAACAAGAAAAAGTACTTAAGATAAGTGCTGTTGACTCGTATACTCGTGGATAGAACTTAATTAACATGAATGATGAATCTAGAACCCTGGGGACTAATCTCTCTCTCTGTCTCTCTCTCTCTGCAAGCTTTCATAAACGACCAACCTACATATAGCTTCCCAACAGTTGAATTACTCTCTTTCTTCCTAGGACAACGAACGCTAAAGCACGATATGATTCCACTTCTTTCTAAACTACAATATCAGCAAAAACACGAAAACTTCAGTCAAACCGAAACATGTCGAGAACCGTAAGGCCCTCGATAAATACGGTCAGAAGCGTCGGAATCTCACAAGGAAGAAGTCCTGCGACTCGTAGAATATCTGAAGCATCTTCTCTCGCTTCTCTTCCAACGAAAGTCCCCACGTTTCTTCGACTGCACACCACCCACAAAAAAGTTAAAAAAAAAGAAGAAAAAAGAGCATGTGATCCACGGGCACAATCTGGCCAGTAATCCACAGTCACCCCAAGCAAGAGACCAGCAATCCGAGCGAAAACCGAACAAAAAAACTCAGCCCGAACAACATCCGCAAAATCGAAACGATGCAGCAAAAACCAAGCGCGCAAGACTCCAGAGGATCCAGAAATAGCCCTAAATCCCAAAACCCGGACGGTCGGTGCCATCGGCCGAACGCACCGAGCATCAAACAACGACTAGTTCGGCTCGAGAGCCCCAGGCGATCGTTCACCCGCTACACCTTGAGCTCGAAACTCGACAAACAAAGACACGCGCAGAGACGAAATGCTTTGCTCCAAAAACGCCATCTAACCTCAGACGAGCCAACAACCCACCCCCCCAAAGAAAGCACAGACGGAAAAGCACAACTACGATCGAGAGAGATCCTACCATTTTCTGCTGCGCGATCGATTGAATGGAGTGGCCGAAAGAGAAGACGAGCTCGAGCTTCCGGTGGATTCCGCCGCGATCTCTCTCTCTCTCTCTCTCGTTCTTCCTTTTGGCGGGAATTTGGTTGGGTGTTGAAGAAGCTCCGGGAGGTGAGGTTTGAGTTTTGAGCTTTTTTTACTCGTTCGACCAAAAGGTTTGGCAAAAATTTGCAGATTGCTCCCCCGACCTTTCGCCCTATTACGTTTTTTATCCTCAAAATTTGCGGGATAATTACCTAAAAAAAAAAATGTCATGAACTTATTGTACGGTTGCTAATTCAATTTTGAAACCTTTCAATTTGGCCAATTTAGTCATAAATATTTTTACGATTTGCCAATGTAATCCTTTCAGGCAATTTTGGCTGGAAATCACTCCCTCGCCAGCCACAATGGAAAACAAAGAAAATGAATAAAATATTTAAAATGTTCAAGTTAAAAAATATTGGCCACGTCAGTACTAGCGTCGGCCATGCCACGTAGGACAACCGTCGTCTACGTCAGCGATTTGTAGTCAAAATTGGCAGGAAGGACTACATTACAAATTGTCAAAAGGTTTGGGACTAAACTGGCAAAATTGAAAGGTTTAGGAGTACATTGGCATCCGCACAATAGATTTATGACTTTTTTTTTTGTGATGTCCCCCAAAATTTGACGAGTATTAAATCGGAGAGGTAACTAATGATGTATAGATCACATGAACCGATATCACACAATCTATATATGACATATTTTTCAATATAATTTGCACGTATCAAGTGCCCATTTCATTATGATCAAATTATACCATCTCAAATTACTCGCGATGTATTCTTTCTTTATTTACACAGCTTGACGATATATGCGGCGAAAAGAGTTAAATGTTGAAAATATTGAAAATAAATCAATTCAAAAAGCACTTAAATGTCAAAACATTAGCTATTAAAAGACATTTCGTAGAGTGTTTAATTAGTTTAAAAACGGTCTAATCGCCAAAACGAAACGATAAATTAGGATTAAGAGTCCATTTGATCGCTTAACCCGGATTATGTTTTTTCCAATTTTTTCTCCTTCGATTCATGTAAACAACAGAGTTTCGCTTAAACAACGGAGTTTCTCTCACGCAGGCTGAACGTTGGTTCAACGAAGGGAAGTGGTAGAGATATGCTGATGGTGCATATATACAACCGCGTTTGGGCTCCTTATGTTTTCCCCTTCTTGGGAGGCGATCAATACGTCGTTGACAGTCGATACAAATGAAAACGGCTATAAAGCGCCACCTGAAGTCATTCAGCAATCTGCTAGGCCGCGGAATGTGAGCGAACCCTTGGAATTGCGCTGGACCTCGAGTAATGCAGGCGATCAGTTCTTTGTGTACTTGTACTTTGCTGAAGTCGAGCAGCTTCGGAGAAAAATTTCAAGAAAATTCAAAATATCGTGGAATGTATCTCAAATCTCTGGGCCTTTCGGTCCGTGCTACCTCTTAGCAGCCATGATATCTGATTCAAAAGCCTTGGTGGGAGGTGAACAATCCTGATCTATAGAACAGCTGATTCGGCGCTTCCGCCCATATCAAATGCTGTTGAGATTTACAAGGCAAGGTTGCTGGATGAATTGCTAACAAAGAGTGAAGAATCTTCACTGAAGATAGTATGTTCTCTTCTCTTAGTGTCTGAAATTTTGATTCTGCATAGCCTATAAGATTATTGGAATTAGTAATGGGGACCAAACTCAAGGAATGGTGTAACTTTGCTCTAGCGAAAGCAATTGAGGTCAAACTTGCTTGAGATGTGAAAAGAAATGAAGAGCGAAAAAACTCCAAACTACATCAGGAATCTCGGAATCAGTTTCTTATGTCAAGGCAATTTCGTGGCTGTTTATCGATTTAACTTTAACGAGGCCACATGGCTTTTTATATGCTTAAACAAGATATGAAAGTCTACACTGCTTCTATCTACTCCATCGCATCTGATACTGTATACAGTCAATGCTCTGCTTAGTGGGCCGAAGAAGTGCCCAGGGGAAGGGCTCAGCATGCAGCTACAGCAGTTTGATTCCCCCTCAGGTAATCTACCCGTGAGTTCTTGAGGCACATTTGCTCTGGCTCACATTAACTAGTGGTTTGCGAATTTTATCTTCAGCATATCTCCTATGGTGTATGCAAGAACTTAAATTCGAGCCGAGCCGATTGAATGGGGCAATTGCTGCTGCTTTTGCAAAATTTTCATCATTGGAATCCTTGTAAGTGTACTAAGATTCTGTGTGGTTCGGCCATAATATGCCACTGATTTGGTTTGCTAAAATTGACTTTGAGATTCATTTTGTCAGCTTGTAGCATCTCAAAAAGTATTATCTTGTTTAGGGACCTGTCCAACAATAACGGACCAGTGCTTGAGTTTTTGGAACAACTCAAAAACTTGAAGTACCTGTAAGTAGACAGAGTTATCTTCATTTGCGATGCCACCAGATGCACTAATTGTACGAGACGATTATTTCACTTTCAGAAACTTAAGAGGCAACAATCTATCAGGAGCTGTGCCTAAAGCTCTTTTAGAATGAGCGAATGCTAGGTTGCTCATATTGAGGTTGGTATGCTCCTTTTGATTCAACGACTATCGTGGATGAGCCTGTTCGTTTCCTCCACATGTTTACGTCACGTGTCACCGTTACTCCCTCCGCGAAACCAACTTCCTCTCTTTTCAGTGTCGATGGACAAAACCTTTGTGGCTTCTTGCAAAAGGAAGAAGAAGATCACCATTCCTTCCGTTTCATCACTGTTATCAGTGATGGCCCTATTTGTTGCCATGGTCGTACTCTGGCAACTAAGAAGAAAATGGAAATCAGGTAGTGATCTCCTTTTCTTTTTCAACTGAATGTTCTATGGCAAGCTTTAGAGAGGATGTGATGTGGTGCTAGCAGGATTAAAAATATCAAAAATGCCGGAGAGGGACAGAGAAAGAGGAAAACTTTATGATTGTATCGGCAATGATCATTCTTTAAATCATTGGCACCGTCAATATGGAGTAGCGATAACAGTAGTAAGTCGTCAATGGACATAGAAAATGATATCTTAGCTAGGTATCGAAGTGATGCATATCTAAAAGGGTTAATATCACGAAAAATCCCAATTGGTACATCTGTGATAATTTTACCTCAAACTAATTTTTTGACCACAAAAAACTCCAAACTGGTACACTTGTGATAAATTCACCATCCGTTAATTTCTGTTAAATTTTACTGTTAAATTGCTTTGTTAAATGACACGCGGTAGTTGACAGATATATCAGTTTTGGGTTTTATCCTTCATTTGTTACAGGTGTACCAGTTTGTGATTTTTTGAGATATTAATCCAATTTAACGGAAACCAACAGAGAGTAAATTTGTCACAAATGTACTAATTTAAGATTTTTGGTGGACAAAAACTTAGTTTTGGGTATATTTATCATAGAGGTACCGCTTTGGGATTTTTAATTGTCAAAAAATTAGTTTAGGGTAAATTTGTCACAAGTATATAAGTTTGGGGTTTTCCGTGATGTTAATCCTATATAAGATCCTGAAAATAGAAGCATCAGCGATGTCAAATTATCACAGGCACGGTTTCTTCAAATGAGGGAGGGAGATATTTAGCATCCGCGAAGAGGCATTTCACATATGCCGAGGTTATAAACATAACTAACGACTTCCAGACAGTTATCGGGAAGGGCAGGTTTGGCGATGTCTGCCTCGGCATCATGAATGAGGGAATCCGAGTTGCAGTGAAGGTGCTACCTACATCATCTTCACAAGGGGCCAGAGAGTTCCAGACCACGTACTATATACTCTTTGAAAATCAATGTCCCCAGCACATTCGGAAAACCTAATGCCACACGCAACATGCCGAAGTACAATAAAGATAGTACAGGTTTCACTGCTCGCCACAAATACTGACCGTAGATTATCCTTCTAGAGGTTGTTCCATTGGGACAAAAGAATGTAAACATGTATATTTTTCCATTTTCCCATGATCACCAACCGAGTAGCTTAAGCCGCCAGAGCCTAAGTTAATCGCGTTCTAATCACTAATTATGACCCGTACGTGTTGTCATTAACCTAGATAATAACTCAAACTACAGGAAGTTATGATGAAGTTAAGATGGAATTTACTATGCTTTTAACTGTGAGATTAAGCTAACATACATGCTGGTCAAAGTGACTACATTAACCGAACATTAATCTGGTCAAAGTGGCTAGATTAATTAACCATTAAGCTAGCTATTGTTCTTTGAGTTAGATTAAACCAGCATCGCTCCATCATCGACTTCCTACACAGCACCCAGCATACGTTATGTATTACAGGTGGTGGAGGATTATTTAATCTGGTAGTTAAGTTTTGTAATATCCATTTTTTTTGCCGAGTGAAAGGATGCTTCGAAGATTTTCCTCCTTGCAAAGTTTTAGGTAAACAAATTTTCTCCGAAATACTATTTCTAGAGTCGTTGTTTAGAAAAGAAATTTCAATTATTATCGTCATCTTTATTGCTATACATCGATCTGCATCCTCACTTCTGAAAACTTATATATTTGCATCTTGTGGTTTGTTATTAGACTTCAATTAGCATCCTCTACCCCGCATCCTTGTCCACTTATTTACCAAACTTTTATGTCTCAAATTTCACTCATCACTCTCTTCACCCCTTCTCTCAAAAAAATCCCGAAAACTATAAATTCCCTTCCACTTTTCTCCTCCTCGATCTTCCGCCACTGTCGCCCGACTAAGCTGTTGTCTCGATAGTTTATCGGTCCGAGCCGATGTCTCCGGTGGCTAGTCCCCGCCCAACAATCCTCCACTCAGGGATGCATTGCGTCCTCCCCCCCTATGCACATGGGAAGAAGGAAAAAAGGAAAAAAAATCAGAAAAAATTAAAAAATCGAAAAAATATTAAAATATTATTAAAAATTGTCTACATTAGGGCCAGCAACACCACGTAAAACGGCCGGCGTCCACATCACCAAAATCCTGCCAAAATTAGCCGGAAGGACTGAATTGACATAAAAACAAAAGGTTTAGGACTCAATCGACACAAAAAAAAATGTTTATGACTAAATTGGCATCAATATAAAATGTTTATGGCTTTTTCAACACTTTTCCGTACCCGTGCTGGAATTTCGTCGACTGATACTGGGCATCAGGCGGCATTTCGGTAGTCGGACTCGGTGCAGATGGGAATGCTGAAATCTTGTGTCGGCGTCTTATGCCTAATACTAGTAAGTCTCGCGCGACGGCACCTCGAATTAACTCCGCTTTTTGGTAAATAGATGCTCGGGATTTTGTTCTGTTCTGCTCTGTGCGCTGTCCCACCTTTAAGGTCCTTTTCTTAAATTTGGCTTGTTACCGTCTCCCTACACCCGCGCGCGCCCATCAGGAACCACGATACAAGTCAATGGCGTGCAAGAGACGATATCGAAGAAATTTTCAAGTCAACTCGATGAATGCAAAATTTGTTCTTGTCAAGGCCAACCGCCCATCTTTTGTGGAGTTGTTGATGGGAATGGTGATTAGTTCTTGATCAGTGCATATCTTTCTTGATTCAAAATCTGCTTTCCATAGCTTCCGAACTTTAAAAACAGAGCCCACACAATGGTAACAGAAACCTTTTTTACAGCTACTTTAAGAACCAATTTAGCTGGTTCGTGCGCCGCGCGGCGTTGGATTGCAATAGTATCCCTTCCGGCAACTAAAGGCCTGATTTCCCTTTGTTAGCAGGTTTCAGAAGCTGCTCAAATCTTCTGATGAGCAAATCCATTTTCCTACCCTTTTTGGCTTCACACATTTCTCTAAATCGTCAACCAGAACACCGGCTGGAACCACAAGACGCTTGTGGAAAATGGTGCAAGATTAGAGAGAGAGAGAGAGAGAGAGAGAGAGAGAGAGAGAGAGAGAGAGAGGGTGGGTGGGTGGGTGGCGCGGGGGCGCAAAGTATGCTTCCATTGAGACAAATTAGACATGACCCCTGACCTCATCAAGCATAAAAGCAGATTCAGCTTGCACATTCAGAGGGGGTCAGCAGCTGACCTTTATTACAAGCCGTAGGAAGCTTGGATCAAGCATCAGGCTAAAGGCAACAACATACTCGCACAATGTGCTCTGTCAGTTTCGTAGATTTCCATTGGAAATCCAAAAGAAATTGGATGCGACTCCTGATGTATATGCCATTTGACTCTGTGGTGTCTAATTTCCCAGCGTTGACATCTCCAAGTAGGCCAAATCATCGGTAATCCCCACCCGCTGCTACATTTCAGCATCAGAACCTTATAAAAAGAAACTTGGAAGATCAGATAGAGCTAAGACAGCTACTTCAAAGGAGCAGCTCACACCTTGCTTAAGAGTAAACTTAAGTATATTTTTACCGGACCAATTTATCAGGTGAGCAGAAAATGTTGCTCGGAACAAAACCTGTCACATTCGGTAATGGTTTGGATGCTGCTATTTATAGTGTTGTCCGCCAAATAAAACCGCAGATGTGAGGATTTGGGTGTTGGTCGACCTCCTATGATGCTTTTGGACGAGGCTATGTCTGAGCATCTGGGAAATTGTTTGAGCACCACTGTCTCAGTGTGAAAATATAGTCTGCAAAATCAAAACCCAGAAAGAATTTAAGGGCCAGAATAGAGAAAATTCACAGTGTCGCGAAATTGCTCAAACGCTTACTTGAAGACTAAAATAAACACTTAACAGAGCAGAATCTGTCAGGGGAAATGCCTGTCCATATGGGCTGCTGCACGGGCAACCAATATTGCATTCTCTGTCCACGTTATTGAGGAAGAGTCAGCTAGTCAGATCGCCAAATACAATACCATATACAAAGAAACATGAAATCCAGGATCGGGTCAGAGGGAAAACTAGAAACTTGAGTATCATAAGACTGGCTTTATTAGCTCGTCGCTTCAAAGGCAGCTGGATCATTGTCTGCATATTCTGCCATCTAATCCTAAAAGATGTCTCCACTTTTAGTTATGGAAAATCAATAAGAATGGGGGAATAGTTCGACCACAACCTTCAACTCATTGTGTTTCTCCTCCGCTTTTTTAAGGTTGCTTAAAGCCTCCTTTCGTTCATCCTGGTCAAGCCACAGAGGAAGCACAAAACTCATATTGGCTATTGCTGAAAAGAGACATACTCACAGATTCCTCCCTTCCCTTCTTTAATGCATTGCACTGATCAGCTAGCTCCACGAGCCGCCTCTTACTACTTTGGACATCGGATTCAAGCTTCCAGTGCACATTGCGCAGTGCGATTTAGTTACTCTGTTGTTATTGTTAAGAAAGTGCATAATGAATGCAAACAAAGAGACCGCTTTTATAGAATTCAGGTCAACGGCGAAGTATTGATCTTAACCTGATTTTTATATGCTTAAACTAGATATGAAAGTCTACACTACCCTCTATCTACTCTATTGAATTCAGGTCAAAGGCAACCCTCGCCCTCGCCGGATCTGGCAAGGGTTGGCCCTCGCCTGGGCGGGCGAGGGCCGCCCTCGCCCGTCGCTGGCGACCTCCGCTGGCCACGGCTATGGTCGGTAGAGGGAAGAAAGAAAAAAAAAAAGAAAAGTAAAAGGAAAAGGAAAAGAAAAAAACAGAAAAAGGAAAAAAGAAAGAAAAAAATTAAAAAGTAAAAAAATTACTGTTCCTGTAGCCGGAACAGTAATTTCTTGCCGGCCGGTGAGCATTTGACCGGTCGACGAACTCAGGTACCAAATTGAGACTGAATGGGCACTTTGAATATCAATTTGAGATTATGTCTATTTTGGGTACCAAATTGAAAAAAGACCCCAATTTTGAGTACCAAAACGAAATTTTCCCGAAAATATCCGGAACAGAGTTTCGGAGGGCGTGAAAGCGATGGAACTTCAGTTATAAAAGCTCGCCAACTTTTCCGACGGGCCCACCATGCCGCGATCGCCAAACCCGCCTCCATCTCCGTCTCGGTCCCGGTCCCGGTCCCGGTCCCGGTCCCCGATCCCTCGCCCAGCGGCGTCGAGCTACACCGTCAGTTTTCCCCGAGATTTGTTACGCGCTTCTCCCCCTGCTTGCTTCCGCGGGTTTGATTGCCCCTTGAACGGATTGATCTCAATCGATTGGTTGGTCGATCGATCGATCGATTCGGTTTTTGGTGGTGTTGGTGATGATTCAGGACATCGAGGGTTTCTTAGGGCGGTGATCGATCATGCTTGACTGGCTGTTCAAGAAACGTAGGCTGGAGGCGGGCGCTCAGCCTCTTACCACGCTGGACAAGTTGAACGAGGTACGGATCGCCTTAGCTTTGTCTTTGCTCCTGCCTTACTCCGTCTTTGATTTGCAGTCCGTCGTGGTCGGTTGATCGTCTCGGCGTTTGGTAACGGGGATTCGATCCGTGGGTTCCTCCGCTTGATTTCGAATTCTGGCCTTTTTTTTTTTTCTTTTTTTGGTGGGTGCCTTGATTGCTAACTACCTAGTAATCAGGCAATCAAGGATGTCTCTCTTCTTCCATGGTTTGAAGAAACGGTTCTCGATTTTGTTTCGTGGGAAAACTTGGCGAGTAGATATACGCCGCCCTCAAGCTCCCTTTGGAGACTGTGCCTGGGGCTCTTAGCCTTCCCACGACAGTCTCACTTTCGATGATCGAGTCTGTCTTCAGTATTAGCAACCGACGCTTCTATGTGATTGTGTATGGTATTGATTCACAACCTCATACCAATAATTGGCTGGATATGCTTTGCGGCTGATTTTACCACTGAAAGTTAAAGTTGTTTGAAAGCTCTCGTTGTGTTTTACATGGGGAAGTTGTCGGCGGCTACGTGTTGCTAGTTCAACCATGGCACGCAATCACACATTCACTCGGTGCATAGAGTCTTTTATCTGATTATGTAACGTGTAGAAGACTTATCCATATTTGTAAAAATTTCCCGAGGAGTCCATTCTTTTATGTGGAGAGAGTCTTTTCCATTTCGATTTCCCTTAATGTTCTCAGTAATCAAGAAATACATACTTCAAGTGCGTGTGATATTAAAACACATGCTTGTGCATTTTTCTCTATATTGAGATGTGGATTTATTTAATTAGATTGTAGGCTTTCAAGATGATTGAACTTTAGTCTATGCAAATAATTACGGCAGGTTATCATTTGTATATTTAACCGGTTCATTTGGACCCCTCTGTCCTCATTTCTGTACAGACACTTGAAATGCTGGAGAAAAAGGAGAAGCTTCTCAAAGAGAAGGCTTCTCAAGAGGTTGAGAAAGCAAAGGAGTTCACTGGAGCAAACAATAAAAGGAGTACGGTCATTCAGCTCAACTTTTTCCTGGATAAAAAATGCCTTTTATGCCTTTGCTTTTGTTATGTTATTTCTCGGAGTTGCTTCATTTTCTCAACCTGTCCACTGGTCATTAGGAATGGAGTTGTGTACACATAATTCAGTGCAAATCCACATAAACTTGTCCTTACGTTTATTATTTCATTGTTTGTGGCAGTCAAAGCACTTTAATCCGTCATTGCATTCTGATTTGGACTTTCCTTTGTATCATTGTGACCTTACTACTGGATAGCAATTTCAGCACAATCGATTCTTTTACCATTACATTTTGTTGTTTGTGGCCGCAACTCTAATTTACTGTCCTTTCACCCATATTGCTCGTTTTCTTTTCCCTTGTAACTCTGACTTGCAGCTATGCGAGAAGTTTTTTTTTTTTTCCTCTTTCGTATGATGCTTGAAGCTATACGATGCCATTTATCCATTATGGAGGTCGGCAAGTTGTTATCTTATTGACGTAAAGCTGTGCCGTTGGGAATGCAGCGGCAATTCAGTGCTTGAAGAGGAAGAGGCCGTATGAACAGCAGATTGAGCAGCTTGAAAATTTCCAACTTCAGATTCTTGATCAGGTGAGCCACCGAGATTCAATGATTCAGAACTTCCTTGGAATCTGCTTCTGGGGTGAGATGTCTGATATGTGAATTGTCCAGATGATAATGTTGGAAGGAGCAGAAGCAGCAACTGAGACTGTGGATGCTCTGAGAACTGGAGCAGCAGCAATGGAAGCAATGTATGTCCTACGTTTGTTAGCAGAAGCAGCAACTGAGACTGTGGATGCTCTGAGAACTGGAGCAGCAGCAATGGAAGCAATGTATGTCCTCCGTTTGTTCTCTTTTCTGATTTGCGGAGTACTGATTTTAATAAATTTTATATCTTTCTATGCAATGTGGCATCCCTTTCTTATTGCAGTTTCTTGAGCTTGAACTAGCTGGGTGCTCCACTATTGTACTTTCTTTTGCTTGTAAATCATAGAAACTTTACTGATGTCCATTTTATCACAGGAATATCCATGATGTGGACAATATCGCGGATGAGATTATTGAACAATATGAGGCCATGAAACGAATGCAAGCGGCAGTGTCAGCTCCTTCTGGTGCAGCGGCTGACTTTGATGAGGTTACCATCTTCACAGTTTGTTTGATTTTAGTTATGCTTTTGATCACTGATTGGGTGGATCTCAAACTGCCATCCGGAAAGTCCATGCTTATCTCTAATCACTTTTTAATTCCAGGATGAGCTTGAGGCAGAGCTTGAAGAACTGGAAGGCGCTGTGTGGGAAGAACAGCTCCTTCCGCCCGCCGAAACAGCTTCTGCTGTTCCATTTTTTGAACCAGCTGGCCTGCTTCCAGCCCCCCCTGTTCCTCAGGGGACAGCCAGGGAGGATGAACCGGAAGGCACTGAGTTGGAAGAACAGCTCCTCCTGCCCGCCGCAACAGCTTCTGCTGCTCCAGTGCATGTCATTGCTGTCCTTCTTCCAGCCCCCCCTGGTTCTCCGGGGACTGACAAGGATGATGAAACTTGCTGATGAGATGGCATTTTGAGCATGTCAATCTGCTCTCATCTTTAAAATATAAGCTAGATATGTTGAGAAACAAGAACGATGAAGACGTATTTTTGAGGCAATTTTTTCCATCTTCTTTTTTTCTCTTCCTTCACATTGTACATATATGCATTTATCATACAAAAAAGGAAAGAATAAGCAAGATTACAGCGATTACACTCTCCTACTTTATCTCCGAGTATCCTTGATTGAATCAATTCAAATCAAGGTTAAAGATAAAATCGTATCTTTCTCCAACAAGATAAGACTCTTTTTTGTATTTTTTATTGTACTGTCGTTGTGATCTGATATATCAGTTATGTTCCCAGTTCTACGGCTAGTGGTTAACTGAGGTTGTGCAGGACTTGTCCAACCTGTGATGAGGAACACTCCCGCCTCTGCCTGTATGCATCGATATTTATCTTTGGTTCCATAGTGAAAAGACAGGTTCTTTCTGGTGCTTACAGTGTGGTCTCTTTTTTTATTTCAACCTAACGTCGAACATCAAACTTCTCCTTATTGTTTGGAGGACATCTCTAAATATGTCAGGTCAGATTTTTATCTTCTCTGTGTGCCTCTGTTATGATTAATGCAGTCTAATCTTTGAGGAGGGCTTACTCATCATATGCGATATGCTTTATCATACCTCCATTTTAAGATACGTTGTTTGTTTGGTTATTCAATCGTGGTATTGGCATTGGGTAGTTATGTACCTGCTGAAATCGACTGACCTTTTTAATAGATAGTGGAATTTCATTTACTTCGAGACAACCCTTAACGGTAGCTTCTTAATTGTTAGTTAGTTCACCAACTCAAAAGTTAAAATTGAATTAAAATTGTGCCGTTCGTAATTTGTCTTTTGATCTCGATTTGGCTTGTTAATTTCGAGCTAGACAGTATAGAACTTCCTCAGTAAGTACCATTCCAGTATGTCTATAGATATACTTCTACCTAGTCACATCCCAGAATAGCAAATAAAGGCCCGATTTCTCTTTGTTAGCAGGTTTTCAGAAGCTGCTCAGATCTTCTGATGAGCAAATCCATTTTCCTACCCTATTTGGCTTCACGCATTTCTCTAAATTGTCAAATATAGATACCCTTAGTCTGTCAAAAAGTAGCTGCCCCCAGCAAACCGGCGTTCTAGGCGGAGATACTACTGTCAAACTATGCTTCCATTTAATTGTATAATCAAATTAGACATCGCTCCTGACTCATCAAGCATAAGAGCAGATTCAGCTTGCACATTCAGAGAGGGTCAGCTGACCTTCATTACGAGCCGTAGGAGAGGCTTGGATCAAGCATCAGGCTAAAGGCAACAACATACTTGCACGATGTGCTCTGTCAGTTTCATAGATTTCCATTGGAATCCGAAAGAAATTGGATGCGACTCCTGATTTATATGCCATTTGACTCTGTGGTATCTAATTTCCCAGTGTCGACATCTCCAAGTAGTCCAAATCATCAGTAATTCCCACCTGCAGCTACATTTCAGCATCAGAACCTCAGTCAAAGAAACTAGGAAGATCAGCTAGAGCTAAAACAGCTACTTCAAAGGAGCAGCTCCCACCTTGCTTTAAGAGTGAACTTACTCATGCCTTTGTAACTATATTTTTACTGGACTAATTTATCGGGTGAGCAGAAAATGTTGCTCGGAATAAAACCTGTCACATTCGGTAATGGTTTTGATGCTGCTATTTATAGTGTTGTCCGCCAAATAAACCGCAGATGTCAGGATTTGGGTGTTGGTCGACCTCCTATGATGCTTTTAGACGAGGCTATGTCCGTGCTTCTGGGAAATTCTTTGAGCACCACTGTCTCAGTGTGAAACTATTGTCTGCAAAATCAAAACCCAGAAAGAATTTAAGGGCTAGAATAGAGAAACTTCAGTGTCGTGAAATTGCTCAAACGCTTACTTGAAGACTAAAATAAACACTTAACAGAGCAGAATCTGTCAGGGGTAACGCCTGTCCATATTGGCTGCTGCACGGGCAACCAATATTGCATTCTCTGTCCATGTTATTGAGGAAGAGTCAGCCAGTCAGATCGCCAAATACAATACCCTAAACAAAGAAACATGAAATCCAGGATCGGGTCAGAGAGAAAACTAGAAACTTGAGTATCATAAGACCGGCTTTCTTAGCTCATTGTTTCAAAGGCAGCTGGATCATTGTCTGCATATTCTGCCATCTCATCCTAAAAGAAGTTTTGGAAAATCAATAAGAATGGGGGAATAGTTCGACCACAACCTTCAACTCATTGTGTTTCTCTACTTTTTTAAGGTTGCTTAAAGCCTCCTCTCGTTCATCCTGGTCAAGCCACAGAGGAAGCACAAAACTTCTACTCTTCACTCTTAGGAGCATATTGACTGTTGTTGGAAAGAGATCTACTCACAGATTCCTCCCTACCCTTCTTTAATGCATTGCACTGATCAGCTAGCTCCGTGAGCCGCCTCTTGCTACTTTGGACATCAGATTCAAGTTTCCGGTACACATTTCGCGGCTGTGATTTAGTTACTCTGTTGTTATTGTTAAGAAAGTGCATAATCAATGCATACAAAGAGATGGCTTTCATGGAATTCAGGTCAACAGTGGAGTATTGATCTTAACCTGGTTTCCGGCACAGCTAGGAAGACTCCAGAAATATACCTGAAATTTCAAGCCGATTCCCACTATTAGGCATTTCAATGCTTTAGTCAGTCAAAAGTATCACTTGAGTTTAGTATTAAAATGACATGGGGAGCAAAAGAGTTTGGAAGCATGAATATACGAGCAATCGCGTCAGTGTATTTCCTGTCGATATAGATTTGAGGGGGGAACAAACTCAAGTCCGGAAGCTATGACCTACAGAAGTTCCAATCTTGTCCTTGGAGACTAGGTCATCATCAACCAAGCTTTGAACAACATCTTTGACAGACTGGGTGATGACACCTTTTCTGGGTCCCAATTTCTCAAGCTCCTCCTTCAGCTGAAACATAACAAGAAAAAGTACTTTCGATAAGTGCTATCGACGACTTGTATTCTCATGGATGAACTTAATTAACATCAGTGAAGGCCTTTTCCGTTTATGAATCTAGAAGACTAGAACCCTGGGGACTAATCTCTCTCTCTCTCTCTCTCTCTCTCTCTCTCTCTCTCTCTCTCTCTCTCTAACAAGAAAAGTATTTCCTATAAGTGCTATGGACGACTTGTATTCGCATGGATGAACTTAATTAACATCAGCGAAGGCCCTTTTTTGTCTATGATCTAGAACCCCGGGGACTAATCTCTCTCTCTCTCTCAAGAAAAAGTACTTCTGATAAGTGCTATCGACTTGTATTCTCATGTATGAACTTAATTAACGCGAGTGATGAATCTAGGACCCCAGGGACTAATCCCTCTCTCTCTCTCTCTGCAAGCTTTCATAAACGACCAGCCTACATATAGCTTCCCAACAGTTGAATTACTCTCCTTCTTCCTAGGACAACGAAACGACGTAAGCAAAAATCGAACATTGAAGGCTCCAGAGGGATCAAAATGGCCCTAAACCCAAAGCCGGCCGTCGAAACCATCGAGCCAATTCATCAGGCATCAAACAGCGACTCGTTTGACTCGATAACCGCCGGCGATTGATCAGCGTTACACCTAGAACTCGAAACTCGAGAGCCTAGCTGAAACTGCGAACCAAATGCTTGCTCCAAACTTAATCTAACCTCAGATGAGCCCCCAAAAAACACAGACGAGAGGCGCAATTACATCGACAGACTCGGGAACGAGAGAGAGAGATCTACCATTGTCGTTGCGCTAGGTGTTGAAAATATGTGTCGAGAAAAAAAAATTTCGAAAAAAAATAAAGAAAGGAAATATCTACTGCAACATGGGACTAGGCGGCTTAATCTCGTGAAAGAAACCAGACCCGTGACTTGTTGACCGAATTGTTACTTAGACTCTTCAGCCATGGTTTCCTTTTCTACTTTCTCGGAGTCTACGGCTTGAAATAGGAAAGTCCATCAGAATGGCCAACGTGGACATTGAGATAGACATTGACTCGGTCAACAATGGATCAGAGAAAGAAGAAATAAAATATACGGAATTATTCTCTGCTTTATTTGATTTGGCTGAGGAGATTAGGAAATTGAGGAAAGTCCAACTTGGACTTTGGGTTGACCGTGTCTCACGGATTTGTATTCCTAATTGAATTCGGCCAATGGATGTCCCTTCGGAAATATAAATACTGGAACTCGGCCAGTAGACTATGGAGCAGTGAAGCGCCGTTTAAACGAGTGCTCGGCAGTCGTGGGTCTTTCTTCGACAAATTACATCCAAGAATTCGAGTGTTCAAGTCGTGAAAATTTTGTGTGTTAAGATTTGTGTACAATTCCTTCGTGAGATTGAGAGATTATTTCGTGAGAAATTGTGGGGTTAAACACTGCGTGAGTTATTGGGTGTAATTGGGGCTTGGGAAATACTTAGAGTGTTTGAGTGACTCGAGTGTGGTTGTAATCTCCGTTGTATCGCTGATCAAATGAATTTTCGCTCTGCCGTGGATGGAGGGTCACTGACGATCGAACCACGTAAATCTATTGTCCGATTTATTTTTTTGTTCTGTCAAATTTATTGTGCGATCGCTTGACTTCCGCAACACTAGGTTCCGCGATTTCTCTCTCTCTCTCTTGTTCTTCTTTTGGCGGGAATTTGGTTGGGAGTTGATGAGGAAGCTCCGGGAGCTGAGGTTCGAGTTTTGAGCTTCTCAACTCGTTCGACCAAAAGTTTTGGCAAATTGCAGATTGCTCCCCAACTTTTCACCTTATTACGTTTTACTCCCCTAAATTGGACAATGATCAAATGGGAGAGGTAATATATGCCCATTTCATTGTGATCAAATGATATTATCTCAAATTACTCGGTGATGTATTCTTTTGTTGTTTACATGAGTTGACAATATATGCCGCGAAAGAGAGTTAAATGTCGAAAATATCGAAAATAAATCAATTCGACATGCTTAAATGTCAAAGCATCAACTGCTAAGAGACGTTTTATAGAGTATGTACTCAATTTTAAGACAGTCTAATCATCAAGACGAAACGAAAAATTTTGGATAAAGAGTCCGTCGATCATTTCGCTTGGATTATGTTTTTCATTCCCAGTTCTTTCTCCTTCAATTCTTCTGCAACAGTAGGTGTCGGCGATGGAATGTGATCCTTACATTACCAGCTATATAGCTTCGTCAAAAGGTTTGTAATCCTTGTTCATTTGATTAAGTATTCGTGCGACCACGATGCGATAGACAGTATATGCGAGCCCAATACACGCTAATCTTAAAATATGTCGGTCTCACGTGAAACCCGACCCGCTTGATCGAGCGACTCGCGAACGTTGAGCTGAAAAGCCAACTGCACTAAGTGGATAACCTATCTCCTTCCTCCGCTTGCTCACACTTTCTTATGAGCTAAGGACATTATTATATGGCGCCGTGGTTCTGGACCCTTAACTCCTTCAGCCATAGCTGTTGCACCGAGCTTCATGATTCATGCAGTATTTATATACAGCAAGTTGACCTTTTCTTTAATCTTATCTGTACTTTTATTTTCGCTTTTCGTGTGCCCACTGCTTGCCGACCTAGCCGCTGTTTCGTGTGTTTGATTAATGAAAAGAAGTCATTTTCACAGCTTTTCGCATGGACAAATCAAACGCATGAACAAGTGGGTCAGTCCGTATCCCATCAATTGTCAATTGTTTGACCAGGACCAGTGTGATGTGGTTCTCCAGCTCAGAGATCTGATAAAGCAAAGAAAAAGATTCAGTGAACGGTCTCCTTTTCTTTGTTTGGCTGCGCTGTGAAGAGCAAGCAATGATTTTCGATATTTTATGTGCACGTGTAGCAAACTGGAGCCTGATGAGGCAAATGAAAGGAACAAGCATTCCGGTATAACATCACAGTGTTGCAGAAGTTTCAGCCATGCTGAGCTGAGAGATGATGGTGGAGATGTCAATTGGTTCCATTCGGCTGCTCTTTCTCTGCATTCTCACTGCAATTCCAGCAAATGGGCAGCTTCAAACAGGTCAGCAAATGGCTTAGTTTTCTTCTGATTTCTATTTGATTGAGGAATGGAACCTGTTCCTGCAAGTTGCGATTTTACGTGAACCGTCTTGTGATTGATGATTGTAGGCAGAACATGTTAGAATAGGCTAGTGAGAAAATGGATGTGGTGTTGTGGTCGTGGTTAAAGATCATTTGGTGTTCTTTCTTTTAAGCGTCTGCAAAATGTTTGCTCTGTAATTTGTTCGAAATAGGCTTCATAAGCATAGACTGTGGCGCGCCCGCGAATTTCAAGTACGTCGACCTGGACACCGGAATAAGTTACGAGTCTGATGGAGCTTACACCGACACCGGAACAAACAGGAACATCTCTTCTGACTATGCATACCCGAACAACCCCAATCTGCCTCAGCCGCTTTCGGATCTCCGAAGCTTTCCTCAAGGAAACAAGAACTGTTACACCTTAAGACCTGCTGCAGGTAACGCCAGCTTGTATTTAATAAGAGCTAGTTTCTTTTACGCAAACTATGATGGACTCAACGATCCGCCTCAGTTCGATCTCTATCTCGATGCCAATCTCTGGATAACGGTGAAATTCAGCAACGTTTCTGACATCGTGACCCCAGAGATTATCAGTTTTGCATCATCGGAGGCTATCTACGTTTGTCTCATGAACATTGGTGCGGGAGTTCCTTTCATATCGGCATTGGAGCTTAGGCCGCTGAACAGTTTGACATATGACTCCGAGTACGGGAAACCTGCTTCATTACTTCTCTTTCAAAGGTTGAACGTTGGCTCAACGAAGATAAGTGGCAGATACAACGATGATATGTACGACCGCGTTTGGGCTCCTTATGTTTCCCCTTCATGGGAGGCAATCAATACTTCGTTGGCAGTTAATACAAATGAAAATGGCTATGAAGCGCCTCCTGAAGTCATTCAGACAGCTGCTAGGCCGCGGAATGCGAGCGAACCCTTGGAATTGCGCTGGACCTCAAGTAATGCAAGCGATCAGTTCTTAGTGTACTTGTACTTTGCCGAAGTTGAGCAGCTTCAGAAGAACGTTTCAAGAAAATTCAATATATCGTGGAATGGATCTCAAATCTTTGGGCCTTTTAGTCCGCGCTACCTCTATTCAGCCACGATTTCTAATTCAAAAGCCTTGGTGGGAGGTGAACATCGAATCGTGATCTACAAAACAGCGGATTCGGCTCTTCCGCCCATACTGAATGCTGTTGAGATTTACAAGGTGAGGTTGCTGGATGAATTGCTAACAAACAGTGAAGATGGTATGTTCTCTTCTCTTAGTGTCTGAAATTTTGATTCTGCATAGCCTATGAGCATATTGGAATCAGTAATGAGGACTAGTCTCAAGGAATGGTTAACTAGCGAAAGCAATTGAGGTTGAATTAGCTTGAGATGTGAAAAGAAAGGAAGAGCGAAAAAACTGCATACTACTGCAGAAATATTGGAATCAATACTTATGTTAAGGCAATTTCATGGCTGTTTAGTATATGCTTAAGCTAGACATGAAAGTCTACACTACTTTCTATCTACTCCATCGCATCTGATACTGGATACAGTCAATGCTTTGCTTAGTGTCAAGACAACATACCAAATAAAGAAAAACTGGGCCGGCGATCCATGTGGGCCGAAGAAGTTCCCATGGGAAGGGCTCGCATGCAACTACAGCAGTTCGATTCCCCCTCAAGTAATCTACCTGTGAGTTCTTGTGGCACATTTGGTCTGGGTCACATTAACCTTTTGGGGTGCAAATTTTAGCCTCAGCATATCTTCTATGATGTATGCAGGAACTTAAGCTCGAGCAGATTGAACGCGGCAATTGCTGCTGCTTTTGCAAAACTTCTATCACTGGAATCCTTGTGAGTGTACTAAGATTTCCATATAGCTTGGCCGTAATATGCCACAATTTGGTTTGCTAAAATGAACTTTAAGATTCACTTTGTCAGCTTGTAGCATCTCAAAAAGTATTGTCTTGTTTAGGGACCTGTCGAACAATAGCTTAACCGGACCAGTGCCTGAGTTCTTGGAAGAACTCAAAAACTTGAAGTACCTGTAAGTAGACAGAGTTATCTTCATCTGCGATATGAGTAGATACACTAATTGTATGAGATGATTACTTGACTTTCAGGAACTTGAGAGGCAACAATCTATCGGGAGCTGTGCCTAAAGCTCTTTTAGAAAGATCGAATGCAGGGTTGCTCACGTTGAGGTTGGTATGCTCCTTTTGGGTCAATGACTGTCGTGGATGAACCCATTCTTTTCCCTCCACACGTTTCCGTCCCATATTACCAATTTTTTTTTCTATGAACTCATTTTCCTCTCTTTTCAGTGTCGATGAACAAAACCTTTGTGGCTCTGCTTCTTGCAAAAGGAAGAAGAGAATCGTCATTCCCGTTGTTTCATCAGTGTTATCAGTGATGGCCCTATTTGTTACCCTGGTGGTACTCTGGCAACTAAGAAGAAAATGGAAATCAGGTATTGATCTCCTTTTCCTTTTCAACTGAATGTTTTATAGCAAGCTTTAGAGAGGATGTGATGTGGTGCTAGCAGGACTTAGACATCATAGATGCACGGAGACAGACAGTCAAAAAGGAAAACTTTATGATTGTATCAGCAACAAT